AACCACACAACTTTCCAATTACTTCTCCACGAATAGAATGAAAAGGTAATTAAGGAGCATATTTTAACTTTTCTGAGAAAAGGTGTCACAGGTGTATGAAATTACTTAACTTTAAATACTTTTCACTATACATTTAGAGGTGCACGTTCTGTCATCTGAAAAATTTTGAGATTTCCTCACTGTACTTCGTTCTTTAACTTTTTATTTAAAAAACAACACTATTGGTTTATTATAAAAAAAGTGTTACAAATTCATATAATACAAGCCTGTGCAATCGTATCCACTCCCAAACGAAGGTAGAAGTACAATTAATCACGAAGTTTTGTTTATTTTATTCTTTTTGTACATCATGAAGTTTATGAGATAAATATTGATGGTTGATAATGATATGAAGTGAAATCTAAGAGCGTGTGCACAAAATAAATGGTATGAGTAATAAATTTGCAATGTGGAATTCCTCATAAATGATTACATTAGAAGGACATGCAGAGGCAGGGAAAAAAGAGAGGAGAGAAAAAGTTGAATGGCATCATTTATTCTTTCACACCTAGCAACAACAACTGCAATAGCAACATTAATGTGCCTCATCCATGTCTTCTGTATTTAATTTTTCAAAAGAAAACAAAGAAGAGTAGACAGAATGGGTCACCGACGAAACAGAACATTTTGAAGTGAGAAAGGGAAGAAAGAAAAGGCATCTATGATTGAAGAATGTCCGTTGTCTCTCGTCATTGGAGATTGAGAGTGAAAAATACGCTTCACTCTTCCTCTTCCTCTTCCTCTGTCTTGCACGTGAAAACAAAATTACATGATTCTTACCCACGCGCAGGATTGCATGCGTGGGACCCTTTCTTCATACTTCATAATTCATCCATCTGTTAATCTAAGAATGAACCACCAGATTTGTTAATTATATTAAAACACTTGTGTTTATTAAGATATTTTTAAAGTATTAATTGTTGTGATGTTATCAGGTAATTTATTTATTAGAGAGAATCTGAACCCCTTAATTTTAGATAAATCCTTGGATATTATTTATTATAAATCCTTAAATTATTATTTATAAACTTAATTAAGACTGTTGATTATTTAATTTTTTTTATATCATCATGAAATTATAAATTATCATATAAAGAAATTTATTTTTTATAACAAAGAATTTTAAAATTGTATGTTATATGTTTTAATTAATTAACCGTGTATTTTTTTTAAAATTAATAGTATGTTAAAATTAAGCTTATTATTTATTTTATATATTATATTAGAACGTACATTTTTTTGACAATGACCTACTACCTATATTCTTAATTTCTTATGCATACTACCTCTTTAATATTGAAAATTTTAAATTAATGTTATGAAATTAATTTTATTGTGATTTTTAATATATTTTAATAATATTTTTCTCAACTGATGCTGTAAGACACTGGGTAGTAAGATCTCAATAAAAGTTAAAGATGTTAGTTAATTTGGGTGGGGATTTTTAATATACCAGCAATTTATATATATTTAAAAAAATTGAAATTATTGGTTTTTTAACATCAATGTTAAGGGTTAATTTATCTAAACATTTTTTCTTGAGAATGAATTTATTTTTCACATTCTTGTATAATAAATATTTCCAATGCTTCCATAAAATTACTGGGACCTACTTATCTTAATTTTTTTTTACCCAAATAAGTAATATATCTTCACTTAAGTAATGATTTTTGTGGTGAATTTCGCTGTTCTGGTGAGAAAGAGAGCCTAAGAAATTAAAGCGCCTGAACTTAAGGGGGAAAAAAAATGCAATCAAGGATACTTCTATAAAGACAAAACTAATACAACGTACAATTTAAATTATATATATATATATATATATATATATATATATATATAAACAGGTTTTTATAAAAGGAACTATAATTAATATTAAAACCCAATTTTTTTAATTTATTTTGGAAATAAATATACTGTCCTAGGAATTTTTAATACTTTTTAAAAATTATTAATCATTTTCGTAATCTTTCATTAGAAAGTCATTTTTTAGAGTTTTTAATTAGTTTAAATGCTTTACTTGCTATACTTGGATTTTTTTTTATATAAACAGACAAATATAAATAAAAAATAAAAAATATCATTTTAAGTTTCTATATGAACAAATAATTCAGAAAATCATTCTTCTTGTTTTAATAGCTAAAGGGATATGGTTATTCTAGGGAGAGAATTTCATTTATGTCTAACAATAATCTACTGTGATTAGTTGATGCACTGATTAAAATTGATTAAAATAAGCATGTCCTGTCTTTTCAATATAACCATATCATGCACTCAATAATAAACAAAATCTAATAAACAATAACAAAATTATTCTTATCTCTTCAAACTGATAAATATGATTTTTTTCCTCTCTTAAAAATAATATATTCTTCCAGATTTTGTTAGTAATTACTATTTATTTTAGACACACATAAAATTTCTAAATCTGTATATTTCACTGGATATCCTCGTATTGCAAATTAAGAAGTATTTATTATTTTTCATTTCATATGTTTAAAGAAAATTGTTAACCACCGTTAAATTACATCGGTTTGGACATATTTAATAATATTTATTAAAATTTAAAGTACTTAAAGTATAAAGTAATATTTACTGAAAATTTTGATATTTTCTTTTATTAGTAGTTTTTCTATTTTCTTAAGAATACTTACTAGTAAATTTTCTCATTTCAATAAATAAATTAACAATAAAATACTTTATACAGGTATAAGACAGTTCTTTTTTTTAGTAAGAACGAATTAAAATATTTATTGTTATTTGATAATATTTTTATCCTTAACACGATTGCTAGGATAAAGTTAATGAAATTTTTAAAAAAATACAAGTAAACATTTTTTATATATATTAATATTAGTTTTAGTACTAAAGCTAGCATGTCATAGATTTTGCTATAATTATTTAAAAAGGATTTTCGATGTTGGCGATTGTCCAGACAGGGAAAGGAAAAATGGATTTTTCTCGTTCCCGAACATGTAAGCTTCGTCCACTATTGGAGAGAAGGGTGCTAAGTCTTTGCTTTCTAAATCGAGTTTACATTTCAAACCAAATTGTAAGCATTGTTTGTCCTCTCACTTTACCTAGGTGGCATATGAAAAACTTCATCCACTAAAATAATATATTAAAAAAAATTAAAATGTGAGTTAATGCGATTTCTCGTAAAAATTATTTGTACTTTTAATGGAAGTTCTTATTTTAGAAGCTAGATTTTATTTTATTTTATTTTAAAAAGCTATTAACAGTATTTCAGTGGCAATAATTTAGAATTATTTAAAATTATTTTGAAGGGAAGGGAATGAAGATGTGAAGAAGAAAACTTTTTTTTGACATTAAAGGAAAAATAAATAGAGAGAAAAGAAAGAGTTTGAAACTAAAACCTACGATTTTATTTATTTAAAGGATACAGAATGTACCTTCTTCTTTTTTATATTTTTTATTTCCTTTTATTATAGTGCTTTGCATTAAGGTACTTCCATTATATTTGTAAAAAGATGGACATCTCGAAGGCAAACACATCATTTTTAGACTAAAAAATAATTTAGAACTAGCTCTTGAATGATAATAATTGAAAATAAGAGTTTTTATACTTGATTTAAGGTGGATATATTTTGCGAGAAAATTAGGAAGAGTAAAGATGAAAATGTAAGAAAAAGAGAGAGAAAGATAAATATAAAGTAATTATAAAAGAAATATTAACAAGTGCCTTTAAAGTATAGCTATTAGCTATTATAAAAATGAAGGCCAGGAAAATATAACTGTTACTTTTTCTCCCTGTAACACTAGAACCCATCCGTAGAACGTAGTTCTTTTTTCCTGGGCTCTATCCACCATTGCCATTTTTCACCAAAAAACGACATTTCTTATTGCACCTCATGCAATCATCGCCTCACTATTGGGCATATTTGTGGTAAGTCTTTGCTTTCTAAATTGGGTTTACATTTCAAACGAAAAAAATAAGTAAATCATCATCACACACTCGCCCAGTGATTTGCATTGCTTGTAAGACTACATTTTGCACGACTATGAAAGCACGAGAATTATGCAGTTTCTTCTCAAGAATTTCTCAAAATTCAAACTCACGCTCTCACGTTAGGTTATTGAGTCTGCATTTTTTCTCGACCCAATTCATTGTCTAAAATGAGGTTCCATTTGAAATATTTGACTGTGAAACGAAGCTCCAAATGGTGAGCAAACTCAAATAAGAACATCCGTTGTGGGATTAGACGGAGCCGCACCAGTCTGTCCCCTATCATAGTCGAAGTATTATTATCAATATCAAATCATGATTCATAAATGTAAAACTATTTATATTTTTATTTCCATTTTAAAACCATTTCAAGTTGATAAATTTAAAGTGTGTTTAATTTTATATTCAAATGCATTAAAATTTATATTTACTTAACGATATTAATTATAGCTTCGAAGGTGAATCTGCGTTTACAACTTTTCAAGCTTGTTTTCAAACACACTTCCATGACTTTACGATGTAAAATGGGCAAATGGCAAATGAGCTGCTGTGCAAATTGCATATCGTTAAGTTCAACTCCCATCCAGAAGCTGTAACCTTAGAATAGAAAATATGATGTTATGATAAATTTATTCATCAATCTATTAACATATTTTTTATTTTTTTAAGCACTTACTAACATATTTTATTTTTATGTCTCATAAAGTGTATAGACCTGTGAATATATACACCGATTTACCATGAAGACGGAACCAAATAAGCACATGGAAGCTGCAGCTAGCAATGTGTCGTTAGTGTAATAGAATCATTTTCAGCCTCCAAAAAACACTGTGGAAAGAATGGTATCCCACGCGTTCACTTGCGTGTGGGAAAAACACTTCTCAATGATCTCTCATATCTATGAATCACCCGCGATCCTCTGCAGTATTTAAAGCCGATAGCAGCCAAGCCATAGCAGTAAGTAATCCACAGCAGAAGTTATTCCAAAACCCAAAACATGACTCCTTCACTTTTCCTCGTCCCTCTTCTGCTCCACATTCTCCTATCCACGCCGTCTCCGGCTGAAGCCGACAACGGCCAGTGGCAGCTCCTACAAGAAAACATTGGCGTTGTGGGCATGCACATGCAGCTTCTCCACAATGACCGCGTCGTCGTTTTGGACCGAACCGACTTCGGCTTCTCAAACTTAACGTTACCCAAAGGAAGATGCCGCAACAACCCAAAAGAAATGGTCGTGCAAACAGACTGCACCGCTCACTCCCTCGAATACGACGTCGTATCCAACACATTGCGCCCTCTCTTCGTGCAAACCAACGTGTGGTGTTCCTCCGGCTCAGTGTCCCCCGACGGAACCTTGGTCCAGACCGGCGGCTTCAACGACGGCGACCGCGCCGTCAGGACATTCAACCCGTGCGGCACGTGCGACTGGGAGGAGGTTAACAATGGACTCGCCGCGCGTAGATGGTACGCGACCAATCATGTTTTGCCAGATGGAAGACAAATCGTGATCGGCGGAAGGAGGCAATTCAACTACGAGTTTTATCCCAAGACAGAAGCCAATGCTAAGAACACTTACAGTTTACCGTTTCTTGTACAAACCAACGACCGTGACGCAGAAAACAACCTTTACCCGTTTGTTTTCTTGAACGTGGATGGTAACCTCTTCATCTTTGCCAACGACCGCGCTATCTTACTCGATTACAATAAAAACAGAGTGGTGAAAACGTACCCTCGAATACCCGGTGGAGACCCAAGGTGTTATCCTAGCACAGGTTCCGCGGTTTTGCTTCCTCTCAAGAATTTGCAAGCGAAGAATGTTGAGGCTGAGGTGTTGATTTGCGGTGGAGCCCCCAGAGGGGCTTTTCCGCAAACCCTCTCCGGTCGGTTTGTCGGAGCATTGAAAACGTGCGCTCGAATTAAAATCACCGACCCTAACCCGGATTGGGTAATGGAAACCATGCCTGGTGCCAGAGTCATGAGTGACATGGTTATGCTTCCCAATGGCAACGTTTTGATTATCAATGGAGCCGCTGTAGGGACTGCGGGTTGGGAATTGGGCCGAAACCCGGTTTTGAACCCGTTTCTTTATAAACCCGATAGCCCACTCGGGTCGCGGTTCGAGTTGCAAAACCCGTCGAGCATTCCCCGAATGTACCATTCCAGTGCCGTTTTGCTTCGCGATGGTCGAGTTCTCGTTGCTGGGAGCAACCCTCACATATTTTACAATTTCAGCAACGTTATGTTCCCAACGGAATTGAGGTTGGAAGCGTTTTCTCCGTCGTATCTTGAGGCTGGATTCTCTGACGTGCGTCCCAGAATCGTGGCTCCAGAATCCCCAACCAAACTCAAGTACGCTCAGGCGTTGAAGATTCGGTTCGAGGTGACGGCGACTTTGGCTCGTGATTCTGTGACGGCGACGATGCTGGCGCCGCCGTTTACGACGCACTCGTTCTCGATGAATCAGAGGGTGTTGGTGCTGGAGCCGAAGAATTTGAATGATGTTGGGGAATCAACTCATGAAGTTGAAGTTACTGCGCCAAGTTCGGCTATTCTTGCACCACCCGGTTTCTATTTACTGTTTGTGGTTCATCAAGAGATTCCAAGCCAAGGTGTTTGGGTCCAAATACTGTGATTTTTCGTCTGTCACTGTTGACAAGGCAGTTTGGATCTCTGGGATATGTTTCTGGTCTTATCTCTTTTTTCTTCTTTGAATTATTTATTGTTTTGAATGTCAGGGTCCAGGGACAGGGAGTGAACAGATTCTTAGGTGGCGAGCATTTACTGAATATATGGGGGAATTATAATTGAAATAAAGTGATTTATGAGAGGCATGTAAAAGTGTCCTAAATGTGTTTGTAATTACTACTGCTATTTGTCTATGGATACTTCTTTCCTGTTCTTAATTTTTTCATGGATAAATTATCCTTCATTTTTCATGAAAATTATTTTTTTATATTTTAAAAGCTATTTGTTATTTTTAATCATTAAATTTTTTTCATTTTTGAAAAGATTTTTCTCTTTTAAAAATATAAAGTAAATATATTTTTATTTAAAAAACACTTTTTAAAAATGGAACAAACATAGTGTTTAAGATTTTTTCTCTGTAAATTTTTAATCTTTTAAGATTTTTAATATTTTTAAAAATAATTATTTATTGTAATTTAGGTATTCTAGCCATATTAAATACTTACTTTAATTTTAAAAAGTATGCTAATTTTGTACAGTAATTAATTAATTTTTTAATAAAAAAGAATTTGTTTACACTATAGTAAATAACAAATTAAATAATCTCATTCTAAGTATGTTAGCGAGACTTTATCTATAAAAAATTAAATTAAATAATTTAATTTTATTAATGCATATAATTAGATAATTTTAGTTTTAGAAAATCACTACAATAAGCAATTAAGATCTAACAGACATGCATCCACATTTATTAGGTTAAGCTTACATCAGGCTTCCAATATTTTGAGTGTTTTTAAGAACACCCTTGCTAGCAACAAAGGGAACTGACGTAACACACATTTAAAGACACTTTGCAAGTTGCAACTTCAACATATATAAGGAGTCACTAGAGACATTCACACTTGTTCATTTTGTAGGCTGCTTCCAGGACTTCTCACACGTAGTCAGAGTTGATGTCGGTGATACTGTTGGTGCCACCGTTTAATACACACTCTTTCTCGACGAATTGTCGATGGCGAAATCGATTGATAGTATAAATTCTACTTGGCATCTTCTGCTCTCAGTGTTCTATTTCTGCAAGTTCATCAAGACATTCCGAGGGCGGGAATTTGAATGTTGATGCATGCAATGATTTCTTTATGCTCCCTATCTTTATAATTAGCAAAATACTTTTTCAACCCTAAGTAAAAGTATTTTTAAAATAAAATATATTTCTAGAAGGTCCACAATAAAAATGATAAGTATACGCTAATATCTGTGTTAATTTAAAAAGGTTCAGATGATAAAAAAAAAAATTATAATTCTTTGCGCATTGGCAAAACTTACAATATGTTATATCATTTACTATTCAAACATATATATTTTTTGTTTTATTTTTATCTTCTATTGCTTTATTGGGTGTAATGTAAAAGGACATCTGTACATAAAAGTATCATTTATATATTTAAATGCATGCTAATTTTCTACCTAGAGTAAATTACTTTATTAATATCCCTGTGCAAATTTGTAAATATAACTTAATTTTTAAGATGGAAAAACAAATAACTAGATCAATATTTTTATTTGTATGATTAATATTTATAGTAATTGAAATTTTTTAGTTATAAGCTTTCAACAAATTTTTATTTTCATTTTTTACCAATTTTGTGTAATCTATATAATCAATTTCACTCAATGAAATAAAACACAATTATTATTGTATGATGCAGGTGTTTATAAAGTATACAATGTTTTATTTTTATTTCATTAAATATTTTAGGTATACAAAATTAGTAATAAATAAAATAATTATTCATATTATACTATATATTAATAAAATACTTTAAAACTAAATATCAAGGTTTTTATTTAGTATTTGAAATTATTAATTTATTTTATATTTAAAAGAATCACTCTTTTGGATAATTGAAGGTTAAATATGCTATGCATTTTGTTAGGACTAAAAATAGTTAAACGATTAGAAATTAATTTCTAAACTTATTATCTGTAGATTTTTTTCGTTCATATTATAATAATTAGTAAATATATGTAATAGTGTATGAATAAAAAATTGAATTTTCTTATCTCCCAAGTGAATTGATTTATAATATACACTTTAATTTAATACTGGTGTTCATTTAAAAATTTATTAAATCTTGTTTTTTTTATAATTTTAAGTCTGTTGTTAAAAAAAATTAAAAAATTAAAGATAAGTAATGTTTTCTTTATTCTGTTTATTCTTAATTTTTATTTCCTAAATCAAAAAAACTATTTATTTACAAAATTTTTATTCTATTAATTAATAATTAATATCAGAATAAAAAATTATTGAGTTCTAAACATGTAATATATGTTTTTTAACTCGTATGATTATTATCCTCTTGTTAGAAAAATTTTATATTAAAATAAGAAATATTAAATAGTTATTCCTATTCATGTGTACTGTTAGATTTGTATTTAATGTATATAATAACAAACTTTATTTTATGAACAATATTTGTTTTGATTTAATCATTAAACAGGTTAATAATAACTGTAACAAAAAAGTATTAATAAAATAAATAGTACTAAATTTTTTTAAAAAAATTAGCATGTCAATATATAATTTATGTTACTTTTTTATGAGACAAATGTTTTAAAACATTGTAACTTTTTTTGCTGTAAAGTTATGTGTATGTTTTATTTTGATATAAGAATAAATGTAAAAGAATAATGCAAATGAATTGAAAAAAAAAAACAATTTTACCCTTGTTTACATTATGAAACCAAAAAATTATTATATTTAAGTATATAAAAATTAATTATTGTAAAAAATATTTTAAAGCCTTATAATGTAATAAAAAAAAAATCAATTTTTGTCATTATAACCTATCTTTATCCATCTATCCTGTTTTTTTCGTAGACTGAGGAGTTTTTTTTGGGTGGTCCCACATGCAACGCATCTTTCGTTGCTGCCGGTCATCGATATTAAAAAAGATAGCATGCATTGAAATTCAACATTTATTTAGCAATGAAATTTATTTCATAATTTTGTCTATCTAAAGAGAATTTCAAAGTGTGCAGAGAATTTATATCTTGACACCATAAAGAATATGAAAAGAAAATTCAATGGAATTATACAAAAATGCAATTTTAATTAAATTATTTTAACATTGTAAAATTCTTTAAATTCCCGTCTAATAATGTAGTATCATATAATAAAAATATACAAATTATTTGAACATCTAATTAGTATTTTTAAACAATAATTAATGTCTTAAATTTAATTATAAAAATTATTTAAATAAACTAAAAACAACCCACTTTAATTAGTTGTATTAAGTAATTTATCAAAATAAATTGAAATTAGTTTATGAAAATTATAAAAATTTTCATTAATTATTCAAAACTATTTTAAACACATTATTAATTAATTGAAATATAAAAAGACGTATACTTGTTCCAAAATATAACTTTATTTGAATAACATATGCATAGTGTATTAAAATTATGAGACTTCGAAGTATGTAAAATATATTTAATTATTAAATTTATTTTTCATCCAGTTTCTCTGTATCATTCTGTCAACCGTGTGGGTTGGAATAATCTTAGCTATCTAATAAACTTAAAATTTAAAGGTGAAATTATTAACTAACTGGGTTTTATAAAATATAAGTTAGACTCCAACTAATTAAATATTAGTTGCCATCTAATTACCTGACATATATCCAGCCCTATCTATCTCTAAAATTAACCTCCAATTAGTTAAAAAAGGAAGCAAGCATTAAAGCATGATTAACACCTCGTGATTAGGAATGGCTTGAGGTGCATGCACAAATATTACTAGCAACAAATTATTTAATACACCATTTGAAATATCTCTCTCATTATTTATTAAAATTAACTATAAAAATTATTTCAATCCTACTTTTTTTCTTTCTTTTCATAAATTAATATTTTTTTCTTATGAGAAAAGGCTCCAGAAATTAAGTAAAAATAAAGATGTCTGTGATGTGGCAAGCAGCAAGGCCTGTGCCACTAACGTAAAGCCCCATCCACGTTAACTTTAAACCAACCCAACCTCCAGTTCTATTGCACGTGGGTTATGCGACTCCATTAGATGAGCATATAAGTGTGTCACTGAGATTTAAATTTTAATATTACATTTTACTGTATATCTTGAATATGTGAAACAAGTCATTCATTGTGATGTATTTACACATTTTTAAATAATAATTTATTTTTCTATCTTTTTTATTTAATCAAGCATTGGGCTTCATAGTGAATTTCAACAGCATGATAATTTTTAAAAATTTGCATATTCAAACAAATCACAAATAAAATATATGCTGATTTTAAAATTTTAAAAACAATTTGAAAAAAAAGATTATCATTAAGTAAAATGGTTCAGGCCAACCATGCATAATTTGTGTTACATATGTCCGTGTGTATAAAATAATAATAACCCCTAACTTTTTATTTCCGCCAATAATAGTTTAAAATTCAGAATCATGTTTACACTCATCTCAATAATAATTTTTGGGCATATATCATTTTTGCTTTTGTGCAAAACTTTAAAACATAACCTAAAAGAATATCTGCACACAAAATGATCGTAATTGACATTGACTTTGAGAAGTTAATTATAACAACTATAAAAGAAGTCAGCACTGTTGTTTTCATAATTTTATCATTCATTTCAACATAAAATAATTAATATTTCATATAATTATTATTTTATCATGCATCCTAAAAAGTTTGTTTTTAAATTAAATAAAACATTTTTCCTTTTAACTCTTTTTAAAAGTTTAGATCAAAAAGTGAGAATGTCTGAAAAAAATTTAAAAAGTGAAAAAAAAAATATATGTATTACAAATATCAAAGTGCATGCCAATTGGATGGCTGAATGTGGTGAGAGAGACACAAACTGGTGACTTGATAACGCTAAACTCACTCATTTAATTTATTTATTTAAATATTTTTGTGCGGAGTTGAAATGATAAAACAGAGAGAGGAAATGAAGAATAGGAAAATGTAGTGCAAGTAGAGAAAGTGGCATCGCTTAGGTACAGACACAAACCGGTAAAACCCCCCGACCCTAGTGCCGCACAATTCTCTTCACTCCTTCTCTCTTCCTTGAAGGTTAGGGTTTCACGTTCCAATTTTCCCAATCTTCACTTTTATTTATGGCTCTTCTTGTCTGTGCTGGACGCAATCTCACCTTCAATTTCTCTCTGACTTACTTTGACTTGATATTTTTCACTTCACAGTATCTTCTACTTTTGATTTCAGTTTTTTTTTCCTTTTGAAGAATTGCTCACATTCGCTTCAACTGCTTCTTCAGATTTTTTTAATATTTCTGCTCTTCACTGTGTTGGAATCTGTTGGTGGTTAAAATTCTGGATCCTCCTTTACTGTTGGACTTAGTGGAAACTCAAGGGTTGAACCGTTCTGGAGATCCAGGAACTGGATTTTTATTCTTGCACAGAAATGCGTCTGGGTTCAATTATTGGTTGACCTCCATGATACAAGGAGGGATGTAGTAAGAGATTTACGCAAGTGGAGCCGCATCTCACTGGGAATGAACTAGTAACGAGGGTTTTGGGTAGTTTATCTTTAAAATTAAAAAGCAAATGAGCCCAAGTATAGCTTTATCTATTTTCAATTTAGCTATTGATATTCAATTATCCATCGGTCATGGTCATGGTCGAGGCTTTTCGTTGCTTTTTGAAATCCCTTGTAGATTGAATGGAGTGAATGAACGAGTGAGTAGGGTCAACTTAAACTTGTTTACTTTTTTCTTTTCTTTTTTTCAGTTTTGCTGAACTTCATTGTGCCAAAATCTTTTAAATTTCAGCATGACCACTTTTTCTTGATTATTTCCTTTTTTAGTACTCTGCACTTGTTTTGCGTAAGATAGTCATTAGTCTTGGATGAAAGTTGATAATAAGTTTCAAAACAGTGCATTTAAAACTTTGTTTCCTGTTTATTGATACTAGGATTTAGGAGTGTGGCCTTCGTGAAGTACTACTTGAAAAGGAACTTGATTATATGGTTGTCTATCAGCATTATTTGGTGATAGGTATCTATGCATTATGTGTTCAGAAGATTAGAATAAAAAGGGATTCTTTCTGCCAATTCATTTTGCCCAATTTTTTCAATACACTTTTATGGTTGATCTTTGTTCATTTGTTACACCTTTGTTTCCTTGTTGCTTCTATGGAAGTTCGGAAATAAGAATGATGACTGATAAGTTTGATATGATATTGCAATAATTTTAAGAACTTTAATTGTTTCTATTTTTATTGCTGTGGACTGGTAACTGCTTGCTACACTACTACCATGTTCCTTGAAATTTTTAAATAACATTTATTATTGACGTAAAATCAGAGATTAAGTTAATGAACTTTCAAATATTTCCATTATTGTTGCTTTGGTAACATCTACTCACTAGTTACTACTTTACTACCAGGTCTGCCATGCATATACATCTGTGTGCGTCTTACTATCCCCTCATACCATAATTTCCTTTTAAGGTTTCTGGAAACTTTGAATATGTGTTTTTTTTAGCTTATATGGAAGTGTATACATGAAGAGTGATAGATCTCCACCTCTCCTCTTAACAACCCCAAATTATCAGAACTTAGAAGCTTCCCCACAAACCTAACAGCCTGTTTATTATTTCCTAATTTTATCCCGAATTTCCTTTGAGACTTAATCTGCAAGTCTTTTTATATTGTTACCATCTTTTACATGTTTTTTTCATTATTATATTTTAAGACTTACTAAATCACATTCTTGTATAGGATTAATTTTCATCAAGTACCTGCTAGGTGTGTAATCCCTATGTATAAGCATGGTGAGTATTTTAAACTTTGCAACATTCATTGTTGTTGGGAACTGTTAATAGAGTAATTCCTTCCTACCCAATATTCCTGCACCTCAAGAAAGAGGAGGATGAAAAAGATCCACTAGTTATACCAAATTGCCAATATAAACTGTAAAGAGTGTGTATGTTCATGTGCAGGACTTCTGTCATACTGTTGTTTGATTAATCTAGTTTCATACTGGTTGAGGAGACCTAGAGTCAATATTTAGCTTTTGCTACTATTTGTGGATTTCTGATGGATGATGCCGGGCATCGGGAAAATGGAAGGCACAAAGCAGATCAATATAAATCTGCTCAGGGACAGGTACACAAAAAATAATAAATACCCTTATGCAATGGACAAAATTCGTTGATATTCAATTTTACATGAACAAACAAATGGTAGTGGCATCATGTACTCAGTGCTATGGTAGATACTAGCTTTGATAATAGTTGTCACAAATTTGCATTGCAGTGGTTGATGCAACATCAGCCTTCAATGAAGCAGATTATGACAACTATGGCTGAAAGAGATGCAGCCATCCAGGAAAGAAATCTGGCCCTTTCTGAGAAAAAGGCAGCACTTGCAGAACGTGATGTGGCATTCCTGCAGCGTGATGCTGCAATTGCAGAACGAAACAATGCAATTATGGAGCGAGATAATGCAATTGCAACTCTTCAGTATCGAGAAAACTCTTTGACTAGTGGCAGTATGCCATCATGTCCTCCAGGATGCCAAATTTCACGTGGGGTCAAGCATATACATCATCCCCAGCAACAGGTACATCATTTACCTAACATTGGCGATGCTTCTTACAGCGCCCGGGAAATGCACACTACTGATGCCCTCCCTGCAGCCCCCATCCCTACTGAGGCTGGGAAATCACGGCGAGCCAAACGGCCAAAGGAACCTAAGTCAACTTCGCCTAATAAAAAGACTTCAAAAGCAGCAAAAAAAGTCAAGAAGGAAAGTGAAGACTTGAATAAGGTTATGTTTGGCAAGGCGCATGAGTGGAAGAGTGGTCAGGAAATGGTTAACGGAGGTGATGATCTTAACAAGCAGTTAGCAGTGTCAAAGGCTGATTGGAAAGGTCAGGACTTGGGATTGAACCAAGTGGCTTATGACGAGTCAACCATGCCACCGCCGGTATGCTCTTGTACTGGTGTTCTGAGACAGTGTTACAAATGGGGTAATGGGGGCTGGCAGTCTGCCTGTTGCACAACTACTCTGTCAATGTATCCACTTCCTGCCGTGCCCAACAAGAGGCATGCACGGGTAGGTGGTCGGAAGATGAGTGGAAGTGCTTTCAACAAGCTGCTCAGTAGGCTTGCAGCAGAAGGTCACGATCTGTCAAACCCTGTTGACCTCAAGGACCATTGGGCCAAACATGGAACAAACCGATACATCACAATAAAATAGATGGTGGGAAATTGTTCGAGGCCGCAATACATGCTTCAAAACAGCTTTTATTGATCACTTATGAATTCTCAAGCTGAACTAGGAGGAAAATAATGCAAGTGTAAAGGTCGTCAGGGAAAGCTAATATTTAATGTTTGCCCCTACCTATATTTAGGATGCATAGTCCTACGGGATGTTGGCTATATTAGGGGTTGAAGAAACGACTATATAATCATCCTTGTCATTTGTGGTCTGGTGGCACCAATGGCATGTATAAAAAGTTTGTATGATGGATAAATAGCTGTTAGATAGTCTTGGTTAATGCATGGTAGTCCTTAAACCGGAATAATTCTACTCTTATTTCCGTAGTCATCCTGGAACACTATCTACGAGTTAATATGTGAAATTGACTATGTATTTTAATTTTTTCCTAGTTTCATGTTTTTAATTTTACCTCCTCCTTGAAGCCTATCCATGAGTTTAGTTATTATTGGTGGTTGCAACAGGAATTGGCATCCTAAGATGGTTGACGCCAGAGGATTAAGCAATTCTCACTAAGTGTTGGGGGTCATCGGGAACATGGCTCTTAAGTCTTGATAGCGTCTTTTCATGTATGATACGCAGATTAAAAAGCACCTAAGAATAATGTTTGGCAGCTGTAGAGACCCGACCTGTTCCCCCTTTTTTTATTTGCACATTATATTTAAGATTTTGTGTTTAGAAATATTACTTTTTTCAATCTATTATTGTGATTTCATTAAAATTTATTAAGCTGTTATTCTTATTGAATTACCACATTTTCTAATTAGCTATTCTTAATTTATTTTCTTTTAATTTAATATTTTCTCTTTACAATTTAATTGTTTGGATTTTTAAATTAATTATTCCCAAACCTATTCATATGTAACTTTTTTAGAATATGTTCTTTTTAATTTATTTCAAATATGCCAATGATGCGGGTACAAACATAGATAAACACGTCTGAATCTGACAATAAACATCCCTAACTATATATGAAAGGGATGAACATTGTCATTAAAGCAATGCAAAGAAAACCTTAGAAGGAATAAAGGGAAAGTGTAACTTCAGAGAATCTTGAAGCGAATCATCATAAGAAACTTAAATGTAATTTGATATAAAAACAAAACCATTTTGGGAATCAGTTGAGAATTGCGTGAAGCAAAACTAGACAACCAATATTGCAAGCATATCAGCCAGGGATACCTGTAAAGTAAATATTCTCTTCATCTACGACACAGTACCAACATATAAAAAGACACTGACAAATTCAGTATTGGAAGAAGGAACGATGAAGAAACAATGTTCTGAATTATGTATATAAGTAGCCTCAAAAACCCTAAACCTTTGCTATTCATCAGAGAAATACAAGAATTTGCATTTCAGCCAAATATAAGACTCATCATTGGCTACAACATATATACGAACAAGGGCTATCTCATTCTTAACTAACGCAATCTTTTGTTGCGAAAAATATATGTTTAGATTAGGACCAAAATCAATTTAACATTAACAAATTCAAACCATTTTCTATTAAACTCAATATTATCAAAAACTAAATAAAGTGGGCACACATGTTCGCATACAAAAGGTAAAAACATGAACCACGCCAAGAAAAATCAAAGTATTTGGTTTCCACAAGAGTATTAGATAAAATAAAAAATAAAAAAGGAAAAGCTTTCACCCAAATCAAGGTTTTGCAATGTCAATATAGTGTGGCATTATCTTCCTACTCAATGAGATTCACTGCACCCAAATCAAGGTTTGAGTTCTCAACAATTTCAAAGATTCGTCATTTGCCCTCATTAACTACAAACACACATAAAAGCTCAATGATTTAACCAAGTCCCAGCTAGTGAATACAGAGACAGGAAACATAATTTTTCGAACGCATCTGGTGAATGGAAAACGGGAACTAGGGTTCCTTTTATAGGACAACTCACCGGGATTTGGGAAGGCTAATCGAACGGCTATGATTTATTGCCGGGATCATAGGCTGAACATATCTATAATCACTTTCATTAATATGATACTTGCAGTTTCAATAACGTCCACGTATTCACTGTTATAGGGTTGCATTCTAAAATCTATTTCTTGTTTTTTTAAAAAACAGAAGAATTTCTATACACATTTAACTTTTCATATAATTACTTTTTTTTTATCTTATAAGTCATTCTTATAAATTTTGTGTCAAAATAAAACTTTCTTGTTTAATTAGTTATTCATTTTAAAATTATTTTAATTAATATTCAATTTTCTATTATTACTAAAAATTTTAAATATTTACAAATATAATCAAAATATTACTTTATTAACTAAAATAATTTATAATGTTTTTCAAAAGAGTTTAGATGTTACTACTATTAAGTTTGGACTCATTGTAAAATAATATTTCACAATAAGATGTTGTGTCATTGATAAAATAAACAAATCAGTAAAAAATACCTGGTGAATATTTTTAGTTTTAAAAAAAAATTGATAAAATAAACAAATAAAACTCAAAATTAGGCCCTAATTAGTTTTCATTGGAACTTTATCCTCTATGCTCTCTCTCACGCATTCTTGTCTTCCATTTCCACGAGATATTGATCCCATATTTCCATTAAACGTGGTCTCGTTTAAGTTATCCCAATTTTCACTCACATCACCGCATAGGGTAAACGAAGATGGTGTGAGATTTTACAGGTAACGAGGTCTGAATCCTATTCTTATTATGTATTGTTAATTCCATCGTGTTTTTTTTTTCTTGGTCAAGTAATTCTGTAAATGTCGAATATGGGTTTATTTTAAAAGAGAGCCTCGCATTGTTTCACGATGGGCCATGAAATATCATATACTCAACTGCCGGCCCATTTCAGACAAAGACTAAACCATTGAAAAAAAAGAGAGTTAAAGACTATGCTTGATAATTAACTTATAGAGGAGAAAGACTAACAAAAAAACTTGTGTCTCATAAATATTTTTTATTATTTTATTTTTAAAAATAAACTAATAAAACAATGAAAATCAGTTTCAAACACGATCGCATGATTTCTGTTGAATAAATATTATTTTCAGAATTTAATTATTTAATATTTAACTAATAAAACCTTCAAATGACTGATTCAAGTGAATTTTATACGTTATTTTTTAGTATCAAATAGCACTATTTATTTTTTATACTTTTTTCCTTCTTTCTAAATATAACTCCGAAAATTGACTGAAATGGCTAACCAGGCCCTTGTTTTTTTTTTTCCCCATTCGGGCCTGTTAGCACATGTTTGGATTTGTGGTGCTCAAAATCACGCTTGCATAAGTAAGGTGGGTTTGCCCATTTTTCAACATGTTTGGTTCTGAGTTAGGTATATGTCTCTAACGGAATTTTCAATCTACAACCACGTTTGTGTAGAAGCAAGTATCAGGTAGTTATTACCTTGAGTATAATTTTTTTATTAAGTTTAATTACAATATCACTTTTAAAAAATTACATGCAAATTGCTTTACTTGAAATTCACTTTTAGGTAAGATAATTTTATCAAATTGAGATAATACAAAATTTAATTTTCAAACACTCACTCAAACTCAAATTTAATGTAGTAAATATAATGCTAGTAATCCAAAGAGCAACTTACATTCTGTCATGTATCCAAATACATTCTCTTAAAGTATCCAAATACGAATTAAAGATTATAAAATTAAATTCCAAGATACTTTACTCTCTATGTGACCTCATAGAAGCGCGTCTGAGAGCTTGATAAGTTGCCTTGTGGGGGAGTGGCCATATCCATGTTATGAATTAATTACTATATCAATCCACGTGATGGATTTGAAATTAATTAGCTAGCAAATACTAAATATTTGGTTTAATCTTATCTTACAGAGGGAGCCGAGAAAAATGGCTAACACGTGAACAATAAAAAACGTGCCTTTCAGCTAAGTTAACACGCTAAGACAAGGCCGTAAGCAACACAGTTAGTAGTCATAAGAACCGAAGAAGAATTATTACACACAAACACAACACAACACGACTACCTCGTCATCGTCAATTCAGAAACATTCAACACACTTGATGTTGCTGCTCATAGACAGTTCCACCACCGAATTTTGGAGCTCAAGTTCGTGAGTCGCGGGTTTTGCTTGAGATAGGGTTTTCTTCACAGCTCTCTCACGAGGTACTGTGTCTTTGATCGTGTCAATTCGGTTGTTTTGCAAAATTGAGGGTTTATTGTTAAGAGCTTTTGGTTAATTGATTGATAGTGGTGTGTTGTGAGTGGGAGCGTAGTGAAGTCAATGGAAGGTGTTGATAAACGAAATAGTGGTGCTGCATTTGGTGCTCCATTGCCAAGACCACCAAACCTGAAACCTGGAATACCACCCTCTCACCCTAATATCAATATTCCACCTTCAACCCCTTATTCCCAATTTTCTCAGCGGTTGCGTTCTCCGGGCTCGTCTCATTCAAGGTCTCTGTCTCAACCTTCAATTTTCTCGTTAGATTCCTTGCCCCCATTGAGTCCTGCTCCTGCTGCTACCTCCATTTTTGACTCAGATATGTCTGTGGAGGAAAGTGTGGTTTCTTCTCATGCTCCTTCGCCTCCTTCTGTTCCCCTTAACAGAGGGAATCCCCTTCTTCCTCCCCGTAAAGGACATAGGCGCTCTAGCAGTGATTCCCCTTTGGGAATTTCTGGTTTTATACAGTCTTCTCCGCCGCAGTTGGTTCCCCCTAGAGGCGAAGGGTCGGGTTTTGAGAAGCCGATTCAGTTAGTCTTGAAGGCGCCGTTTAAGGACGGCGACCGTGCTGATGAGCCTGTGAATGGGAGGAAAGAGGAGGCTGCTGATGATTTGTTTAGGGAATACATGAATTTGGACAACATTGATAGTCTGAACTTTCCTGGTGTGGAGGATAAGGATTTGGATAGCAGGACCAGTGGTTCCAAGACGGTTGAGAGCAGTGATAACGAAGTTGAGAGTCACGCCAATGGGAAAACCAGTGGTGCTCAGGGGGCCAGTTCGAGCTGTTCGGAGGAAAGGAGGGAAGGAATCAAGAGGAGTTCAAATGGGGACATTGCTCCTAGTGGTCGGCATCGAAGGAGTTTCTCCCTGGATAGTTCCATAGGAGACTTTCACATTGAGGATGGGTTACCTAAGCTTCCTCCTTTGAAAAATCAATTTGGTCAACTCTCACCTAGCAATTCAATAGATGGCAAAACGTCTGAAACCACCCCAGAGTTTGGAAATGGAGAATTCAGCAGTGAGGAGCTAAAGAAAATAATGGAAAGTGATAAACTTGCTGAAATTGCCTCGGCTGATCCCAAACGTGCAAGAAGGTATATTTTTCTGCTATTGGTCCTTTTTCCTATTGCTTACTTTGGGTAAAAAAATCCAATATCTCATCATGTTCCCTGTATGCTCGTCAGAATTTTGGCTAATCGTCAATCAGCTGCTCGTTCAAAGGAGAGGAAGATGCGGTACATTGCCGAATTGGAGCACAAGGTGCAAACTCTTCAGACAGAAACAACCACATTGTCTACTCAGTTTACTAAATTACAGGTGACTATCTCTTGTGACAAGTTTACATTCGCCCTTCTTCTTAGTCATGTATTTCACATTCTTCCTTATTTTTTTGGTGCTTGTCTCCAGAGGGATAATACTGAGCTTAAAAATGAGAACAACGAGTACAAACTAAGGCTTCAAGCAATGGAACAACAGTCTCAATTGAAAGATGGTTTGTATACATTTTCCTGCTACTTTATGTATCAGTTTGCTCAAACCTGCTTTAACTTATTTTTTTGTGAAATGGATTTATTAGAATAGGCACTTCTATGTGAATTTTAGAAATATGAACCTTTGCATTGTCTTTTTATTTTTCAATGAATGAACAGTATCTGCATGCGTAATTAGTAATGACAAACAATCACTTGTGACTTCTATGAGTGATTTTTATACCTAATCGTGTTTCTTAAGCCATATTATTTCATCATTACATATGACCATCTCTGTTACTTTCAGATCTTCCCACCTACTAGGCTTAATGAGCTTTTGAATTAATCTTAACAATGCTAGCAAATTTGAAACCCAATGGCATTTTGCACAAATACTACGTTTTCCTACTGCCGGTTTGCTTGTGATAGCCCCTTCAAGACTGCATATCAAAATTGCTTGCATGTAATCTGTTTTATTTACAGGCTTTCCCCGTAGATGTAGCCACTTGAACTGTTCAAATAAAGGAGAGGAAACGGAAGGGCCAGGTTAAAGGGATTTAAAAAAAATATGTCTTATATTAAGGGTAAAAAGCTGCGCATGCTTTCATATTTTACACAATGAGAGACATAACAGGGGGTGAGGGGGTGTAGACTCAGGAAAATTTTATTGCCTCCAAGGATCCAACCTTGTTTCATCTGTCTTTCATTGCTGGTTCCATTGTTTTCTCTTGTGAGAAGTGGTAACTGTTATTGTTTAGCCACTATTTTGTCAAATCTTGATGTTCTCTCTTCATTCATGGTTACGTTTGTTTGAATTTCTGTCATGATATTAAGGGAATTTGGTTACCTGCTACTTTGGGAGTTTAGCTCGATGTTCTTTTTTATGTTCTGTGGATGTAAGCATGGTCAATATAACTATTGCGTGTAAATATAGACACTTTGAACGTGTATCCTCTTGAAGACGTTGGCAGGGTTGTTTAGCAGCTTGACCCTGTAAGTATGTATCTCCATTTTCCTCCTCCCCTTTCTTCAAAGCACATGTACATGCAGAACTCCAAGATCAGGAGGAGTAAATGTGCCATGGGCAGTATTAAATTATATTTTGATAACTAAGGGACCGATGAAAGTAATGCGCAAAATTGTTCATTTCATTTGTACTTCTGCATTTTCTTTATTACAAGTGTCTAACAAAGTATGATACTGGGGTTACACAGTTGCATTCAATAGCTGTATAATAATTTTTTCTGATATTTGGGCAGCTCTGAATGAGACTTTGGATGCTGAAGTCCGGCGTTTGAGGCGCGCTGTTGCAGAACTTGGTGGGGAATCGCTCACGAGTTGCATGGCTCGACAGCTTGCTATTAACCAACAAATGTTCCAGTTAGAGCATCAGCAGCCCAACCAGCATAACCATTTTCTACTGCAAAATCGTCATACTCAGGAAGAGAGAGAGTCTCGGTCACAACAGATTCAAGGCAATGAATTGCATCCCAAGCCTTAAATTTCGAAGCAATATATTGCCAACTGATAGCGCCAAATAGTGGAAGCAAATAGTAACTGGTTGCTGTTGATTCAAATAGAGATAAAATACTTTTGTACATGGAGCTGAAGGGGTATAATCAATCGTATATAAGCACTGGTCTAGCATTAGTTTGCTGGTAGTTTCATAAGATCATTTCATCATCTTTATTTCATTTATTTTTTTGACTGTTTCACCCCGCATATGAACTCCGAGTATTCTATTCATGTTAGTAAACCTTGTACATCATGAATACAACCCACCTTTCCTATTGGAAGGGGCCATGTTGTTGCATAATCTATTTTCTTTCAAGTTTTCGTTGTTATTGTTAAGAATGAGATTATCTAACTCTAACTCTAACTCCCTTGGAGGAAACCACAACTCTTGTGCCAAGGTCCAATTTGCTATCCAATTAGCACATCGATTTCCTTCTCTCAACGTGTGGGAAAAAGAAATACTTCTCTCCCTATCTTTCGATTTCTGCTGTTTTCATTATATGTAAATAATATACTTGGGAAAGTTATGTTCGTCTCTAGATTTTAACAATGGATGCAATGATGCATAATCGCACCCAAGACTTGGTTTAAAACATCTAGTAGATGCGATGCCACTGAAATTGGACTGCGGATCTTAAAATTTTTACATGGAACGTCAACAAATTTGAATCCTAAACACTACATTTTTAGGAGGATATTGCCTAGCTACCTTTCGTGCTTTTAGAAAAGCGCCAAAACAGTACGAAAATTAAAAAATTATTAAACATGGATAATAAATACAAGGTGGCAGTTGATTATTAACTACTAAAATTGTACATTCATTTTTCTGCCCAACTATAACAACATCATGTTCATTTGTTTCTTTTCATTAAACTTGTGTGCTGTTACAAACCAAAATAATAAACAAAAAATCCTATTCAATTTTCAAATTAGTTAATCAGCGCATATTAGAGCATATATTTGATTTCTATTTTAAAAATAATTTTTAGTTTTTAAAAATAAAATGTAATGTAAATTTATAGTACATTTTATTTTTAAAAACTTAAAATAAATTTAAAATAAAAATCAAACATGCTCTTAATAACTAGAAGAGTGGAGGGAGAAAACATATATAAAAAATATTATTTATTTTTTATGTGTGAATGAGATAAATCAATCTCAAATTTTTGTGTGTGGTAGATCTCACTTCAACTTTCTACCTTTTCAAGTACTTTTAAATTATTAAATTTTAATATATTTTTTTATATTTCGAACTCTTTCATTTATTTTTTATTTAAATTCATTGAAACAAACAAAATGAGATGAAAGGATTATTTTTTTTATATAAAATAAACTAAAAATCAAAACAAACATTTATTTCCATGAAAAAAAAGTGTCGAGATTATTTGTGATTTCATTGCTACCATTAGTTTCCATTTTCTCAGAACTCCACGCCTCACGGTAACCTGTCTTAAAGTAGTTAGAAATATTTGTCATGGTAATTCTACACTTCAAGCCTATTATATTGTGTATACATATATATAACTTGGTGGGGTGAACTAGCAGATTGAGGCATAATCACAGATACATAATTTAGTGGGCTGAGTTTGTCAATTGAAACGCAACTCAAAATATGTAACTTTGAGGGTTAGGCTTGGCATTCTCCAGCTCAATTTTTTGGTTTCTTCATGTGTAACGCATTGTGATGTAATATTATTTTAGAAAAAAAAAAAACTATGATTTAAAGCATGGTTGACTAAAAAGAAAGCTGTGATTTCAATTTTTTAAAAATGATTATGAACAATATTTGAAAAAGAAAAAAAAAAAGCATTTTGTAATTTGATTCCTCATAAGGTAACTTATTCATCTATCATATTTATTTTGTGTCATTATAGCAAGTTTTGTGCGACTCTCTGTACTATCTTCATTGTTGCTGTTGATTATAGAATTTTTACTTTTTTTTTTTTATAAACATTTATCGATATCAACGATTAATTCATTTACACGAGTAGTGAAAACTTGAATGATAGTTATTTTTAATTGTGAATAAATACTATTAAATATTTTATTTTTAATTATGATTTATTAAAAATTCATGAAAATTTGCTGATTCAAACTGAGTGAGTAATACACGTAATTTTTCAAATTGATTTTAAAATTTGTTTAATATAGTTTACCAAAATAAAATACTTTTTAACTTATTATCACGATTTTATATTTATGTTTATATAATCAAATTTATATAAAAACATATTTGATAAACATTTAAATAAACTACATAACCTAATTCGTCATATATACTCAAGCAACATGACCATCTCGTCTTAAAAAACAAACGCTGGCGTATAACAGGTATACCAACTTTAACTTTCATGAATTCTCTTATATTTTAAAAGAACTCTGACTAATAATATATTATTAGATTATGAATAGAGTTTCAGTTTTAGCTATCATCGCAGTACTTTAAAACGAAAATAACTAAACAGTAATATAAAGAAAAATAGAAAACCAAAATCAAATCCATATGCATATATAAATAGTTTAAAGTAAGTAACACATGTCTGTTTTGGATTGATCTACTAATACGAGCGAGGAATTCATCTTGCGCGTGCTACAAGTTACTTGACTATACAATTAGAAGCTTATGTTAATAATGAGTCGAATCAAATAAATAAATTAACTGAGTGTGTGTGACATTTACGCTACCAGGAAATCAATCAATGGGGGCTTAAAGAATAATTAAAGACTAACAAATGGAAAGAGTAAAGAGAGAGGGAGAAGTTCCAAAATCCAAGCTTTGATGATGAAAACACGCTAAAACGAGTAAAAGAAAGAGAAAATCTAAGGACAACGACAGAGCGAAGCCAAAATCAAAATTGCCACATAATAATAATTTGTTTCCCCTTTTTTGAAGAAAGATTTTATCCATCCAAAAAATGTTTATATTTATTATTAATAATTAATAATTAATAATAATATGAATAATCAAAAGTTGGGTTGTTGCTAGTCTCGAAAACCCAAGGACAATCCACTCTTTATTATCCTCTTTTATATTTGAGCACTACTCACTCACTCATTCGGTAAAATTAAATTAGGGTTTCGTTTTCTTCTTCTTCACCCCACTGTCACTGCGCAAACCCAGTTCTCCCCGCTTCTGATCTTTACCTATTTCCCGCCATTTCCCGCGCTTGATTTCCGAGATTTTGAATACTAGCCGTTAGATCTGCCATTTTCATATTAATATTTTTTTTTCAGTTTCCAAAAAAACCTTTGACCGTTGCTCTCGCCGGAGTGAACGGGAAATGTCTGCATCCGAAGCGGAGAAGAAGGTCGAGGAAGAGGAGGTTGTGAAAGGGGGAGAGCTCTTGTTCTGCGGTGCCACGTGTTGGGATATCATTGGTCGTCGCAGAGGTTCCGCCGACTCTAACTTGGTCTCTCCCTCGCGCCTCCGTCCTCTCGCCGGCGTTGATATTCGCTACGTTGCCTCTGGTTGCGGTAACTTTCTTTGCTTTTTTTCCCCAACGAAACTTGAATATTTGTTTTATTTTCACTTTTTCCTCTTTTATTATTCCGTTTTGTTTTGTGTTATGATTCGTGTTTTAATGTGTATAACCCGTTGTTGTGTTCTTTTTTGGGTATACTGTGAATGCAGCGTCTTGCCATTGTGTGGCATTGGACGTTGAAGGGCGTTGCTATACATGGGGCCGTAATGAGGCATGAATTAAGTTTATAAGCACTCGCTCGTGCATTTTGAATTTTAAATTATTAACACTGCCTCCAATTTATGAGATTTGTTGTGCAGAAGGGGCAACTGGGTCATGGAGATACCATTCAGCGCGATAGACCAACTGTTGTGTCTGAACTTTCCAAGTGAGTTAATGATTTGTTGCGGTGGACGCGGTTTCTCTTGTTTCTTTCACCTTTGGCTATGAATATAGTGCTTCCTTATTTAGTGTTTTTTTTTTTTTTTGTGTGTGTGTAAGCAAGAATGTATACTTAGTTTTCTTCTGCACATGGTATTTATCCTAGCTTCTGGAGTAGGTAATGGTTATGTAACTAATGCTTTGGGGGAATGCTCTGCAAAAGTTATTAATATGTTTGTGTACATGTTGACACATTTTTATAAGTTGCATTTAGAAAGAATGGTTGATCGTTTGTTTGGTGATCCACCAATGGAAAAACAAACGCATGCCATAATTTTTCTCTTGTTTTTTGTCAAATGTTGGGTTTGGGATTTGTCTAACTCTAACCTTTTTCAATTTTAGGTTAATTTGGTATCTGCTTGCAGTTTTTCCTATCATTATTTCTTGTAATGCTAAATTTAATTGATGCTTAAATTGAAGATACAAAGTTGTCAAAGCTGGAGCAGGTAGGAGCCATACGGTGGTTGTTACCGAGGATGGGAATTCACTAGCCTTTGGATGGAACAAACATGGACAGTTAGGTTCGGGTTCTGTGAAAAATGGTATGCTTGTTTTTTAGTGTATCTATAAAATTCTGCAATTTGTGCTAATGAATTTTGCTTGAATGTTAGTGTGATCCATGCTTTTTCTTAGGCTTTGCTTGGATATTTTATTTGTAGAATGAATGCATAGAATGGAATGAAGTGTAGTTTACTGTTATTTGTATATTCTATGGTAGAATGGAGAAAAGTTTTCATTCCCCTATTTGGAAGTTCTAGTGCAAGCAAATATAGTGGCAAGGACTATAAACTTGTTGTTCCAATTTTTCCCCTTTTTCAAAAAATTTATTATTCTAAATTCCTGTATTTTTCTTTTTTGTGTGTGTGAAATATTGAATAAGTATGACTAGTGCAAATAACAAAAATATTTTTTTGTTTAATAAATGTCCGTGTCACAAGTTGGGTAGCAATTTGTGCACTGCAACTGCAAACTTCAAAGTGCTAAGAAGATGAGGGCAAACTGAAATGCGAGGTAATGGATGGAGGCAGTGCGCAGTTTCAAATTTTGCACTTGTAGAGCTAAGAAGTGGAAGGTTACCACCACTTCAATTCCAAAACCATTCACTTTCTATGTTGCTCTTCAAAATCATGGTGGTTTTTCATTACGTGAAGACAGGGTGATTTGATGAGGATGGTACAGCTAGAGTCTGGTTCTAGGACATAGAAGAGAAAATTGGTGGCAATACCTCAGCTACTAGGAAAAAGGGTTCAAGGACAAAAAATATATTTTTTTTTATTATGGTAATAAAATTTATATTGGTTTCTCATCTTACCCAACAAATTGGAGGGGAAGAGAATGGGCTTACAGAGTGTAATGGGATGGAATGGAGTCCACATAATTCCATTTCTTCCCACCCTGTTTTTGAAAACCCAAACAATGGCATCCCTTATCATTTTATTCTATTTTACTCCTTTCCACCCTATACCATCAACCCAAACAAATTCTTGGTTGCAGTATTTTTGTATAAATCTGTATGGTTGCAGTTACTTATTGTGATGCTGGTGCTGATGCTTATTACAACTTACTGCTGTTTGTGTAGTGATATTTATATTTTTTATTTGTATTTTCTTTTGGTTGTGCCTATTGTTCGTCCACATAAATGAAAATGATTGATGATATAAAACTTTCTTCCAGTTGTACTTATGTTGATATTTATATTTCTCATACAGAATGACAATTTGATTTTCATCCTTGCAATGTCTTGTGCAGAAATTGAGTTATCTCCTGTTCGCTGTCTTGTGGCTGAAGTAAAATATACTACTTGTGGTGGTGATTTCACTGTTTGGTTATCTTCTGTTGAAGGAGCTTCTATACTGTATGGTTTCTGGATGAAGATTGCATTCAGTTTTCTTTGATTCTCCGTCTGTATACATGAATATTCTGTTCTTGGGATGCAGTAGTTGCTGAATTTCAATTTTTACTTTTGTTGTGATTCCCAGGACTGCAGGGCTTCCACAGTATGGGCAGCTTGGCCATGGAACAGATAACGAGGTATGGTTGTGGAAGATGTTTCTATGTCTTTGTAGTCCCAAATGTGTTGGTGTCCATAGTTTAGTTTAAAACTGTGGGATGCAGCTCCACTGTATTCAAGTGGCTAGTTGATCATGGGGCCATTTACTTACCATTTCATCATTAATCTTACAATTACAACAGTTGAATTTTGAGTTATTTCCCCATTGCTATGGTGGCATTTGTTTTAACATAGTTTTTTGTATTTCTGTGTCATTATCTTCCCCCTGACATCATGCATCAATTTAATCACACATGCTTTCTTCAAATAATCATGCCGTATAGGCTGTATAAGAAATATTTGTAAGTTTTCAAATAGCATTATTGGATCCAATATTTGTACACGCTACATTGGTCATCTGAGTTTTATGAATTTTAAGGCTTTGATATCTTTGTCCTACAGCTAGTGTAAATAGTTGTTGTCTCTTACCAGTGAGGAAATGTCTTTTGTGGTGGATATTCTTTTGATCTCTGAGAAATAGAAACTTAAAAAAAATCCATTTAATGTTTGTTTATTTGCAAAAAAGTACGAATAAGTATAGGCATGCCTAAAAATTGTTGTATCTGCAGATTAAGAAACATGAAAAGAGAAGTATAGAATAATGGACAACGAAGACAGAAATAATTAGTAATTGTAAAATAATTAACCTGGTTCTGTATTAGATTGTTACCAATTTTATGTGTCTTATGTCCCACTTATTCTACAGTGGTCTATGGCTGGAGTTTTACTTGATCATCTCAGTGAATTTTCTCACTGTATATAAGAAATATCTTAAAGTACTAGTTAATTTTATTATAGATAATTTAACTAAAAAAATAATTCTCCAAAGTTGACCTTGGTTTGGATATGGCATTAATTTTTACTCTTGTTCTACTCTACCTGGAAATCCAAACCTTTTGTTTTCTCATTGTCATTTGATTCTGCTTGTCCTAACATACATGCGCATGCATGGGGCTTCAAAGAATAGAAAACTTTACTACTTTACATAATTTTGCATTTACTTGCAGTATAATTCCAAAGACAGCTCTGTGAGGTTGGTTTATGAAGCCCAGCCACGCCCACGAGCAATTGCAGCTCTTGCTGGGGAAACAATTGTCAAAGTGGCATGTGGAACAAATCATACAGGTGGTTGTTATTCTTTTTGATCTCGGTTATATCACGTTTGCCATTTCTTATTATTTTGTTTATGATGTTTAGTGGCGGTGGATAAGAATGGCTTTGTCTACACGTGAGTAATCCTTTAATGTCCTACTTCAATGTTTTATTTCCTTGTGTGTAAAGTTATAATTGTTGATGACTTGGGTGTGCAGGTGGGGTTTTGGTGGTTATGGAAGGTCGGTGCTTAGTTTCAGATCGGGTTGGCAGTGTTTTGTGAACTCCCAATAAACTGCAGATACCAGATAATTCTTATTTAAAACTGGTTTAAGTTTTTTGGTCCATACTCCTTATGTTCAAATTTTCATCCAAGCTCATGGTTTCTGTAGGTTAGGGCATAGGGAGCAGAAGGATGAGTGGGTCCCACGTCGTGTTGATGTTTTTCAGAATAGAAATATTTTGCCCCCTGATGCAGTTATTTCAGCTGGTTCTGTGAATTCTGCATGCACTGCAGGTATACCTCTCACAAATGCATACCCTGACCATACTTCGTTAAAATGAAATATACACTTGCATGATATGTTGCTTACTTCCTTTCAGGTAATGCATCTGTTATAAAATGATACTATTGATAACATGATGGTTTGTTATGAAGTGTCAAAACCATGCTCTCTTGAGGAATTTGATGATCTCAATACCGGTCTTGAATATTTGCTTGTAATTTGAAGTAAAAGGCTCACATTACTTATCCATTTTAGTATACATCTTATGCCCCCAATTTTCAGCAGTAAATAGACAAAAGAAAAAGAAATAATATTCCAAGGGGTACATATGAAAATGCGATTTTTCTTGTGTTGATACTCAATACATTTTTTAAAATTTTGTTAAGTGGTTAGTACATGATTTGTGAGCAGAATCCAACCTCTAGTCTTGGCATCTGTTGCGTAGACACTCCCTCGTATTATAGATCTGGATATGTAGTTAATAATGTATTCCTTTAAATAAGGGAATAAAAAAGTCTCATGTTAAACTTGCCAATGGTTAAATCAATTAATACTACTGGTTATATCAAGGATAGGATATGTATTAGCTATTCTACCCTTTTTTAAAATCCCAACCAGTCATTTATTACTTACAATAAATGCAACACCTTTTTTAGTATCTCAAGACATTATAATTTGTCTCTGATCTGAACAATCCTTATTTAAATTATTATGATTTTGTTTGTTACTTTCCACATAAGGGCTTTTGATTTCATTTTCAGTGCTGGTTCTTTCATTTCAGGTGGAGGGCAGTTGTATATGTGGGGCAAAATCAAGAACACTGGCGATGACTGGATGTATCCTAAGCCTCTAATGGATTTAAGGTTGTTCTTTATTCCATGGTTTGAATAATAATACTTGGTGTATAAAATTCTGCTCAACGAATGTTTTTTTCCTACAATTCTTTTTTACCTGATGTTGATGAAAGTATTCCATGTTTACTTTGGTAAATAGTGGTTGGAATATACGATGCATGGATTCAGGCAACATGCACCATTTTGTTGGGGCTGATTCCTCTTGCATAAGTTGGGGACATGCTCAGCATGGAGAGTTGGGATATGGACCTACTGGACAGAAGTATGTGTATGCTGCTATTTTATTTTATTTTATTTTATTTTTTTGAGGGGGGAGGGGGGGGGGTGGTGGTGGGCAATCTTTTATTTGTCTTCTTATTTTCTGTTCCTGTTTGCACTTTCCCTTTAGGTCTTCAGCTGTACCCAAGAAGGTGGATATACTTGAGGGCATGCATGTCTTAAGGTAGGTAGTAAGTATGACTTCTTTGTTCCTTTTTATCTTGCCTCTTCTTCTGGATGTTGCATATTCTATTTTCCATTATGGAAGCCAAATGGTTTTTTTCAGTCTCAAATTATTTTTGGTAGCCAAATATTGGTATCAGTTAAGAAGTTGTGATTTGATGTGAGCAATATTATAATAAAAGCAAAAGTTTCTTATAACTGATGTGGTATATATATTTTTTATCCAATACGATTCTTAATCTATATGAATAAGCAAAATGAGAAATGATCTAAAATTTTCTTATTTTCTAATAGTGTTGCTTGTGGTATGGGTCATTCCATGGTGGTGGTTGATAGAACAAATGTTGCTGATCGACTTGACCAGGTAGCTCTTAACTCTTGCCTATTGTTATCTTAAGAGTTCATTATGTTATGTTTACTGTACTCTTTAAGTTCTCAAGATTAAGAGAGGTTTGTTATCGTGTTTTTGGTTATATATTTATGCTGCTTGTAGCAAAAATTATTAATCCTAATGAATGTAGTCATGTGCTATTTAGGGTTTAGGGTTTATGTGTTGATTATGATAGGAATCTGTAGCTTCTTTCTAATGAGTTTTTGGTTTTAAGCTCTCATCTCTTCAATTCCTATATCCATCTGTTGAATTTTATGAATAGATTTAGAGATGCCATGAGTTTTGTAAAGTTTTGTTCAGTTATTGATTTTAGCATGTAGTAAATTTACATTTAGTTAATTTTGGCATTCTATTTATAGCTGACATCTTTCTTCATCACTCTTCTATTTTTATGTCTCAAATGTTGTCCATTATACATCCTCTTCATCGCCTGTCCTGTGTAGTTTAGTTTATCTTTTGCATTATATTTTGTTAAGTATACAACACCTAACTTCTCCTTTTTCTGCAGCTTGATATATATGATGGCAAAACTTTTGGTGAAGGTATGCTACTTGTTATAAATTAAACTAGTTTTACGTGTATACTGTACAATCCGTCTAAAATGCAACAGGTAATAAGTGCTTTGTGGTTTCACATGCATCAGAATATATCGATTTATTCCTTGTTGTATCATAATGTTACTGGGAATCCAGATTGCTGGAGATATTTTCCTGAGCTATCTTCAGTTGACTGTTAAAAGTCTGGTAGGAGTTTAAATTGGTGCTGATTTCAGGCAATGAGGTCATAAACACAATTCCAGTGCCTAAGCAGGCTGCAAAAAAAGGTGTGAAAGGAGCTGACAATTCGAAGAAGCGGAAAAAATCAAAAGACTCATCCGAATCAGATGAGGAAGAGGATGTTGAAGATAGTGACAATAGTGAGGATCAAGTTAATGGTGAGGGTGAGGTGAAAAGGTCACGTAGTTCTGGTAAAGGCCGAGGTAAGTCATCAAAGAAGTCAGGTGCGGTGGAAAAAAGCTCTGGCCGTGGGCGGGGTCGAACTCCAGCAAATAAGAACAGTTCTAAATCAGCTCAAGTGAAATCCAGTAAGAGAGGAAGACCCCGTAAGTCATGACTTGGATTTTTGTTGAAAATTTTGTTCTCTATACACCTAGAGAATTGTAGTATGTAATTCATTGGCCGGTGATTATACCTAATGTTTCATTGTTACTAAATTTTAGTCTGGCTAACTACTTTATGCAAATTTTTGAAAAACATGTTAAATTTGCAGACTTTTTTTTAATGCAGAGGCAAGAAGTGCCAAGCTTGTTATAAATTTTTGTTAAGGGGAAATGCTTTTATTGCTTCAGTTTCCATTAGCCTTTAGATGTGCCCCTTTTATTAGGCCTTAATCTATTGGTTTGGTGACCTGTGGAGGATATTTGTCGATGACGTTTGAAGCGGAATAAGTGGTTTTAATCTTTAATCTTTTTTGTATTATACCTTGTAACGTAAGTTCAAATCTTTTAAAGAGATTCTTGCAGTGGTATGGATATGGACATCACCTTCTAATGACCCCACTACTGGAATTTTGTGAATTGAGTTGCCATTTTTCTCACTACGTTTCAAAGTTGCATTCCGAACGAGTCTGGTTCCCATCATAGCTCAAGTAATACTGAAAAATATTTTTAAAAAAGTAAATAAATGAGTTTATATTAACTATAAATAAACATAATAATGATTTATTTGGATGAAGTAGTTCTAATGGTACAATGAAAATAATATTATAAACAGCAAATACTCACCATAAATTTATGTAATTGCATTGCATTGCATTGTTCTTAGTTGTTATTTATCATAAGAGCTTTTAAAAAACCCTTCTGCTATGGATCCATTGAAAGATGACGTGTAAAGAGATAAAGTTAGCGAACAATACATATATGTTAAAAAAATTTAATAGCAAATTTTAGTAATATAAAATTTATGTAGGAAGATTAGCTCTAAAAATGAATATTACCTCTAAATTGTTAACAACGTGTGCTTTTATATATATATATATATATATATATATATTTTATTTTATTTTTAAATTTTTTTTTATGTATTATAGTTCTTTTGTTTCCTTTTGCTGCATTTCTGGCGACAAAGCGTTTTTTGGGTTCATTCTCGCAACAATGTCTGAATGTAACGCACTGAACAAAAATGCAAAATCCTTCTTTAGGATTTTAGCCCATGTCCAAGGTGATCAGGGCCTATTTGGTGTGGTGGTTTATGCTTTTGTTATAGCCACAATTGTTGGGTTCCGGTTTCATAACGTATCGTTCGCAGCAAAAACACGTGTGTGAGGGGTTTCGTGATTCTAAAGCATGATGATATATGAGGATATGAGGTTAATGATTAGCATGTGAAATATGTCAGTCCATAACCTTTAAACGAGATGAGGCCATGCACATGCACCACAACATCACAACCTTTGCCATGGCGTGGTAGATGCTCCTTCTCTTTATAATGGACATTTTTTTTTACGAAACAACAGAGTGTTATGGCTTGTTGCGTTGGATCCCATGTGATCTTGGGCTCCACATACTATTTATTGGGTCTATATAGTTGGCCAGTCATGTGCCGTTGTACCTAAACGTAATTTCATTTTTGTTGACCTTAGAAATTTTTATGTTCTCACATCAATTTCATTCTCCACTTCGGGTGGTACGAAGGAACCCCTTACTAATAATGAAAGCAATCTTACGTGGCTTTCTCATGATTGGGACACTCTGCTCTCACCGAGGTGTTAATCCTACCAAAAGGGAACACGTTTATGACCAAATGAATTAGTGAGTGTTTATACCAAAACATCCATATAGGAAAACTACTATTTCTGGTAAAAACTTGTGCTCCAAACTTGTTCTAAATATTCTGTAACTAATCATGGTAATATATATATTTTTTCTTTTTTATTGGTATCTTTATAAACATAGTTGCGAGACAATTCGTGGGTCAGGGATTGTAGTAAGTTTAAGTCTTTTCTAGGATGAGATTCTCTAAATTAGGGTCACTATGTCTAATCACCGTGTTTTGTTTTAAGTTCTAGGTACTTCAATATCATATTGCGCATTTATAACAAAGAACGTGAACACAGTGCTGCTCTGGAATAAGTCGTGAACGATTATCAATTAATTAATTCAATTATAATTACAATTTTAGTTGTAAGTATAGAACTGCATTGCTTGACGATAGTTCCTGCGAGCTGTTATAGAATAACACTGCTTCCAGTTCTCTATTATCTCTCGATGGGTATAATCTTATTAATAATAAACTCGTTCGGTAATTTTTAAAATTGAACTTTATATTTCTAATTAAGTTAGGACTGATTTTTATTGAACTTTTTTCCAAAGATTATATTAAATGCTGAAAACAATATATGAAATCTTATTCGAATGGAAAGATCATAAACAATAGTTATATTTGTTTTTATCATTAGTTTCTAAAATAACATTTTTTCGTTATTTCTCTCTATTACATCACTCGTTTAATCACCCCCTTCTTCTCTGTATAATATATACTATCAATAAATTGTAACAGTTGTTTCTTACCCAAGAATTTCCAACTAAAGAAGTGTTGCATCCTTGTCTTCATTTTAGTTCCAGTTTGAACTGTGGGGGGAAGAGAGTGGAGCAGTTTGATCGATCAGCGACACACGAGTGCGTGCTTGTAATGATTCCATGCTGTCACGTTCGTTTGTCCTCAATGAGATTACAAGGCTGTTTGATAGGCTGAAGTAGTGGACCATGCCATGTTTATTTTTAACCTACATTATATAGGATAAAATTATAATATTTTTATTAAATAATAAATGATCCTACTATATTATGTTATCATATTTTTCAAACGAGTCTTAAGATAAAAAGTGAGAAATGTTATTTTAAAATGATTTTATTAACATCAATTTTAAAGTAATTTTTTATTTTCAGTAATTTTCTGTATTAAAAGTATTATCATATAAAAAATATTATAATGTTTAATTACTTAAAATTAGTTTTAAAACTGATATCGATAATAACACCATAAAAATAGTATATGGTTTTTATCTTGTGAAATTGACATAAAAAAGTTAAAAACATATTATTTAATACATTTTATATGATTGATCAAAATTTTAAGCATTAAAATAAATTTAAAAAATTATTAATTTATTAAATAAGTATTTTAATTTTTTAAAAAATAATTGATCATAAAAAATGTTAAAAAAATATATTTAAAGGAACAAAACAGTATCTTTATCGTCTGGCATCAGTAATATTAGGTGTGAGAGAAAAAGTGACAAGGCCATCTACATAATTAAGAATGTCATTAGATTTTGTATCCGTACATTTTATGAGAATTATTACTATTTTAATGATTTTAATTTATTGACAAAATTTAAGTAGATTATTATATGTGTTTTTTAAGTTGCTTTTTAATTAACTTTTAGAATTTCACTTTAACAATGTATATTAACTTTTATTATATTATAATTATGTGATAATTTTAAGTATATATTAATTATCGTTAAATAAGCTTATTCGAAAGTATAACTAATTTTGAATTAATTAAAAATAGACTGTTATTTTACAATTTTTTATTTATTTTTACTTTAAAAAGTGAAATCTATTTAGTAAAGGAACTGACAGCTAAAAAAGCAGAAAAGAAAGTAACCGTAAGAATCAGGAATTACTACTTTACTAGAATAGAAGCTAAGGGAGGGGACCACTACCTGCAGAACTTGAACCGTATTGCAAATCGCTCAAAATGCTAATGCAAGCGAAGCGAGAGAACTAAAAAGAAACTGAAAAGCAAAGATCGTGACGACAAAAATTCTCGCGAATGGTGAGGGGTGTCGTGGCGTCTCTAACAAATTAAAATTTCAAATCGACGATTGGATAAGATACGAAGATATTTGGAGTTTGGTAAAAAAAGAAAACGATAATTCAAAACCTGACATTACCTTTTTCTTTATTTATTTATTTATTTTCTTGCTAAGTGGATGGGAACGGAAATGAGGTGATAGAAACGGAACGCGGACTCGAATGCAAAAATAAAAGGCTAATTTAAAGAGTGCGTTGAAGTCCGCATGTTTTATTCTTTCATCTTTCAATTTCCAATACGATAACCGCAAAAGTGCTCTCATTTTGTTTCTTTTCGAGAAAGAGAGTGAAGTGTGAGTGAGTCTAGAGAGAGAGAGAGAGATGGGGAAATCTAGCTCCTGCTTCAGGCTCATCACTTGCGGCGGTGACGCGGCGGAGAAGGATGATTACCAAGTGTCTGAGGTGAGGTATCTCAGTGACTCAAAGCCTCTTTTTCGCTTCCTGCATTGACCATTTAGTAACTTCTTGTTTTTGGATCCACACTGACCAATGGCTTAGACTTCAGAATAAAATATGATGCGGTTTTCTCATAATGGTTCAGTTTCAAAAGAAGTATATATTTATTTTTTATTTCGCGTTATCCTTAGTTTCATTATTAGTAATGAATGTTTGGGAGCTGTTCACGCTCTCTGTTGATAATTATTGTGTTCACTTTCTAAGTTTGTTCTCTTGAATATCAAATTTCGGCGTTCGTTTGTTTACGCGAATTTCATTACGTTGTCAGTGCGGGAAAACGACTCCGTTTTGACTGATGAATTGTTGTTTTAACAGTAAATTCATTGGCATTAATGGATTTTTTTGAAAAACAATCTTGTCTCGGAACTTCATTAGGATTTTGACATTTGATGCTATGCTAGTTGCACGATGTTGGACCGTGCTGTTTACTTTATCTCCAGTTGATATGAAGTTACGGACAATGTGGTTTTCAGATCTATGATTTTGGGTTGCACCGTATTTGCATGGGACAAAGTTTTTGCATCGCACAAGTAAATTCAAATAGTTGTACGTTGCACTCTCGTAAATTTCATTAGATAAGTGAAAGATTCATTGTAATGCCTCTGGCAATTGGCATTATGAAAGGTCTCAAGTCTTAGGATCACTGAAACATGGTTCATTTTGCAATGTTTATTTTTATTAGCTCGTTGAATACCTGTCTTCAGTCTCCTCGTCTGTAATGACTAATGATCTCTCTGTGTCATGTGGAAAATTTGTCTGTAATTTCTCTGTTTTTCACTTAAAGAAAAACTGGAATTTAAGAGAATACTGGCAAAACTTTTGGCGGGCAGAGGTTTTTTTTTCTTTTTCAAAATTGGAAGAGTTGGTGACTTGCTGCATTATGAATGAAATGGTTCTGTTGGGAACTTAGGATTGAAACGTTATTCTATTTTTATTTCATTCTTACGCTTGAGACACATAATCCATGTAGTTTTGAATATATGAAGTAGAGGGAAAAACCAAAATATACCTATTCTAGCAGGCCTAGCGGAGATTTTTTTTTTTTTTTTGTAATTTCTTTTTTTCTCACTTCTTAATACCTTGGTAAAATTAATTAGAAGCTGGAATTAAAAGGAATAGTGTATCACATGTTTGGTCAGCAGAGTTTACTTTTGCTAAATTGGAAAAATTAAAGTTTGGTTGCATTATGAATGAAATGGTTTTGTTAGGAACTTAGGATTGAAATGACATTCCATTTCATTCATACGTTTGTGACATGGAATCAGTATGGAAATGATTTATAGTTTTTAATGAACATGAATTAGAGGAAGAAACACAAAAATATACTTATTCTAGTAATTATGTATCCCACTCTGCAAGTAGGAGTTTTTATTGTACTGTTTGAAATCAAGGCCTGGAACGTAATCATCATAGTACTAAACATAGGAATTATCATTGGTGCATAAGGGAGCTAGGAATTGGATTATCATAGTAAATTCTGTCAAAATGTCTTCTGTAGGATTTTGCTCCAGACATCTGTATATTCATCATCTCTACTTTCTAGTTAGCTGTAAGAAGAAACTGAGGTGTATCCTCTGAGTCTCTGGCTTTTGTACTCATGTTGTTTCAAGTTTGTTTTTGACATATTTTTTAATATGATTCAGATCATGGATTCTAATGATAAACGTGGTTGGAGTTTCTACAAGAAATCTGCAAAGCACCGTGTGCTTAGCAATACAGTGATAGCAGAGGCCCCATTTTCTGCAAATAAGGAGAGTTCAGAATGTACCAATTTTAATTTTCAACCACTTCCTGAACCCAATGTGATTGAGAAGATTTACACAACAGATTTCTCTGATGAGAAGCCCCAGTTATCCTCCTTTGAAGGCTCACAAATATCAGAAACAAAAGTCATTGCTACTGAGACTAAGGTGGATGTGAATCCACCAGAGTCTTCTGTCATTGTCATACAATCTGCTATCAGAGGGTTATTGGTATGGTTTACTTTTGAGGTTTGCTAATTTCTGGAAGGAACAAGTGTAGCTATCCTTTTATGTATATCCTGTTCTTGTTTCTTTCAGGCTCAGAGAAAACTGCTGCAGCTTAAGAATGTGGTGAAGTTGCAAGCTGCTGTTCGTGGGCACTTGGTCAGGAGGCATGCTGTTGGAACCCTGCGTTGTTTTCAAGCCATCATTAGAATGCAGGCCCTTGTGCGAGCTCGTTATGCTCAGCAGTCACATCTGGAAAATCATTTAAATCGCAAGGATGGCAAAAAGGATTCCTCAAAAGCTTTGGTATTGTTATTTAAAATTATTGTATTTAGTTCAATACAGTTCACAGTGGTGTTTAAAATTATTCCTCAAAAAGTTTCCAATTATTGTACTCAGTTTAAGATTTCTATTTGTTTAGGGGTATTATGATTTTCATGATGATACCTTAGTAGATAATATGTTATTGTTCTTGTTGAACAGAACTGATGGTTTTACTCGAGCTCTGGAAATATTTAGTCTCTAGAGCTTTTCCCCCATTGTTAATGCATTGAGCATTTGATACCGCTACTTGAACCTAGAATCCTGAGACTTTTTTCTCCATTCAGATTTCTGAAGAGCATCATAAGATGTGTATTATGGCCTATTAATTTGCTAGAAGCCAGGCTCTAAGTGTGACCATTCTTTTTTACCTTTGTTTAGGGGAATGAAAAGCACATGACCAAATCGAAAGTGAATTACACTTCCATTGAGAAGCTGCATAGCAATAGGTTTGCTCATCAGGTATGGCAAGTATGGATTGCTTTTGTTACCCATTTTGCAATTACATTATGTAGCCTATATTTTTTCCCCACTAAATCCCTCCCATCTTTTCTGTACCTAAAGCTGTTGGAATCAACACCAAAGAACAAACCTATCCATGTCAAGTGTGATCCTTCTAAAGCTGATTCTGCTTGGAAATGGTTCGAAAGGTGGATGTCTGTATCATCAGAAGATACTGCAGAGCACAAAGAAACAAGTTCTCTGACAGAACAATCAGGCGAAAGCAAAGATAACTCTTCTGTGTTTCAATTTGAAACAGGTGTTCAATCTGAAGTTTTTCTCTGGTCAGCTGATTCAAAGTCCACGGTTGGGGATTCACTTCTCCCATCTGAGGATGAAGAAAAGCTAATTATTTATGACACTAACAACTTCAAGTTTCAAGCAAGCTGCTCCACATCATGTATTGTAAAAGATGATTCAGAACAAGTTCCTCCTGAAGAAACAATTGAAAATGATGCTAAAGTTGCTTCAGGAGAGACTGATTCCTTCCAGAATGAAAAATCAGGATCAGATGCAAGTGCACTGCCAGAGCTTAATTCTCCTCATATGAAGCCTGAAATTGCCCCACCACCTGTACTTAATTCTCTTCATCAGAGGCCTGAAATTGATTGTGAGCAGGGAAAACGATCCATGAAAAGACTTGCCTCAGACCAACTAGAGGCTGAAGGAAAGAAACTTGTAAATGGATCAAGAAAGGTCAGCAATCCTGCATTTATTGCTGCACAGTCAAAATTTGAAGAGCTGAGTTCAATAGCAAATTCAGGTAGGACAAGCACTTTGTCTTATCAAGATGCAGCAGTTGAATCACAAGGAGGCACCCCTTCTGTCAGCAATGATACTGCAGATAGATCAAAGGAGTTCAAATTTGAAAATCCTGCTCCCTATCTTTCAAGGTTTGGTGGTTCCGAATGTGGCACTGAACTCTCTATTTCTTCCACTCTTGATTCACCTGACATATCAGAGGCTGGTGCTATGGAAAATGAGCGAGATGCCAAAGATTTAGTGGAAGGGATTAGAAATCTTGAGAACACAATAAACCATGATGATTCACCAAATGCTTCATGTGTCATTCCAGCTTCTAACCCAGCTATTTCTGTTTTGGATCAGTCAGAGGTTGTTGTTGTTGATGACATTAGTGGCAATGTGGGCCAATCAATGGTGGCCGAGGGCTCTGCAGAACCTGCTATTAAGAATGAGAAAAAATTGTCTGACTTGCAGAGAGAGCAGGTAGAGGCTGTTCCGCAAGATTTAAGATCATCTCCTGAAGCTTCACCTAGAAGCCATTTAACTGTTCCAGAATCACAAGGAACACCTTCAAGTCAAGTATCTATAAAACCTAAAGAAAGCAAAATCGACATGAACAGATCCAGCAAAAAACGTGGTACCCTATCATTGGGTAACAAATCACCCGCAAATCCAAATCATGAATCAGGGTCAAGGGGCAGTAGTGAACAACTGCCTAAAGATCAGCAGAATGGGAAGAGGCGCAATTCTTTTGGCTCAGTAAAACCTGATCACATTGATCAAGAACCTAGAGATAATAGTAGTAACAATAATTCTCTTCCCCATTTCATGCAAGCTACAGAATCTGCTAGGGCCAAGATCAATGCGAATAATTCTCCAAGGTCAAGTCCAGATGTGCATGAACGAGACATCCAAGTTAAGAAGAGACATTCTTTACCTGGTGCCACTGGTAGGCAGGTTTCTCCACGCATCCAACTATCAATGTCTCAGGCACAGCAGAGTGCAAAAGGAAACAATGTACATCCTCCTCAAGGTAATTTCTAATGTACAAGAATCTTTTTGTTATGATTTGGACGAATGGGTGTGGCAGCATAAATACCATTTTTTCTAATATCTTTACAATGTGGAGGACATTTTCCACCAGCTTGTTTTTGGGTGTCATTTTATGATCATTATCCAAGGTAAAAAATAATTTTGGAAAAGAAATTTACTTGAGGCTCAAATGCAGAGGTGGCATAGGGTTAGGACTTAGGGTGAAGATCTTGAGCATAATTTCCTTGTTGATGAAAAATTGCTGGAAACGTATTCTGCAATGATATTTTATGTGTAATTTTGTGAATCTTGTGAACATGAATATCTCCCAACTTGATTTTATCTTTCTTCTTAGGCTAGCATCTTTGTCTCACCTCCTTGCTGTAAATCAGAATAGGGTAGGATGTTGGCTACTGAACTCAAAGTAGTGGGGCACACTCATGTATGTCATACTTTCTAAAAGCAAAAGCTAGATTTTGTAGTGAAGGAAAAAAGCAAATAACAGTTCTGCTTTATGAGTTGTATTACTTACCAGTTACCACTGAACTTGTGCTTCTTCCAGAGAGAAAATGGCTAAGGTGAATTGACAGCTGAAGTGTGTTGACATGCGTCTACAGTTGTGGAAGATCAGCCGTGGAATGGCAATTTAGAATTTCGGTTTCATTTGTCAATTCTCTTTGAAGAACTGCAGCTCCGTTTTATAATTTTATTTTTTCTTTCTATATTTCTTGACTTTCTCTGTATTCTTTGCCTCCCTTCTCCGTATTTGAAGGTGCCCAGTTTGGTTGTGACCGTAGGGTTCATCTGGGAACATGCATATGTAAAAGTGTGCGAGGCTTATATGTACATTGTTGATCTCTATGTTACTATTATTGTCATACCCAGTCGGGCACGCGCGATCTGGAAGTTTCTGAGTTCAGACCTTAATTGCTTATGAGATTGTTTAACGATGGTTGAAAATATTTTGCTTCATTGAGACTGCTACAAATTTTCGATAACCTTTATCAAGATTTATTGGCACATTTTTTCTATCTTATGTATAGGAAAGGCCTGTTAAAGAATTTATCATGGCCTTTCTTAGTTGGGGCGGGGGGGACTATATTGAGAAAATGATGACTAAGAAGTCTAATTAAATCATCACTTTTTTTTTCCAAAGCCAAATTCCAAACCCTTACGAATTTGCCAGGGTTCAATGGGGTACGCTGAAAAAATATTTAGTGTGACGATAGAAGCCCTTTGTCCAATACCCCACGTTCATAACTTAAAAATCATCAAAATCATCATCTAGCAGGGACTGCTTGATGGAACAAGATGGGTCTTGTTACTTGTACACACCTAAGCCTACCGCAAAACCTCATTTATACCAATACAAGTTCTGTCAATGTTTAATTTATATCATGGGATGGTATGGTTGGCTAATCATCGAAGATTTCGTTTCTCTAATAGCAAAGTTGATTATAAGCTACCATTAAAATGTTGTTCCAATGGTAAGTTTAGCATAAGTAAAGGGACTCGCCAAGTTTCTTGTGAAACAGCTATGCAAGTTGAGGTAGAAAAGAGAAAAAAACGTATGTTAACGATGTCTTCAGTAGCATCATCTGTAACGAGACAATTTCTTCATGCACATGACAGAAATATATGGGGAGGGAGGGGCCCATTAGCAAATGCTCTAGAATGAGTAAACATATTTCACCGTTACAATGAATCTTGAAGTTGAAAGATGAAATACAGGCGATAATAATATTAATCGTTGCATCTGAAAGTCAATATCTTTAGGACAATTTCTAAGGAACTTCCAAGACAAAACAACTGAAAGTATATGACACATATTTTATTCCTTTTGACATATGCATTTGGTGAACAGGTAAAAAAATCGTTATCATTATAAGCTAAATTTCTTAACAGTTAAGATTCATGAAATTTTGCAGGGTTAAGATTTATGAAGTTTTTTAAACAAAAAAAATTATGAAATTCATATATATATTTTATTGGATTACACCACGACACGAGTTCTATCATGAAAATTTAATTTTGGTTTACATCAAGTAAAAAATTATATATATATATATACTGGTAAAACAGGGAGTCTAACTGGCCAAAAAAAAAACTAGGAATGAAGGGTTAAAAACAATTTAAAATTAAAAAGATGCAAATTTGTAATTTAGTTTTACCAAGTCAAAGCTTTCATTAAAAATAATTAGAAAAGTTTAAAAATTTGATATGATGCTCAGGAATGATAATTTAAAATCGGTTTTTATTGTTTCAATTTTATAAAAAAAAATAAAATATTGAACCAATAATGTGCTTACAATTAATAGGCCATTTTTATAATTTAAAATTAATCAAAGTAAAACATTAAGCACTTTTATCTAAGGGTGTAGAAAATTCAATTCGTCTTATATCTCGAAGACAAGTTCAAGTTGTCCCAGCTGAGCTCAATGGTTTTTTTTTTTTTTTTTGGTTTTTTTTTACGTATTTGAATTTAATAATAAGACTTGATAGATACTTTTTTATATACCATGATATTATATTTATGTTGAAGTTATTTGTTTTAAAATATATGATAAAATATATTTTTCATTTTTTACTTTATTAATTTTATAATTTAACTGTACATGATATTGAGATTGATATGTTTTGTTTGCAAATCAATTAACTTAATCATATTCTAATATCATCATGTCTTAATTAAATTGAGTTTGGGTTTAAAAATAACCTTATCTAAATTTTGGGTGAGACAAGAGCCAAATAAATTCATCTTTAACTCGTTTTATATATAATCTTACTCATATCACTTCTATATCATAAATATTATTATTTTTTAAATAAGAATGCTTTTAGAATTAATTTTTTTATTAAATCATGTGATTTTTTTACATTATATATTTTATTTTTATTTTTTTCATATTTTTTAAAATGTTATGACTTAATTTTAATTTGATCATAATGTAAAATTTTTATACACTATATCGTTTTAAATATATCTTTTTAAGATAACATGATTTTAGAATTATTATACATATAATTAATCTTAATTTAAATATTTTTAAAAAATTAAAATATCCGTGGAATATACGAAAAATTTGCTTGATAAATTAATTGAATATAGAGTTAATAAAACACACCCCGAATAAAACGTCATATATAAATTAGAAAAAGAAAAAATGAAAACGGTGACGATATTTGAGATACCAATCTGCAAGTTGTCATTTTTGCGATTCCCGTATGAGTGACGAAATTTTGGGTCGAGAGCTCTATGAATTGAAAAGGGCAACCTGGGAAACACAGCGTATTCGGATGCTAAGCATTTGAACGGCGAAGAACTGCGATAGATAAGGGGGGCATGAGTGTGCGTGTGCGTGTGCGTGTGCGTCACGGTGTGAGGGTAATTAAAGTTATAAATAGGTGACTCTGACTAGGGTTTACTCTCTCTTTCGCCACTCTTCAATCTTGAAGACGTTAAACCATTCATTTTCTAACTATGCGCCGATTGCAAAAATCCAAGAGAGTTTCATGGGCCTCCGATTTAGATCTTTGTCAGGTAAAGATTATCTTTCAGTTGCCAAATCCCTAATCGATCAATTCATTCCGATGATTGAAGTCCAATTATCGCTTCGTTAATGAACCCTAATATTTTTTCGTCGACTTTCTTCCTTTAAGACTTCTAGCTTTTCTTTATCTCTACCTTCCGTCTGTGTTCTTGTCATTCTTGATACTCAATCGTCGAGTTTTCTTGAATACCGATTACCATCTGATCGGTTTTTCCTGTGAATTGAGGGTTTTTCCTTTCAAAGACAGATGTAGTTTGGTGCTCAGAGGGGACGGAATGGCCCTAATTCAAATTATAAATTGTGGATTACTTTCTAACTTTTTTTGAATGGAAGTTAACAACTGACTATAGATTAAGATGCCTATGAAATAGGCTTTAAATCACGATAAGAGTAAAAAGAAAAGAAGAGAAAAAAGTCAGGTATGTTGCCAAATGCGAAGGAACTTACACAGAACTCTTTTTTTGACAATAATTTCCTTATGGCCTTGGAAACCCCCGATAAGGTCATGAGCTGTTTTGCTTCTTTGATCTTGGCAATTGCGTTTGAAGTTACTTGTAGGATCATCAATCAACACAACAACAATCGTTTGAACTATGTGTGTTGGCTTGTATTCTGAATTTTGATATGAAACTGTGGCAAGTCCACGTTTTACTATGGCTGCAATTTACAATCGTGTAGTCTGTATGAGATAGACGTGCTGCAGGAATAAATTACCAATTACTTTTGCATTGAAGAGCTCTAGTAAAGTCATGAAGAAGATGATATAAAACAAGCAAAATATATTTATTATTGTTTTCCAACAGAAATACATGTCCCTACAGTCAATTTTTCCTGCACCAGGATAACCACAACCAGGGGCTTGATGACTAATGCAGATTTATCAACTGTTTGTATTTTATGAAAAATGAACGGTTATATGTGAGATAGTAATAGTATCGAATGAATGTTCTGGAGCTGCTGTTTGTTGTGATATGATGAAACAGTTAACAGCTATTGGAATCTTTAATTTAATGCAGAGTAAGTTACACATAAGAATTTATATGCAGCACAAAGAAATTTCAGCAACTTACAGTAAGCAACTAGGCAAATCCTACTTGTATGAAAAAAGAATTTATTAAGGGAGAATGAATGCTCGTGTCATCTAGTCTGCCCTTTTTTAATATACCACCTTCATGCAATCTTTTGACGATTGTGTCATTTATGCATTCATTTACATCATGTATTGCTATCATATTTCATTTTGGCATAGATCACATTGATCAGGACTCTTGAGGAGAAGAGAATAAATAACCCTGCTTTTCAGGACGTTGCTGTTGTCCTACATATTCTATTCATTCCTTTTATGCTTTCCACATTGGGAAAGGAAAATTTTACTTAATTGTATTAGATATTAAATGGTTTAATGGTTTGAATGTATGTTTAGTTGTATGTGCTACTGCTCTTGCAGATTATATTTTCAAACATTTGTTGAAATAATTTTGCATTTAGTCTAAAAGCCTGCAGATATGCTTCTATTAGATTGATTTTGTTACCTTCTGTGGTTTATTTTCTGAATTAGTTTTTTATTCTCATCCTAAACTTATCTCAAGTTTCCAGTTGAAAAGCTACTTTGAAACTTGTTATAGTTATTTTGTTTAGGCAATTGTGATCGTCCATGAGTTAAAAAGGGAAGGGGGGCATCATTCCCGGTATCTGCTATCTCTCTTCATAGGGTGTCCTTGATTGTTAACTTGTATGCTTAAGCTTTTTGACTGTGTATTATTTTGGATTAATTGATTCATCTTTTCTTTTTTGGTTCAATTAGTTGCATATCATATTCTTAAGTTGTTCGTTATTATTATTATTATAACTAATAATGAAACTCTTTCATAACCACATTATGTGTAGTTTTCACTCATTTTGTTCAATGAAATTTGTTGCTTGTATGTTATGTCTGGTTGCATGTTCATGAGTGTGTGATGAGCTAAAAATAGGGGACATTTTGTTTTTTCGCTGCTATTACTATTTACTAAGGTTTTTATTGTGTCCAATGTGAATCAGTTGTGTTCTGCAGCTCAGAAGTCTTTGTTGTCTTTTGCTCTAAAATTTTGTTCTTTTTCTGTTGAAAGGACACTTATTGCAAGACCTCAGCCACTTCCAACATGGGAGGGCCAAGTCATAGTGATATTTTCTGAAGATGTACTGCTGGTGCATGCAGAAGTATCAGAGTAAAAGATGACAAAAATTCTTGGCTGGCCTGCCTATTAACTCAGATAACACCTTTCAGAGTGTGACTGTTTATAAGTTGTATAGGTCTTTGTTGTCTGAATTTGAGATGAAGAGTTGGAAGTGGCAGGCTCTAGTTGGAGACATTTTCAAACTGCTTGGCCGTTGGATTTAAGAATCTGTTAATTCTTCTGATCATGGATCTGATTGATGTATTCAAAGTTTCTGTCAGCGCAGTCATTGAAAGAAGGCCAGTTTTACTTGTGGGCATATCTTTGTCTGTATGTCCAGTTTTAATGAGAGGCATTGGTTTCTTGCCCAATAGCTGGGCAAGATTGTAAACTTTGTTTTCGTTAAATAGTGTTTCCATCTAGGTTGGGGAGATTGTGGATTCTGTTTTTCTTTTGGTCTTACACTAGGTTGTGAAAATCTTAAAATATATCAAGGAATTGAAGTTATTGGTTCCTGAACCTTTTTAAGTCCCTATTGGATGAAACTTATGGATGTCATATTAAGTACCACTAAGTCCTCTGATTTCCTGTTGAAATTTGAATGAGAATGTGTTTGTGGTATGATATGCAATCAATCTGAATGCTATTGCATCTGTTTGTTTTATCAAAATATTTTAGCTCAGTCTCTGTGTTGTGATTGCATGACTTTTATTTTGATAAAAAGGAGTGGCGAGAGATCCAAAACAAAAGAACTTTATATGAAGTTATTAAAAGAGACCTTTTAATTATTTAAATTTATGATAATTTGATTTTTGATTGAGCTCAATGACGTTGTATAATCTATGTAGTCGACTTCACTTAGTGGGATAAGGCTTATTTGTTGTTGTCTCCCCGTGTTGTGTTTTAGTGACAACAGTTCAAATTCAATCATCAGAGATTATCCTTATATAAAATCTAGCACAAATTGCTTGGTTCTGTTTTATCCTGAGCAGCACTGATTTCTTTTCATGTTACAAGTGAAAGTTGTCTTTATGTCAGAGTTTTAGAATGTACACATTCATTATTATCATATTTTGAGTGATATTTGATTTTCTGTATGCTTGTGATTTGTATACAATAAAGGGATTTTCTTTGTTTTTCAAGTATTTGCATATTAATAATTACCATGCAGGGACTCTTCAGCTTGAATTGAGTAGACAGAAGTAATAATTAGTCATTAAAAAGATTCTGCCTAAATATTGGTTATGACTAAGTGCTAGAAGAGCGCTAAATGGCAAAAACTATTTTTTTTTTTTTTGTAAATAGGTTCGGTTATTCTTATCAGAGGAATCCCCCTCGCAAGTCGGGATAAGTTCTCAAGATCACCTTCAAGCCAAGACGTCATTGCTGTTACATCCAGGTGGAGCAGGTTCTGATGACATTTTGCCTCCTGGGTTTGAGGGAACTCATGCTTCAAGTCAGTTCGAGATCAAACTATCCCAAATACCAGTTATTAAGTGGATTATTCCGCCAAAGGTAATTTTTGTTTTAGTTCTATGTAATTCAATTTTCATTATTATTTAGTTTTCAAAATTGATGTTGGAATGAAATACAAAAGAAAGAGTTGGTAAACATGAGCTTGTCTCTGATTGTATGTTTTTTCTTCTGAGTCAATTTATGTGATTCTTTTAGATTGTTCTAAATCTGACATGGCGAGTAGTGGCTGGGGAAGAAAGCAACGAGGTAGAGGATCAACGTCAAAGGGAGATGAGAGTACTTGAAGCTATTTATCCTCGCATATCTTCCATTCCTCCAAAGTTTGTGTCTTCTCTTGCCTTGTATTATAATTTCTCTCAGTTTTGTGCTTTTGTCATGTAAAGTTTTTATCCCTATATGCAGTCCCTCTGTTTCGATTGATGTTGAAGATTCCCATTACATTGATAGTCAAACTGCTTTGATACCAATTACCCCTATTGAAGATGAAGATGCTGCAGCAGAAGCATTGTCAGCTTCCTCGGTGTCTTCCCAGTCTCTTGAATTAGCTCATGGTATATTGAAGGATTCAAACTCAGCTATAAATATGCAGTTAGCTCATGATCATGGATCTGATGTAGCTGCTGCATCTGCAGCTTTAACTAACATAGTAAAGAGCAATGAACATGGAAATTTAATTGATCATGAGTTGCTTAATAATATTCTCAACAATCCAGAAGTGATTGAGAAGTTGGTTAAAGACTATGGAGCTACAAACAATTCACAATATGTACATAACGTGGGCTCATCCTCAGTGGCTTTTTCAAATCCTCCTAATTCTATTAATCAAGGAGAAACTGTGGTACCTTCATCAATTCTTTTTTCAGGCACTTCTTCCTATGCTCCTGCAACGGCAGGTCAGGTGACACCTGTTTCTACCCAATGGCTTCCTAGGCCTGCAGTGAGTTCAGCTAATGTTTCTTCTCCAGTTGAGGTTCCTTCAACAAAGGATGTGAACTACTATAAGAGCTTAATTCAACAACATGGTGGAGAAAAACTAGAAAAAAATTCATATTCCAGTAACCGCCAGAGTCATCCGCCAGCAACAAACTATGAGACAACATATAATCAAAGAGCAAAAGTGTTAAAATCAAAGATAATGAAGCCTTGTATCTTTTTCAACAGCTCTAGAGGATGCCGAAATGGAGATAACTGTGCATACCAGCATGATGCATCATTTCAGCCACGCGGTAATTCTGTGTCAGGGATACAAAATTCAAAGAGGATGAAAATGGATAACGAGATTAGCAGTTAAGTAAACTATGTTCGCTGGTGGGTGTTGATTGCCATTTATTTTGATGGGGAGAGTTGACTGCAGATCCATATCACATGCGGATGAAGAGGTTAAGTTAGCATTTAAATGGATGAGTGATTGTGAGCCTAATTTTTTTTTTTCAGTTTTTAATGTTAAATTTATCTTTTTTAAAATGAAAGGCTCCTTTTCATTTTCTTCCTTAACTGAGAAAATGTTAAAATTGATGCTTTTTTGGGTCAATCTTTATAATTGTATTATAAGTGGAGATCAATCTTCCTTAGCTGAATGATGCATTAGTTATCTTTTTTTAAAATTATGGTGATTTAGTTTGCATTTTTGTGGGCATGAAATTGACATTTTTAGATAAATCACGAGGTACAATTTATGTGGGCATGAAATTGTTATTTTTGGATAAATCATGAGTCAAAAGTATCATGAAAACACAATGCTTGTATTATGTGATATTTAGGATTTTATTTTATTTTTTTGGCTTTATTTTCCTCTTGTCACTTGACTCATAGTGACTCTTGTTTATAAATTATTAGGTGTATTTGAAGATATTAACGGATGAGTTAATTAAAATCTAAAATCCTAATTGGAAACTTAAAATTAATAATATAAAAAGAAGGAATTGTGATTAATACAGTAATGATAAAAAGAAATCAAGAGTTTATTAGTTTAGATGTTATGTGAATATTATTTTAATAAATGTTTATTAAAATGTTTTAAGTTATCAAAATAAATTTAATTTGATAAAATAAACCTTTGAATTAAAACATACTTCTTGTTATGAAGGAATTGCAGAAATTATAGTTAAATAGAGAATTCTCAGAATAAACATTGTTATTTCAAGCCAATGAACATTGCCACTGAATTAACGTTTTTATTATTTATATTTTAGTAAATTTAATTTAAGGTACATGTTTACTTATGTGTTTTAAAATGAAATCATTTCAGACGAATTTTTTTCTTCTATACAAATAAAAAAAAAAAACTTAAACAAAATGCTTGCAAAAAGTTCTTTATGAAAATGACTCAAATTCCAGGAGTTAAAATTTATTCCAAAAATGTTTTTCTTTCCCATGTTTATTAGTTAATTACTTCATGAGTTTTTCTAATAAAAAAATAGACTAAGAATCACTATTCATAAAACGAACATATGGTTAAAACCAGCAAGCATATCAACATTGTACAATTATCTAAATTTTATATAAATAATAATTTTTGAGAAAACTATTTAAAATTACTTGGTGTACGTAATTGATTCGTGTTGAATTTTTCAAAATATATAAAAATTAAGAGTACAAAAGTATGTATAATTAATTTAAAAGTATTGATTTTCTTTTTAAATTAAGAATGACGTGTCATTTTATAAAGGAACTTCTAAAATTTTAATATCATTTAATACATATAAAAATATATTCAACATAGTTAATTTAAGGAATATAAACAACTGCAAAAAATATATATTTTAGAAGTCTCTCAAAAATAAATAATTATCATACGGTATGATTTTATCTCATTTCACATAACTCTTTTTTTATTATTGCTAAGAAGAAGGAACGCTTTGTTCCATTATTTAAGGGTAGATTATATAGGAGAAACAATTATCATTATCCGAGGATAAAATTAATTAATAATGTAAATATTATTAGAATAAGAGTTTAATTGTGGTGTTATGTATAACATTTTTTACATTTTCAACCGATTAAAACCCATCATACATATAATTTATATATAAATTATTATAAAAATTAATAATTTTTACTGATACGATAATTCATTGTAATTTGTTGGATGAGAGTGAAAAGAGAAAGTTTGTATGTTTAAATTAAATTTGTAAAGAATGGTCATTATATATATATATATATATATATATATATATATATATATATATATATATATATGTCATTTTAATGCGGAAACAAAAGGGTTTTTATGATCTGTCCTATCCTAATAGTGTGGGTTGATGTCCTCTTGTTTTTTTTTTTTTTAAAATAAAATAATTATATTTTATATATTAAAACATTATATTAATATTGATATTATTTATTTTTAAATGTATTTTTCAAACATCATAATTTTAGTTTTATATTTTGTTCTTAAGTTTTATTAACTTTAGTATGGTACCATAACACATTATATGATTTTTTCTTAATTCTTCTATATATATATTCATGAATTTCTACAAAATCTTATAGATATAGATACGGTCGATCTGCTAACATTTTTAATTACTTTGAATTGAGTTTAAATATCGTATTTTAAATGTTTTTTTACAGTTATTTCTACAATTTAATTATATAATATTAAAATTAATATATTATGTAAATAAATTAAAATGATTCAGTTATCCCATATCAATGTTGGATTCGGGTTTAAAAAACATTATTAAAATTTTGGATCGGGTAAACAGAACGATCAAACCCGTAACTGAAAGCCCGGAACGAGAGGGCATGTGAATGGTGAAGGGGTCTTACAAACCCTCGTTGTGTGTTTCGTCATTTGTTTCAAACCCTCTTCACACCGCGAAAATGTTGAAGTTCCTATCAAGAGTGAAGATCGAGTTCAATGCGTTGGACCCACGAATGGCATCGTGTATGGAGTTTCTGGCACAGTGCAATTCACGAAAGGCAAAAGAATCAAACCCTGCGTGTGAAGTGGAGGTGAAGCGTGGAAGGGAAGAACGGCCACCACAAATCACAGTGACGTTTGTGAATGGGGTTGAACAAGTGTTTGATGCAACTTCCACCCCAGCCCAGACCATAAGAAGTATGATTCTGGAAAAGGGTCAGCTCCTTGAGACTGAGCAAATGTTCCGCGAAGCAGGGGAGTCATGGCCCGTTATCATCCCCAACGAGGAACTCTCGCAACACGCACCTGGCACCAAAGTGCGTTTTCTTTTTCTCACTTCAATTGCTCAATTCCCCTTGTCTGTTATTTTACTGCATCGTTCAGGGATCTTTTTCTGTTACTCTGGTTTTCTTCAGAATTTAGAAATGTGTGTTAACTTCAAGTTTTAAGTTTAACACCTTTGATACTCTTTAGATTTCTGTTGGGACAGTAATATTTCTAATACTCTTGAAATGGGTTAATTAATTTGATGATGCGATACTTTAGATAGTGTGTATAGTTTTTTAATGTCAGTGAATAAAATTTAAATTCTTTTTTTTTAGGGAATTGGTATAATTTTGAATGTATGTGTTATCCTTTTGTTAAAGGAATTTTAATTGGATAGCAGATGTGGCATTTAATCCTTTCAGTTCATGCTGTTGGATCTTAGTATGCGTGGTGTTTACATTCCTTAGAGAAGCAAGTATGGTGGTTTTCACAGTCAACAGTGCCTGCTATTGTACTTTGCGCAACCATCTGTATTTTAATTTATTGTGTATTTCAAAAGCATTTCATGTCTGATTTTTTGGATAAAGTGGAAGAGAAGTGACGGTATTCAAATAAGTTGAGGTTCACAAAATTGGTTTTACTCTTGTTAGTATTGGTTATGAGATGGAACATAAGATGCAGGATCCAGTAAGAATAACACTAGCCATAATGATAAACTGTGTTCCTGTGACTGGACAATTTTGTGGAATCCTTAGTTTCGCTGTAAGGCAATGTGTGGGCTTTTGTGGGTGATACATCGGACTTAGTTCTTACTGTGTGTTATATAATAACTGTGTTGCAGATTGATAAATAGTAAATACTTTGTGTATGTGAACTTAATTCTTCTTCTTGAAGTTACAAATGCTTGTACAACTATAATGTATCTGCATGGCTGTCGAATTTTTGTTTCAACAACTTGATGATATTGTTTAGTGTGGAGTATGGCTTTTATTAACTGCCTTCAATATGCTTTCCCTTTGTGAAATATGGCCTATAGCCATAACCGCTTTAATTAATTTATGTGTATTTTATGTGCTCCTTCTTTCAGCCAAGGAAAGCAGAAGAGAAGAAGCAATAGCTGAAAATTGTTGAGCATATTAACTGCTGAGGATGGTTCTGGCTTTTGTCACCCTTGTTTTTTTGGGTAGGAGATAGGGCATCTGATCTCTGCTGTTGCTGCATACCTTACTGAATTTCAGGACTTTATTATTGAATATATAACTAGATATGATTTGCATAATAATCTATGCTCCTGAATTGCTGAATCTTGAAACTGTAATGTTATCGTGCTTACTTTTGTTCTATTCTGGTTTATGCCTACATTGCTCTATGTGAATGTTGTAGCCATTTTGACTTCAAATGTCTTGGGCAAAGCTATCAAATCAAATGATATCGGATTATTGATTCGAAAGCACAACTTAAGGGTCGTAGCTTACTTTGAAGTTTGGCTAGCAGTGATTTTGCATTTCAGAGAATGGTAAGTGTTAGCATACAATGCTTATGACGACTACAAACTTTCACACAATTCTCATTATTATGGCTACTACTGCCAAGCAGCTTGTCATCTCCGGCAATGGGAAACCACTCAGTAATTTCTCTGTGCAAACCCTAAACCAAATAATTATACACTAAGAACGGATTCTTAGTGTATAATTATTTGGTTTAGGGTTTGCACAAAGACACGGGTCTCTGTTATGTACTTTGTTATAGTAGAAAGCGTATGATAATTTCTTTTGTTGGATAATACACTCTTTGCATGTATAGTGAAAAATGATTATCAGTGATTAAAAAAATCATCGATTTCAATAAAATGCGTACATTTAAAATAATTTATGAAAATATAAAAAATTTAATTAATGGCTATTGTTTATTACTTTACTTTTTATCTTTTAAAACGCACTTTATATTTTCGAGGAATCGAATTCTATTTTCTACTATTCGTTTTGTCTTACCGTTTTCGACAATATGCTTTGCTACGTTAAGAAATATACATTGTTTATGATTAAAATAAAAACTAAAATCATCAAAATTTAATTAAGTTGTGTCAATATTTTCGCAATTAGACGACTGACAGATAAAAATAGATAAATAGTATATTATACATAACTTGTCTTATTTTAATTTTTAATTATTTTAAACGAGTTATACATAGGTTCAGTTTGAATAAACTCTTAAAGGAATTATTATAAAAGCAAAAAAAAAAAAAATTGTATACAAAATAAGAAACTTTTTTTTTTTAGAAATAACTCATACTTTTCTATCGTTTTAGAAGTTTTAAAAAATTCCTTCATTTAACTTCTTTAAAATTTTAAAAAATAAATTATTTTTAACTTATAAAAAAAATTTATTCATTTTTATATTAATTTTTTTATATAAGGACCTCTCTAAAAATTTACCCAAAGTCAGCCATATTTTTCTACTACTTTAAACATTTTTGTTATATTCTTAAAAATCATCATAATTATTATATATTTTTACATCAATTCAATGTTTTAGCTAAAATTTTAAAAAATATAAATATTTCTATTGTAATATTTATTTCTATGATAAGTTAAATATTTATTTCAACTACTACTCTGATTATGGAACATTTGATTAGTATAAAACAAATTAAATATTTTGCCACAGATATCTCTATAAACCTTGTATCTGTATAAGAATCAATTTTATAACATAATAAATATAATTTAATTTGATTATTAATAAAAATCAATGAAATAAAATTTATAATTTAAATTAAGACAATTTAAGATTTCAATTTTTAATTAATGATTATAATTTCATATGTATTTTTTATTTTAAGGTACACGTTCCATTTTAAGAGAGTTATTTTTTTTTAATAAAAATGTTATTCTAATTTAGGATCTACTGTTTAATTTTTTAAATATATTAATTTTTTGCTTTAAAGAAATAATGAAAAGTTTTTACCTATTTCTTAAAAGAACTGTCTATTTAAATTAAAATTTTAAAACATATCCCTATCTTTTACTTAAAAAAAGAATAAAAAACAGTAAACAAGTAGAGACTAGTGGGGGCAGAAGAGGCACTGCGTTTTTCTCTGTGTTGAGGCAGTGACACAGCAAAGGAAATAAATTAGAAGCTCACATGTAAGTGTAAGTAACAACAAACACACCGACAATGTTACCCTTCGTGTCGTATCTCAAACTCTATATTACAATTCCATATCTACTTTCGCTCGTTAGACTCGTCTTCTTCTTCTTCATCATCACTCATTAAGCGTAAACTACACTCCGAGACTGCAAATCTCACTGTTCCCTTCTCTGAGTTTGATAGATAGATGGGTTCCGTTTCTCTGAAAATAGGGGATGGAACTGCTAGATTCAAAAGAGCAACCGTGTGTTCTTCCGCAGTTAACATTCTCATGATCTTCTCTGTCATCACCACCAATCTCTTTGCCCTCTATGCTTTCTCTTCTTCCCCGAAAGACCATTCTCTTCACCCTTCCCACAAAAACTTCTCTCTCATCTCCGAGCAGGTTACTCTCATTCTCAGAGAGATCGATTTGTCTCAGAAGAAACTTGCCCAGATAGAAAAAGAGCTTCTTGGCTACGAAAGCATCGATCTTTCCAGACCCAACATTGCAACTGAACTCAAACTCTTTCTCCACCGTCACCAGCTCCCACTGGGCAAAGACTCCAAAACTGGAATCACCGAAATGGTGTCATCCGTTGGCCATTCATGCGAGAAATCTTCGGACTTGTTGTCTCAGTACATGAGTTACAAGATTTCTGGACCCTGCCCTGATGATTGGAGTGTGGCACAAAAGCTGATTCTGCGAGGGTGTGAGCCTTTGCCTAGAAGGAGGTGTTTTGCTAAGTCTGTTTCTAAGGTTGGTCTTTATTCTTTTCCCACTTCACTTTGGAAACCCGTTGGTAACAAAACTGTTAACTGGAGTGATCTCGGTTGCAAGAGTTTTGAATGTTTGAATGGCAAGAGGTTGAGTAGAGATTGCATAGGTTGCTTTGATTTGGTTAATGGGTATGAGAATCAGAGATTTTTCAAGTCTAGGAGTAAGAATGATTTTCTCGTTGATGATGTGTTGGCATTGGGAAGTGGTGGGATTAGGATAGGACTTGATGTTGGAGGTGGTTCTGGCTCCTTTGCAGCTACAATGGCTGAAAGAAATGTTACTGTTGTTACTAGCACTCTGAATGTTGATGCCCCATTCAGTGAATTCATTGCTGCAAGAGGGCTTTTCCCTGTTTTCTTAAGCTTAGATCATAGATTACCTTTCTATGACAATGTGTTTGATTTGGTTCGTGCTGCGAGTAGCTTGGATGTTGGAGGGAAGGCAGAGAAGTTGGAGTTTTTGATGTTTGACATTGATCGTGTTTTGCGGGCTGGTGGTTTGTTTTGGCTGGACAACTTCTATTGTGCCAATGAAGAGAAGAAAAAGGCATTGACTAGGTTGATTGAACAGTTTGGATACAAGAAGTTGAAATGGGTTGTGGGAGAGAAGGTTGATAGTCTTGGATCAGCCAAATCTCAAGTTGTTTTGTCTGCTGTTCTTCAGAAGCCTGTAAGGGTGTAAAGCTTTGTACAACCAATAATACTCTTGCTTCTGCTAGCTCTCCTTCACTCACAACACAATTTGTGTGAATGAATGAATGAATTGCTTCTAACATCACATCTCATCAGAAGTGGAATAAGTGCATGAATATGACTGCTGTATTTCAAGTAATGTTCTATATATTTTTCGGTTGCTATATAATTTTGTAGATGACAACTAGTTAGAAAGAGAAAAATGCATTACATTTTTTAAAGTTGTAAAGTAAACATTAGTCTATTAGACTTAGTTTTATGATATGAAATTTCCTTTCTCAATTTTCACATGGACTCATTCGTTAGCTGTATAAGTTGTGCAGCCAATATGCATGCCCTATTTTAATTTCTCACTTTATTGAAAAGATAAATACCGAGGCTTACATCTGATGAGTGTTTTTTTTTTTTTTTTTTTTCAAAATTCTTGAGTTGTATAATTGCTGAAAGACATGGACAATTCTGATTTTAGAATATAGGCATAACCTCAGTTAAAGATTATTTTACATTGAAATACGTGTTATGGTGTGTGAAATTGATATTAGATGCTACCTAAACAAGCGCTAAAGGATTAAAATGAGCTAGGAAATTCAAAAGCACAAATATGTTTGCAGCATTCTCTTCATATTATTTCATTATTTATTCCTCATAAAGCCCAATGTAATCTTGGATGATATCAGGCCATAAGATTTGGATGCTTAGAAATATTTATTGCAGGCTGAGGCCCTCTTTTGCTCAAGTAGCTTCTACTCTTCTACCTCTATGTTATGTGCAAATAATGTTGCATCTGTTGAAATTGTGGAATATGCATCTGATCTATATGGTTTTTGCTCATCAATCTGCCGGTCCGTACTGAAGCCCTTGGTTTTAACTTGTAATATATGAAAGATTAAAAATGTATTAACATGAAATATCTTAAATTAGATATGAATCTGTATTTTACACAACCTTTCAAGTTTAAGGACCATGAGTTAGTAGGTTGCAAGAACTAATGATTTCATCCCAGTATGATAACATGTTAATGCGTTTTCCTGATTTTTTCTGATCCGATGGATTTTTTTCCTGGAAAATAATAAAACACCATTCATACCTAGAGATTTAATTCGCTAAGGTTACATCTGAAATTTCAATTGTAACCTGCAAATCTTGGTGAATAATTATTTATTATGTTATTTCAATTATGTAGGTTGAGAAAAATTAGAAGGAAAATAAACGATTAAAGAAAAAAGTTTTTTTTTTTTCTGTTTACTTGATTGGATAAAAAAAAGAAAATATAATTATATTATTTAATATTTAAACTCCTTTTATATAATAAAATGAAATAAAAATAGATTATTTTTTTCTCGTTACAACAAAATTCTTTGGTTCCTCATTTCGCAATTCTTGTTATGTTCTTTCGCAACCAAATGCTTAAGGTTAGTCAAATGTTATCAAAATGGATTAATAAATGAGAAGAACCCAAAAAGAGTCGTTTTTTGCGTAATCCAGAAAGAGGGATAAAAGCATCATCATAAAATTGTTTGATTTAAAGATGGGTGAATTTGTGTAATTGATTGGTTTGTTTGATTCACTATTCTAGTACGTGTTTAGTTTGCGTTGAAATAAAATTAATGAAGGATTGAAATAACGGAGAATTTTCTCCTTTACAACGCGTGATCAGCTTTTGAACGAGTGCTTACAAAACCTCTTCTGAGGAACATGGCCATGTCAACTTTACCCAGAAAATGAAGGCTTAACAACGATGTCAAAAGCTCAATCGCTGGAATGCATTATCCAATCAATAATATGGTTGGGAAAGTCTGCAGTTATCATTCTAACGCTCTTAAATGTTTTGACAATCTCTTTTCTGAAAATTAAATGTTATTATTTTGCCTTTTTTATTGTTCGTTCCCCTTTCAATTAATCGTCCCATCGTTTTGCTTGCCCCACTACTTCATGATTTTATTACACGCTTCACTTTATTTTCTTCCATTAAAATTTTTTATTAATAAAAATTTACTAAAATAATTATTTCCGTTTAATTATAAAAGTTGAGTTGAATTTATTTGTACTCAATGACACATATTAAGAAACCAATCAATAAATAATACTTTTTATTAAAAATTATAGCATTAAACTTAAACCTTGCAGTATAACTCTGAGAAATAGCAGGTTATATACACAAGATGATCAAGTTTAAATCCCGAGTTTTCAAAATTTTCATATCCCTTTCCCCAATGACAAAAGCAAAATACAATATATATCTTTATTGTACACTTTGAACATATGATACATTTTTTAAAAAATATTCTATAATAATTTTGTTACAACTATTTTATCTCTGAGAGTCACGTCAATATTTGCTCAGACTGACGTGAAATTCAATTGCAGACATTTATGGATGATGTAGCTTGTTGCCCTAGTTACAATATGTGGCCCTGAACTTTACTTATAGCATCCATGATTCTTTTGGAGGTTGGCTATAGCTGAAAACGTATACTTAGACGCCAGCCATTAATGGTCTCCCTAGAAGCACATACAAGTTACGCCAATGTCGGATTTGAATTCAGTAACTGCGCCGTTTTATTACGTTATTTTGTATTTTTGCTTAATCCAATACATATTGCTTAAGTAAAAATACAAAATTTTACTTAAATGTATGGTGTAATTTTTGTGTGGACTGCACTGAATCGAAATCTTATCGATTTTGACACACTTTCTCATTTTTACAATATTTGTCAACAAGTTAAAAATTCGCAGACATGATTAACCCAATACTTACAATCAATTAATTTGTGAAGATGAATACATTGCAACCCCTACTATTTTATAAAATAAACGTTAAAAAGGTAATGATTTGTAAAGATAAATTTAGTGTATGTATTAAAAAAATATTTGAAACGTATAAAAGATATAAAATTTAGAACTATTTTTATTAATTTTGTTATGTATTCTTAAGCACAAGTTAAAAAGATTGATCAACAAATCTACATAATGCTCTTTCATTTAAAGTTAAATAAGATTAATTTTAGTAACCACTAGATGTGATTGAAACGTGTTAATAAATACAGAAATTAATACGAATCATATTTTTTAATAAAATGTGTATTTTTCATTGAAAAATATAAGTACTAAATTTTCAACTTTAAACATTGCCCACAATCTTGTATTCTACGCACCAATTAGTCTTTTCAATTTGATAGGATGAAATGCTGTCAAAATAAAACTAATGGATTGGATTCATACTTTCAAGTAAGTCTTTATACCAGTTGCCAGGCAAAGAACAAAGAAAGAGGCTAATGTATTGTTCTTGCCTTAAGAAAGCAAAAATAAAATAAAATAAAGTATGTAAACCTTAATTCATGGAAACATGTTATAAACCTTCATTCTTTCATAATTTCGAACTCTCACGCCGCCAAAGTTTACGTCCCTCTAATCTAAGACTCTAATCTTGCCAAATGCCAACTTCGTTATGACGAGCTAATGATCGACATATCCCACAAAAACGTCTTTGGTTTCGTGACAAAGCGAGAAATGAAAAGTCAGTTACAAGAAAATGTTGAAGAAAAAAGGTTTAATGATCTCACGTACAGGCACCTGACATGCAACCACTGATCCCTTGCAACGCACCACTGTTTAGAAGTTTCATCCCCTCTTCACTCATCTGCTGAACTTCTGTAGGTGATAAAATTCTGATGCACTTGACACAACCAACAAATTCCCTGCAGAGAAATTTAGGTGAACATTATAACCAGTGATTCCCAAGATAATGTTTCTTACTAAAGGTCTAAAACTATAAAAGAATAAACTTTTGGTTCAGAAGTGAATTCTACAAGTGCATTTTAGAGAATAAAGTGCACTAATATCGGTGAATTAGAAAAAACAACAGTTTAAATTGTGATTTAGTGCAAAGTTAAAATATATGTGTTTGATTTTTATCAAAATCCCAACTGTTGACTTTTTTTTAACAATAGCTCTGAGTGCACTCCCTCACTCTAGAGGAGCGGGATATAGATTTAAATTGTCTAAAATGAAGGAAGTGCAGTAGTAAACATTGATTAGCAAAATAAAGTTGAGATTGTAATTATCTTTAAAGATTGTCATATATGTACTGGGTTTTCTAATCAATGGTTACTAATGCAATTTATTCTTTAAAAGCACAGCTCCTCACTTTAGAAGAGTCGGATGCAGGATGGATAGAGCATCTAAATAACATAGGGCATGCTAGTAAACTTATGCAGGTGGAGTATGACACATTGTAACAGAAGTGAGAAACTTACTCCCAAGGATCATCCCCTACAAGTAGAACATCATTCTCATAATCTACATATACCAATTTCCATCCTGAACCTCTAGTGTCATTCAGCAGACCCTGGAGTCCAAACATGCACTCAATAGCACGGATCAGCTCCTCATAATTCTTGAAAGTAGTGACATCAATTGATCTTCCCACAGAACCTGCCTTTTGCACCTATCAGGTCATAAAAACAAAACCATGACTTATTAAAGAAGTTAAGCCAACAAATATCCTAAACCCTTCTAATAAAAATTTTCAATATCATAACGAATTAAGCCCATGACAAACTAGCATTTATGTCAAATTTGATATATTATTAGTATGAACGACAATGTGGAAAATGTATTCCACAACAAACCTTGGTATAGGTACGCCGCCTAGGTGCAGGCTGTGCAGCTACTTGAGGCCATGAATTTTTCTGCAGAAAGCTGCTTTCATCAAAATCAACATGACTTGAAGATGCACCACCTGAACTATCAGGGATATCTTGCAGAGAAAAGGCATGTGACTCCACTAGACTTGCAGATGTTATTTGAGACTGGACATCTTGGCTTGCACTCAAGTTGTTCACCATGCGTTCTGATGGATTCTTAAAATCCCTTTCCTTGAATGAGCAAAACTCATCCAAAATGGCACTCGAGGTAGAAAGATCAGCTATAGAATCATTTATAATGTTATTACCATCAACATTGTCACTGTTGTAAATTTCACTTTGATTGTTGCTCTCGGCTGAGAAATCCCTCAAATTGTTCGAACTAGATATACAACTGAGGCTGTACTGCCCTTGCTGAGAGATGGAAGTTTGTTGGTCTGCTTGGGGTAAAAGCTTCAAATTTTGCACATATGGATCCCACATGTTTTGGCTCATTGAAGGGAAAGGGAGATTTATTGCTTGAGAGTGAAGTACAGACTGTTCTTGCAAAGCTGTTAGAGGTTCAGTTGATCTGTTCTGCCCAACCAAAGGTTGGGAGGAAGAACACACCATCCATTCATCGATGTCTAGCTGGGGAAGTGAACCATTCACAATAGCAGATTCAGATTGGGGGATATCAACCACTAATGGAATGTGGTTTTGATTAAGGAATGTCACTTGATCTACAAAGCTTTGGGAGCTTACAGAAGTTGGGGCCATTTTTTCAATGTTGCTACAATCCATGTAAGGGAAGTCAAATATACAACCACCTAACCCCTCAGATTCTAACTTTGGTTTATCAGTAACTGTCCCAGTAGATAAAGGATTTTCAATCTTGGCCAGAGGATGCAATGTATCAAGTTGATCACTTTTCAACGGTTTATGCAAGTTCAAGGCACTAGATTGGTTTGGTTCAGATTGACAATGTATGTTGCTTAGTGGTATGCTCACTAAACTTGCAAGGTTAACTTTTTGGTAAGTCATTGGCAGTGTGGTATTCACCTCTCCTAAGGGACCTCTCTTAGCAGAAGATTCTTCTTGTCTGATCCATAAACAGTTCCCAGTATTGCTAACAAGTTGAGGTTTAAAGAGATTTTTCATCATATGTTCCGAGTACAGATTCTGAAAGCTGTTTGAGAGCTCCACGGTTCCATTTTCAAGAACCTGCATGAAAGGTTTTCTTAACAAAGCACTCCACTCGTTTCCTGCACCAATCAACATAACTAGTCATCATACAAAAGACGTATCCACAAAATATAAAGAGAGAATAAAGAAACTAACCCAACAATCCAGGTTGGAAGGGCCTTTTAAGGCTTGAAGTGAAAGAGGGAAAGGTGAAAAGACTTTCAGGAGTTTCGATGTCCCACGAACTAACTCTATTCTGTTTATCACTACATCCAGGCTCATCCCATTCAACCTGTTTATGAGAAACTATAAAGGATTACAGATTTTTAAGAGAAAGCTTTAAAAGTGGGTGACAAACAACTCAATCCACCTGAATATTTCTCCACTTAGAACCAGGCCACCTTAAAGGATCCAAATCACTGATGCCAACTATTGTACCCATATATCTGCAGAAAGATCAAGCACATGTCAACTTCTTCCTGCATGTTAAATATTTTACACACATCAACCCAAAGTAATGCTGCATGCCATAGGATAGTTCAAGCATTCAGAAAATTACCTGCGCTTACCCGATTCCTCTGTCTCAAACATCATACCAAATCTCAAGCCAATTGAGAGCTGGGTCTCATATATAGCTTTTCTGTACTTGGCCATTGGAATAACAAATTCTGAAGAGCATGCTCTACAAATAAATAGAAAAATACACTACAATCAAGAAACTATCCCCAGAAGTTTTATACTTGTATGTTATGATATTATATATAAGTTGAGTTGCGGGTAAGAACTAAGTTAAACATACCTTGGATTGTAGAAAATAGTAAACAGGGTTTGATTAGCAGCAGCATGAGCAGCAGCAGCAAGCACACCAATGTGCATACTATCAGCAGAAAGAACAGATGATGGCAATGATGTCTGTTGACGATTACCACGCCTAACACCAACTAGCAATTGCGATTTCCCATCCCTTGTTACAATTGACATGTCCTTTATTTTTAGCATAAACAAAGTAGTCTAAAAGCTCCATAGCACATTTAGCTAGCACCAGCACTACACTACACAAGCTATACAAGAGAAAACAGCTTATGAGTTGTGACCACTACCTGATAAAAAGAACAGAATCACCAGCTTTAAGCCTTTTCGATCCCACGAACAAACTCCATCCAGTTGTGAGAAGGTGTCTCTTCGGATGACCTACATAAAACATGCAAACGTGTCAACCAAATGCATGCAATAGGAGAAAACTATATTTTCAAAAGAGAAGCTGCAGAGCCAAACAAAAATTTTCCTTCTTCATGTTACTAAAAAGCAGTAAGTAGACTTGAGAGCATCCTTACCTCGGTATATATGTCGAAAAGTCCAGCTATTATCATGCAAATCACGGACAACTAGTTCCTGGCTTGGTGGTTGAATTGTGTAGTCCTGAAATGAACATGTATTAATCAAAACATTTTTTTTTAACCATGGCTACATTACACATGATAAGAAAATAATAAATTTATATCAGGACTACACAATAATATTAATTTATAGATAAGCATTAAATTTTATAATTATCAATAATTTATATTATGTACAACATTGCATAGGTGTAAATAAAAAGGAATTCAGGTACATTATTTTCCTAAACAAGGGAAAAGGGAACTTCCAGTAGCTGGTGTTATAGCCATACCAATGGAGGAAAGAGCCTTTCTGCTGCCCTGCGTGGTACTGAAAAGCCACCATGTGTGCTTGTGTCACTGGCAGTTAATGTTTTGCAGAAAAACTCAGTGGGGTGGCTACTTGCCATTAGTCCAAACTCAGATATAGGAAAAACATCTTTTTCCTGAAACAAAATGTTAGGGAAAATAATCACCTATACTGCACTTTTTTAAGAGAACCCTCTAGTTATGTTGTAATTTCACTATTACAAAATTACAATAATTCCAAGCTTACAGAATTTAGCGGTTGGAGACTCATTTGAGCATATATTTCGTCAGTTTCTTTGTCTGCCTGTCATAAGAGGTAAAGATTAAGGTGTTACAATAATAATAATAATAATAATAATAATAATAATAATAATGCAAGTAGTGGTCAGCTAAGCCTATAGACACACATTAACATACATGAAGTGTGACATTTTGGACTTGACACAGCAACTGAGAGGGAAGATTGGGATAGTTGGGAATCTGCGATGTGACCGTCATTCTAGTGCAAGCTGCCACCTGTTCAGATTTACATAACAGGGATACATCCATGAGCCAGTTCTTAGTGGATTTTCCATAAATTTAATATAATTTTACATAAATAAAATCATCTGACTGAATTTTAAATTATTCATGTAAATACAGTAAATTATAATCTTCAAATACGACTTGTTACTTTTTTTTTTCCCTACTTGTCTTATAAGTTGTACATATAATATATACAATCTATATTGTATATATTTTTAAAAATTATAAATCCTATATTATATATGACTTGTGTATTTATTAAAAAGTGTGTGTATCTTAACTAAGTAAACTAGTACTAATCAGGTTATGAAAAAAATAGCAATGATAAAAAATAAGGATGAAGGTGATGTTGAAAAGCATGACTCAAATTTGAGTTTGACCGTGCATTATATGGACAATTACAGTAAATTGAATAAGAAAGGAAGATTCAATTATCAATTTTTAAAAAAAAAAACTTTATTATATAACATGAGTAGATTTATTTAAGTTTTATATTATAATAGTCCTAATTTAATTTTTTAAAATAAAATATTCCAAAACACTTACTTAATAATTATCATTTATTAAAAATAAATCCTGATAGATTAACTTATTTCCTTTTTTAATAATATATGAAAATTATCCATAGGTTACCAATAGTTTGACTTACATATGTAACTTACGCATAATTTTAATGTTAATAGATAAACGTTAATTCATTTGAGTTTGAATTCTTAAAAAGTAAGTATTTAAGAATATTTTGATAGAAAGAAATAATTATATATGATTAAATTAAGAAAATTATAATTTAAAATTTACATAAATTTATTCATGCACTTCTTTAAGACCTTTTTCTTGTCTTTTGTTACTGAATCTTTCGCTCTTTTACATCATATGTTGTGTCTGTCATCTTTAATACCTCTAGCGTCTTCATACTAATAGAAATAGCATAGTGTAAAGTTCGAACTCATAATTCTTCAACATTAATTTTGTTATCCACTGATATCATTATTATTCCTTTTGACAGTATGTTATTATTAGTCCACTTGATTAAAACTTACAATTTTTTTAATAAATGCATGAATTATATAGAACTTATAAGCTAGGTAAAAATAAATAAATCAAGTAACAAGTCATAATTTAAATTTATTACATTGATGTAAATAATTTAAAACTAAGTCCAAATTAGTAATTTTAATCTAAAATTACACAATTTTTTTCAAAAAGCTAGTCCATAATATTTTACCAATTACAAACAATTCGGCCCTGATCATGCCATGCTGTTGCATCCAAAATTACAAATATAAGAATGCATACCGTGCCAACAAGATTAAGCCTAATACATACAAAACGGAGCAAAATTTTGAAAAAAACTAAGATTAAAATTTTGTAAAATTATAAGAATAAAAAGTATATTTAAGTATAATTTATACTATAATTTAGTCTATGTTTGATTATCAATCTCTCTATGTATCATACACGTGTCAAAAAATTAAAGGAATCTACCATTTATTAGTAAGATTTACATTAACGAAGTATTTAAATTTGCATTTAAATAAGCACATATTTATATTATTTTAACATTAATAAGTATAACTTTTATTTTAATATATTTTTAAATGTACGCTAAAACATGCCATTAGCTTTTGGCATTGCTATTTGCTAAAGTAACACTTACTTTACTCAAGATGAAGCAACTAAAAGTTCGTTCACTTTTCAACATGAAACCTGGTCTGTGAGATAATTTATCGTTGAATTAAATATTTTTGGACTACCTCTTGTAGAAAGAAACTTAGATTAAGAGCAATAGATTTTTATATATGTTTCAAGATACTTAATGAAAAATTAATAAATAATAATTTTTATTAAAAATTATAACTATTATTTTATTCAAGTTTATCATTTTAATAAAAATATTATATGTTATTAAGCAACAAACTAAAAAAATCAAATTATCAGCATTCATGAATATAAAAACAAAGGTTAGAAATACAGTGAGTGATTAACATAAAGTTAAGAAGCAGCAACAGTATATCATAAATATATTCGAAAAGATAGCAGTAAAGAAATTTTGAGAAAACAAAAATGAAAGTGAAAAGAAGAGATTAACTTGACCTGCTCGCAATGTCCCTGAGGGAAGTAATAAGAAAGACTCCCCACCTGAGGCAAGCATACAAGTGGGCCTGCACAAGCATGCCATAACTCCCAATTTAAAGTCTTCGGCTCCCCTGAAACTACCACCAAAAACATTACATTACTACTTAACATATTCTTTTCCCTTCAAACTTGAGAGAAACCCAACTTAAACGTGTTTAATTCACTCTATTCCAAGTAGAAAAATGTTTAATATCTATATAATGTTTAAAAAACCACTTGCACTTACAAATCAAAACCTAGGTATATATATATTTAATATTTAGAAAGGCCAAAAGGTCATACCGTAATGTTCCTTCATTTCTCTCGGTAGCTTCATGGGAGATACCGGAGTGGCATCCCCAACACTTGGAAATTTTTCTGCAAGCGAAGCCATCTTAATCTTATGGTTACCTAGTCTTCAATTCACCGTCATCGTTGTCATCCCTTTTTCTAGTCTTTGGGTGGACAAAAAGAAACGGGAAGAAGAAATAATGTTGTTACATGATTCCATCCATCTTAATTAGAGAATCTTGATCGTTTGGAACAAAACCTGCAAAAAATGCAGAGGGCAGGTGTTTTGCAAGGGTAGTGGCTGTGGCTGGGTACAAGTAAGCCCATGAGTTTGCATCACCGCACGCAAACCGAAGCACGAGTTGCTTTTATTGTAGTATTATTGAGCTGAGTCCCTGAGTACTTGTTTTATTTGTTTCAAAAGAAACCAAGGCTTGGACGAAATCACTCGTCATGGTGATGCTGATGCTGAAACAAAGTCACAATCTTCTCTCTCTTCATTCTCTTTGCTTGGAGTAGAGGGAAACTGTGTGACTGTGAATGCTCCTATATATCCTGCACAACACAACCACTTTCTGCGCAACCTCCATTTCTTTGCAGCTTTAAACTACATTTATTATTTATATCTGAAAATAACCGCGCCTAAATAAATATTAGAAAGAATAACTGAGCTGTAAGAGTAGAAGAACACGAAAGCACTGAACTGCACAAAACACACTATCAGCTCAGGTCAGAAAAAGAGAGAATGGATATGTCATTTTTATACGGCAAAAGTTCAGAATATTACTATTACTAATATTAACATATCACTTTTCCTTCTTCTTTTTTTTTATCTTTTTGGTACTATATAAAATAAATATTAAATAAAAAATACATATGAATTATTATGAAAATAATTAATGTATTTAATATTTTTATTTAATAATTAAAAATTATAAAAATAATATAAGATTTAAAATTATTCTTAATATATATCTACCAACTTTTCTCATGGATTACGATTTACGAGGATTGGCAAGGTTCTTCTACTTTTCTGCTTTTGCAGGCGCTTTCTCTTGGATTGAATACATACTTATACTACTTATGTTTTTGCTCTTATCTTCCTCTCCTAACACACTGCCTTGTTAGCGTAACAATATCCTTGGAATCTTGTTTTTCTTTATTTTCTTTGTTTTGCCTTTGGCTCAAAGGATCAAACTGTTTTTATGAAATATCCCTATAAAAGATTATTATTTAATGTCTCGATGGTGTATCTATCCTTATGGATGAAAAATATAAAAAAGGAAGATTTAAAAAGTAATAAATGTAGATAAAATGTTAATTGCAAACCTGTTTAAAGGTTATAATCCCGTAGAGTTACTTAGCCTGTCTTTGGTTTAGCATTAACGACTGTCACAGACATGTTATTGGAAAACTACTCTTGGTTGCATCCAAGTGTTAATCGCTGAAACAAATTTGCTCCCAATTTTTATAGTTTGGATATGTTAAATGGTGTTTTAAGGTATTAGTTAAAACATAAAATAAAAAATATTATTAATATATTTTTCTCATAGTTTTGAATCTATTTTTATTATGATTATCAATAAATATTATTTATTTATTATTTTTAATTAATATATTTTAAACACTTTATAATAAAAGCTTTATAAAGTATCTATTTGGAAATAAAAGAAAATTAAAAATATATTTATACATTTATTTATTTATCTACTTATTATTATATTTAAAATATATAAGAGATTTGTTATATTTTATTTTTTAATTAAACCTAAAAAATTATCATTTTATTTCTTTCTTTATTTTTGTTTCATTTTTAATTAACAATTATGTCCTGTTATAAAAAAATTCTTTTACTGATGCATTTCACAGAATTTTTAATATAAAAATAAAATATACGATATAAAATTGCTTAAAGTCGTAATTTACTGGGAATTAAGAAAATAATAAAAAGAATACTACTTTCCATTTCCATAGAAAAAAGGTTCTTTCTCAGTCTGAGTAGCTTAGCTGTTTAGTGTCTGATGTTTGACCGTTCCTCCTCACGCATGCGGTTCAAATTATTTGGGCAAAGCTAAACAAAGTTTAGTGACACGTGTCACTTTGCTATCTGTTTACTCACAGATGACCCTTTTCATTAGATTTGTGACATGTGTCACTTTGTCTCTTTTTTTTTAATTAATTTCATCTTAATATTTTTCCTTTTACATGACCAATAAATTGACCCCTTCTTTTCATTATGGTTAATTGCAATTATTTTAAAACCACAAAAAAAAAAACCACTCTCTCAAGACATCTTAAAAATTTCTCTGGTATTGCAAATGGTGGCTTTCGCATTGGGCTGATGACGGATCTTCACTTTTGTCTTGTGGCCGGTGAAAGGTGGATGACCCACCTGCAGTGGCCATGCAGGGTATATATAGTTAGTGAGAGTTTGGTAAATACAGTATTACATGTTATTTTTTAGAACTATCATCATAGATATTTGTATGTTATTCTTCATAAAATATATGTCTTTCTTGGATAATTGCTAGCAAATTTAATTATTATAAAAACAAATAATTATTCAAAATATGTAATACTTATTAAAATAAAAATATCAATGTTAATTAAAAAAATAATGCGCTCAACACATGTAAATCTGTAATATCTATCTACAGTTAAAGTTCTTATACCTTAATATCACATGATATTTTTTTAAATTTTTACTTTTAATTTCATGATTTTAATTACATGTATATATATTAACTTTTAATAGGGTGTAACAATATTATGATACACCTTAAATATAGATACTAAAAGATATATTTATAATACTCAATCTCAGAAATAATTGTTTATTTTTATTGTAAAAATGTCATATATATATATATATATATATATATAAAAGGAGAGACATTATTATATATTATTAATAATTCATATTACATTATTAATAATATTAAAAGTCATTTAAAATTATTAAGTTACTATATTTACTTGATATTAATTTAATTATTAAAAATACATAATAATTATTGAAAATAAGTTATTATAAATACAAAGGTTAAAAATATAAAAATAATTAATTAATAAATTCATTAAAATTTAAATTTAAGCGAACATGACATGTAGAATTTCAATAGAAGAGTATAAGAATAAAATTTTTTATATATATTACATAAAGTAAGTAATTTTTTATATCATTAAATTTTTAATAATGACAAAGATGTATTTTTATTTAATAATAAAATTATAAAATAAGAAAAAATACTAATAAATAAATAAATAATATAATAAAGCTCAATTTCCTAAATAAAGCCGGCCGAATAATTTTAAGTGATTTTACTTTTTATATCAACAAATATTTTTTTAATATTAAATGAAAATATCAAATAAACTATTTTAGAAATAAAAGTTTAAATTATTTATTTAATTCATAATTTATAAAATAATATATAACAAAAGTGAAACGGGCCATCAAAGAATTCATGTTTGGATAAGCCCAAAGAATTAAAGCAGAGTCTGGTAGTACATTCCAACATTTTTGGAGACATTCCCTAAACTAGCCTCAAGTTGGACCATAGACCCATCCTGCAGTGTCTATTGCTCTACGAATTTTTTTGGCAGCTAACATGTAAGCCTGAGAAAAACAAACCTCTGTTATGAACTTCGGCACCTTAAAAAATGGAATAAAAATTTTAAGTGAAATTTCAAAGTTGACAGTATAAGTATTCAACTTGTTATTTCATTTACTAAAGTTTAAAAACTAGTAATATGATATTCAAAATTAGTTGTCGGTGACCCAGAAAGTTTAAGGGACAAAATTATTAATAACTGCTTATGCTAATAAATTCGTTTACGTTAAAATGAACTAAAACATAAGTTTTACATCAAAACGTAATTAATCCTTATCTCCTCCCACAAATATTGATTATTTTAATTCATGGATTTGACCAATAAGAAAATTCGATGGATAAATTTATACAATACAAAACTTTTATAAAGCAATCCTCAAAGTTATAATATACAGTGTATATTATTAGCTTATCATATGCCTAATTCATCATATCAAATTAGTCGTGTCTATGCTACCGATCCCCATTTAATAGTTTGCTTGAATTGATATATATATCTAGTAAATATAAATTACGAGTCCCATTCTCTTTTGTCTTTGGCGCATTCAAAACAAAAAAAAGATCTTGACATAATAATAAGTAAATATGGACAGCAAGAACAACCTATGTATCAACCAGCCAGGTAGCTAGAGATATGTTAATTTATTACCTACTTAAATTTATATATATGCTAACTCGCGTGTAGCTAGCCGAAACATCATCTTATTGACATACAAGATGCCTTCATTTATTCATATCATCCTCTTTTTTTTAAAGAATAAAAAGTAAAAACTGCGACTGGTAGCATTAACATGACTGATCAATGAAGAATCTAATCTCAATATGTCTGTTTATTTTGTTTTATGTATGCAAATATCTGTTTTCTTCTAATCATGTGCATGCATGCGAGGATGTGACGACGTTTTTGCTGATTTCTGACACAAGATTTTATGGCATCTCATAATGCGAAGCTTATCCTTAAATTTTGTTTTTGTTCAATTCACATATATACAGTTTTATTTATACACCTCGTTTTTTATATTTAATCTCTCTTTTTCTGTCACAAAATTACACTGCAATGAAGTGAAAGAAGATTCTTTTACACATTCTTTTTTTTTTTTAAATTACTATTTTAATAAAAACTACACGATATTCATATATTTATATAGTACGAAATGTCTTTTTGTACCGTATAGTAGGACCTCTTAATTATTGTTGTTGTTATTGTTTAATTTCTAGTATTCGTTCTTATGTTGAATGAAGCTTTCATTAATGTTGGTACCCTGCTGAGGTCTGCGTATTTTAGCACTTACTTCGGGTGTAGCAGTTTTCTCACTCTACGGATGCTAGACTAGCATCCAGAAATAATGATTTCTTTTTCTTCTTTTAAAACACTAAAGGAAAAAAAAATGTAACGAAATAATGATCAAATAAGATTTCAATATCGTTATAATTGCTAATATGAATCAATCTACAAATAATTTTTTCATATAGAACTCAAAATACAGAGCTACTTTTCAAATTAAAATAAAAATAAGATTAGGTGTAGAAATCAATATTTTAATTTAACCCTTTTAAATTTACACCTTTGGATAAATATTTTAGTTATTAATATATTGGATGAGTGGTATAATAAATAGATCCAGTTGGCATAATAATATATTAACAACAGTCTATCATGGTTAACTTAATTGATAAAATTAAACGATGTCGTTATCAATAAAACGATAATTTATCAACAAGTACAAAAGTAATAATCATTAGAATAATGTTTGTGACAAATTTAATTTGTTAGCAAAGATTTTGAAAAAAATATATCAATAAATATTGTAGTGCGTTAATATTTGCATGATGATAGTATATATTAATATTTTATACCGGTGAAATTATTTATTAATATACTATATTATATTATTAGTAAAATCCAAGATGACATACTAATAAAAAAAAATAAGTTTTTATTCACTTTGAATTTGAATTAAAATATTTTACAATTATAATTAATTTGTCGCGTGTTTGTATCTGCGTAAATTTTTTACGTTAAAGGAAAATCGTAGTGTGTAACAATTTGTTACGTGTGCGTGTGTTACAAATGATTTGATACTGAGTGAAATGAAGAAACTGAATCTCTTTCCGCTCTCGCTCTCGAGTATCAACCGTGGCTGTGCCAGGAAGATTAGAGAAAGCTGCAGCAAATGGTCACTGGCTTGTTTCCGTATTATCGAAAATACCCTTCCACAAATCCAGCATATATTCTTCATATCTTCCTACAGTTTTCTCATCACCAACCAATTAAATCGAATTTTATGAAAGCCCAGAAGCTAAACAACAAACTACAGGGATAGAACATAACTCCGTGAGCTACAGATGACATTATTCAAATTTGTTGCTCGTTCATGTTTTATTAACATAATTTGGAGATTTGCTAAGATATGCGTTTTGTTATAAAACATTGAACTACGTAAATATTCAAACGGGACGCATAATTAGGGGGGATGCACCCTACTTACCAAAACATACGAAGTGGACCCATAGCCATAAATCCTAATCCGCACATTTTGGCACTTAAACTCTATTCTCCTGCAGGCACCACAGTTTAGCAGTCTTTGTAATATTTTTATATTAAGAACAAGAATATTGAAAAAATATGAATTTTAATTGTCACTTAAGTGACATGTGTCGTCATTCTATGATTGCACTGATCATAAAAAAAAGAAATGATTATGTTAAAATTTGATTGGGTAAGATGCTCAAAATATGGGCAGTAGAGGTGCTTTTGGCAGTTTCTTTTGGGAATTATAAAGAAAGGTAGCGATGGGGGCATCCCCGCACATGGGTATAGTCAGATTTGGAGAGTAGTGCAGAATGGTTCTTTGAAGGGCTTTGTATTTAACATTTATTTTGTTGTTTTATTACCAATATCTTAAGCCTTTTTCTAAAGAGAGCTTAACTAGAAAGCATCTTTTACTAGTTGGCCACCGTAGCCTCAAAGGCAAAGCACAGACCCTAAGTTATTCTTTCCCTGCTTCTTCTGCTGGTTAATTTCATATAAAAAAAACACACAAAAGCAACTTCAGCGTATTTTTTTTCCCCACTAAAGTTCCAAAGCAATTCTAATAAATCATCTGGGAGGTGTAAAGAACTAAAGATAGGATTGGCAGTTTGGCGCACAAAGATTTTTTTGACACACCTATATATAGCCTATGTTCCTCGAATTGTACATTACTCAGTACAACCTGTCTAATGTTTTCGCCTTCCACTTCATCGAGCAATTTTAGGTATCTATGTTGATTATTGTCTGCTTATATTTACTAACCTACGTGGTTAGTCTATCTTTTTCGAGGGAATTAGCTTTCTGTTTGCCAGGCATGTGATCGACAAGATGATATCAGGTTTCCATTTTCCATTTTTCCTTTTTTGTTGTCTTTTATTTCATTCTGCTTTATGACTCACCTTTCTAATTATTTCTTAACCCAAAGAAGAAACGAGGACGCTCAGTTTGCAACTGCATGCTATGAGTAATGATCTAACATCAAAATTAAGCCCAAAATCCAAACTCTCTGTTACAAAATACGAAATATGCATACAAATACAATCATACGTCAGCGTTGACGTTGCAATTTTTACGATGTGTCCTCAAATGCTATGCATTTTTTTAAGTGAGATCTATGTAAATGTGAGAGAAAATTTTGTAATTTTTTAATATTTTAAAAATTAAAAAGTATTTATATTAATCTATAATTTATTATATATTTAATATAAAATTAATAGGGATATTTATGTTATATATGATAAAATATTCGTATATACTATCTTAATTTAGAAGGTACTATAAAAGTTACATTTTTTAGGGTATTTTTGAATACTCAAACATATGTTTCCTTGTTCATTCTCCTGCATAAAAACAGATAACTATATTGCCACACGTGATAGCAGTTAGATAGATTAAAAAAAAAAAAACAGAATATTTTATCGAAGAAAATGATCCTTTTATTCTGTTGTTAAAAGGCAAATGAGACCGTTTCAAGTTGTTTAACCGTTATAATACATCACCACTTTCATGTTTCCGTAAGTTGTATCACGTAACTGATGTAAGCATTTTCTAATTTAAGTAAAAAAAATATTTTAGATTTAATAAGACAAATAGAGAGATAAAAAAATAAATTTTTAATTCTAATAATAACCAATTAAAGTTGAGATTTAAAATTTTAAGTGTACCGTGAAATATATTTTTAATGGAAAATGTATTTTAAGTTAAAATATACAAAAATAATTAATAGTTTTAAGATCATATGTTATAGAGAATAATTTAGTAAAAGACTTTATGTTAAAAATGAGGATTAAAATAGATAAATTAATGTAAAAGCCACGTAGTCTTCCACTCTTCCTCCTCAGTCTTTGGTAAGACATGCTACGTGTGTTTGAGAGGTTACAATAGTGTCTGAGTACTCTTACAAAAAAGTACAATTATTTTTATTCCCTTTTTTGTCTTTTTACTTTTTATTATAGTTAATCTGGATTTTTTTTCTTAAATTTATCTATTTATGTATTTAAATTCTCTCATTATTTTACCATCCATATTTTTATTTATTTATTGAAATAATTTAGAATTTAAATTATATTTAGAGTAAAAATTTATTTGAAAGGAGTCATAAGTTAATAAAATTTAAGAATGAAAATTATTTAAAAATTTGTGAATTTTAATTTTGAAAAAATTGTGATGTGTTTATGAGTTTTTAATAAAAAATAATATGAATTAATTTAATTATTTCACTCCATAAAAAGAAAATATTTGAATAATTTAATTCCTTTAAAATAAAAAATATTTATTATTAATTTAAATTCAATTGTATTTTTATATACCTAATGTTTATAAAAAATGCTAACAAGTATTCTTAAAATTAAATAATTAAAATTAGAAATATTTTATTAAAATAAAAAAGCTTATATTCACAAATTTAAATAAAAATTATTTTTTAATTTTTAATAAATAATAAATCCCTTTCTTATATTATATTTTACCTATAGTTGTAAAATGAGTGCCATTCAACGTGGTGCAGATTAGAAACGGGAGAGTTGTTGGTAATTATGAGGAAGAGGAAGGGCACATTCTTCACCATTCCATTATAAAAGCACAACATCTCCCACCTTCTGAACTCCCCCACTCCTTCTCTTCTCATTTTCCCTTCTCACTGCCACCCAAACAATCACAACCACAAGAATGCAGACATCAAAGAAAATGGGATTCGGAAAATGCAGCAGAATCCGACACATCGTAAGGCTCCGCCAAATGCTGCGCCGGTGGCGGACCAAGGCCCACATGTCGGCCCACCCAATACCGTCTGATGTTCCTGCGGGACACGTGGCGGTGTGCGTTGGCACCAACCACAGGAGATTTGTGGTGCGCGCCACTCACCTGAACCACCCCGTCTTCAAGAACCTACTGCTTCAGGCCGAGGAAGAGTACGGATTCTCCAACCACGGTCCTCTCGTCATTCCCTGCGACGAAGTGCTCTTCGAACAGGTGCTCCGGTTCATTTCCCGGTCCTGTTCTGCCAATTCCAACCGGTTCGTAAACCTTGAGGATTGCCACGCTGGCGTCAGAAACAACCTCGATTTCTGGCCCGAATCTCGACCATTACTTCACTGACCCGAAAAATATCAATAGCGAGTTTTTATTTTTATTTTTTAAACGTTCACTTGCTTCGCTAAAATTTGCACTACACATAAAAATTAATTGGTGCAATGCTCCAGAGAATGCTGAAGAGATGGCAAGGGGGTGAGAAAGTGACTCACCGAGTCGTCCCGGCTTCGAATCGGAGTTGAGGCTTTCATTCAAGTGATTGGGACTGGCAACTTTTTGTAAATTATTATTATTGTGTACTGTATTATTTTTTATTGATGGTGTTGGGTGAGGCTGTGCAGTAATAATCAATAAAATGGAAATTGAATTGTAGAGAAATTTTGAAATTTCATTACCAAAGCTCAATTATTATAGATTCTCCATGTGTGTGTTTGTGAGGAAGATGTAAATATGTAATCAGGGAAGCTGTTGGGGAGTTCTAATGGCATCAACCCACGTGAATAAAAAGCAGAGCCGAGTCTCCAATTTCCTATGGACTATGGTTCTGTGTTTTCCCCTAATTCCAGTTTGTCCAAGTCGCAACCATTGACTTGAACAATCATGTATGATGATAGTTTTCAGGCTAATTGAACATTCGTACAGTACTAGATAATAATTATTAACGTGCCCTTTTAGGACACGATTTTAGTATTTGAAATCTTTGTGTTTATGTTGGCTCTCTTATTTCACTCTTCTTTATTATTCGAAATCTTCAACAACGATATTTTGGTTGTTTACGCAGTTAGTTCAAGTGTGTAACTGACAGAATTTCCTTATTTAATTACTTCTCACAAATGCGTAATTAGGATGGTAACGATCAACCTAAATGATGATTGGTGAGCCTTTGACCTTTTTAAAGAGGCTTGCATTACCCAGTTTGGTGTCTCAGTTCTTAATTAAGCCAATGCTGGAATACACGTCTTACTATTTTTTTTTCCAAAAAATAATTATAATCAATGACACTGGACTAGGCTGTCAGGCAGAATTAAAAAAGGAAAGTACTAACATCATGTCCAAACAAAAGGGAAAAGAAAAGGTTAACATAATATGTGCTAGGCACGTCCACACTTTGCTAACCACATTCTTTTATTCCTACAAGCTAGTTAATTTAAATCTGTTATAATGAATTTAAATGTAAATATAATTCGCTAAACAAACTTTTTTCCTGGATATAGAGTGTTTCGTGTCAGTGTAGCTTCTTAAATTTAAACAAAAAATTAAAAGACTTTGTAAAGTGAATATGTTTTAAGATAAGAACAATTCTAAATATCCTCTTTATTTTTATAAATATTTTTAATTATCAAACAAAAATATTTTTTAAAATGTTTCTATGACGATAAATGTATATCCCTTTTTATTCAATACTTACTTTACAAAAGTAATACACTTTTTATTATTAAATATGCATAAAATATACTTTCTTATTAAAATTTATACAAATTTTAATTCAATTAAATTTTATTTTATTAAATATACATAAAAAAAAACGGAAAAGAAAACATTAAGGATATGTTTGATTATTATTTTGAAAACAGTTTTTTAACAGAAAACTGTTTTCAAAACATTAATCAAATATGCCTTAATTCGTAGTGATCAGCAATATTTTCATATTATTTTGAAAGCTTTGGATAGCAGAGTGTGCGACAAATGAATTGTGAGTGGTTTCCAAATTCCAATTGCCATTTCGATTTATTGCGTGCCTGTCAAATGTCTAAGAGTCTTTATTCAGTTTGAGGAGTAGCCACGTGATTTTTTGCGGCTTTATCATATTCTGATGAGAAAATTAGACATGGTTATGGGACTGATACTGACGTGTTGGCTTTCTTATGAACCATGTTGGTGTCTTGGTTTCAAGCGTTCCATAGCGATAAACCTATTCACAAACACTGAATTAAGTCAAGATTCACAGATCAGCACGGTCAAAGAGAAGCTTGCTGTATACAATTTACAATGAATTTCGCTAGCCACAGCATGAACTGGTCAAAAATTTCAGAACAGACTAAGGTTAGACAACATTTTATATAATTGAATTACTAAATATTTAATACTGTCGAGAAATTAAATTAAGTTTATGGAACAATGCCCTTAACAAATCCACTAGAATAGGTAGTCTCATCATTTAGTGAATATTTTAAATCCAAACAATATTGCCTTCCATAAAATGTATTCATAGTCTAGTTAAAAAATAGTTATTTAAATAATGTTTTCATCTCTTCAACGTTGAAAAGTCAGAATAAATTGACGAGAGGTAGTATATAACTGAGTACTGTATGGTGCAAGTTATGCATGCTTTTCCTTTTCCTCTATAAATGATGAAATTTCAGATGTTGCACATGACTTTGTCCGAATAATATCTTACAAGGTATAATGGTACACACATGCAAATTTTTTCCTCCTCCTGGTTGAGTCACATGTGAGATCTAGTAATCAAACACCACATTTGGCAAACGAAAGCTCTCCTATGTGTTCGTGACGAGAAGAAAGCTCAACAAAGTTGAAATTTTGCCAAATTTAGAAGGAAAAAAAAAGTGGTGTGTGATGTAATCTTCGTATTCCATAGCCAAAACTGTAGCAAAGTGTTTCTTAGTTCCGCCATTTTGTACCCTAAAAAAAAAAATGTAAAACAGCACAGATACTAATAAAGTCCAGCACACTAGATTAATAATCAAACTGCTCAAAATTTCAAATATGTTTGGAAAGAAATTAGTTTTCATGGAGAAAACAATATCTTTGGTGGGGGAAAATCCCTAGATGCCGAAAAAAAATCCGATATAGATCAATGAGAGAGGGGAAAAAATACGGTGCAGTTCTTCAATCGGAGTGAAAACGATATTGCATATTGCCTGAACGAGTTTTACAGACGTACCATTTTAAAAAGAAAAATGAAGCTCTGAATTTGTTTACGTTCTCTCTTTGGATTACAAAGTTTTAGAAGGTAAAAGTGTCGCAACTTCATCAAGCTAAATGTCATCTTTCCTTTTCTTTTGCCCCGCAACACTGTTTTTTCATGTGACCTGGTATCTTTAAATAAGCGTTTGAAGCGAAGAAGTAAGGACATATTTTTATTGTTTTGAATTTAAATGTTTTCAATTTAATTATTTGTAAAATAATGATAAATGTACGATTATTTTCTCATTTTAAATATTTTTTTACTTTAAAAAAAAAGGTTGAATCCTTTTCATATAATATAACAAGATATACAAAAAATAAATAAATAAAAATTTAAAGTTTTGCTGACACTGTTAGTATTATTATGTTAATTTTTATCCTCTTCATCTAACAAGATTTACAATTTTCAGGTCGCTGTTGCCTCCTCATTTCCATAATTAATTGCCTTTACCACTGACACTGAACAAGTTTGAATTAGGTAATAGAAAGTTATTTGAAATGTAAAAATTAGTATTAACATTTAAAAATGAAAAACTATAAAAATTTTAAGGTAAGATTTGTAAAATTAAGAACTCGTTTTAATTTTAAAAAGTTGCCAGTTTTGAGGTTAAAAGAGTTGTTTAGTCTATAGGGTCGTTTTTTTTTATCTATTTACTATTAGGGCTAAATACTACTTTCACTCTTTTATTTATTTATTTGAAGTTTTTGTTAGGCCAATTATTTATTTGGGTTAAGCAACACGAACATCTTGATTTGCTTTTGGGTCGTAAACGTTTGTCATTAACTTGAAAAGCCCAAAACATAGCCGTATTTATCATTCGGGGTGCAATAATTTGCTTCTCGAGCTTTTGGACCACACTAGACTCCGGAACAGTAATATGATTAGAGCAATATTTTAGTTACCCACGATGAAAGTAGCAGGAATGGACCAAATGGGCTTTCAGAAGCACCTGAAAAGGCTTAAAAAGAGAACACTTCCCCCCCTCTCCCTTTTTATCGACACACAGATATAACTTCACGACTCTAGACTTGCACTATTAAAATATTTACATTTTAAAAATACATCATACAATATAAAAAATTTTAAAATGATTTATTCATTCAGATCGACATTTCAATTAGATAGTTTGATTGATAAAATTAGTTAATAAGTTAACTAAAAGTTGTATGTTGGTGTAATTTTATAATTTTGCTTAAGCGAAACTTAAGCAAACGTATAAAATTACACCAACATGAACCTTACGTTCGATTTTAAACATGAGGAGATTCTTTTCCTACGGAGAGGATTATGAAGTAAGGTGTATACTTGGTGGTTAACATCATATATTATAATTTCTAAGTTAACCTCCTCACATAACAGCTAATAAATGCCCCCAGCCAAACCAATTTATACTTCTATCATCTCCATGTCCATCAGCCAACATACTCTTCTTTGACTGGTACGAGGATCACTCCCAGTTTTGGTCTTTGTTTTAGTTCAACCCATCGTTAATATGTCTCAACCGTGTGCAGCCCTACCTTGTGTACAAAATTAGGCGAAGCGGTGGAAAATAAACGGTTCATTTTATACTTTAGTACAGTTTGGACAAATTTTTTTCTACCATTCAAAATCCTGGCCGGTGCTGCAAGTAGCTTCGAGCTTCTTATTAATTGGAATATCTCCATCTATGCATAATCCTACTAGTAATTCTAATGATTGCAAAGAGTAATTATGTTATTGTTATGCTGTGATCGATATGATGTTGATGTCTTGGAATTATTTCGGGTGTGGAGGATCCCCCGATCTCGTATTGTTTGTTTCTCTAATCAATACTTAAAATGATTATAAAAGACAAACAATGAAAGTCAAAATAACATGAAGAGAAACGGGGGAATTTATAAACAGGAAATGATCGAATTTGAGCCACTTGGGTTGGGAATGGGGACCCACCACTCATGACCCATGCATGGTGGGTCTCCATCCATCTTGATTGTAGACAAATGTACGGCTAGGATAAGAATCATAAGATTGCTCTTGTTCCATTCCACGCAAACGTCTTGGTGTGTGGGTGACTGAAAATAATATCCGTTTACTTTCATTATGAAAAAGGTTATTGATTTTGACAAATGGGTTTAATTACAGGTCTAGTGGATCATAGTTACGCTTCTAATCTGGTTGTTAGCTTGTTTACTTCACCGCCAGTTCTTTTTCCTTCTTTATGTGTGGTGATATCATTTCAAGCCTTCTCTTCTTAAGCAGTGTTTCAACTTCTCGACACTTCATTCAATGATGATAACAATACATTTAGAACTAACCATTTTCCTTAAAGAAACAGAGAGGAATAGATGTTAGGAGAGAATACGACTTTAGAGCCCATAAATAATTTGCAGGGGAAGGTTCTCTAAATTATAACGCCAATAAGGGGTCATTGGAAGAAGGCACAAAAAAATGACTGTAATTAATACGTGTAGAATTCATTGCATCCAACTTTGGTTAACACGTAGCAATTAATATTTCATTAAGGTGCCCATTCACCATTGGGTGAATAGACCAAATAGCTATTTAGAGCTGGAGTCAATTTTACATATATCTCTTGGCATTTCTTAATAAAATCAACGTTCTTCACGGAATCATATTAAGGTAAATGTTACTTTTGTTTTGTGCATGACGTACTCCGAGGGCAAAAATTATAAATGTTCTAAAAAAATTTGTGGTTATAATTGAACAGTCTTACTATCAATGCTCTAACACAAATTAAAAATTAATAAATATTTTTATTAAAAATTATGTTTATGTTTCATTTTTTTTTAAATGTATTCATATTTTTAATAAAAAATATTTTATTATACTAGTTAGTATTCATTATTTTTGCGCAGCAGCACTAGTTATTGGCTAATCAGTGATTATGAGACATTACAGCTAATAATAAATTCATTATCCTAAAAATATAAAATTTATTTAGCGTATTCAAAACACTATTGAAGACATTACCTTAACTTTTAAAAATATTTCTTATATTTTTTAGGACAAAAAGGTCAAAAACATGTGGTTAAATATAATTTTTTATTTAATTTAAAAATAATTATTATGTTATATTTTAGTGATCAATCTGCCATGCACAGGGAGCAGTAGGCAGTGCTCTACGGTAGGTTGCCACTTTCAAATGATTGAACACTGTGATACAGTTAAAAAAACAGTTAGGATATTTGATAAAATTTAATAAAATTATTTAAATAAAAAATACATATACATATACACGTATATCATTTTATTGTGATAAAAAGTCGACCTTTGTTTTATTAGATTGTTATTAAGAAGTGTTTTTGTAATATTAAATTATTAATTAAGAAATATTTAATATTTTATTTAATATTTTAATCATTTAAAACAAGTATTAAATACATTTATATTCATAGAACAAATATTTTCTTTATTTAATAAATTCTCATTACATGAAAACTTGTATTGCATATTAATTATATATCTTTTAAACATACTAAAAAACTTATTATAAAAGTTTATACTAAATAACTTATTGAAATAAATTTAAAGATATAATTATTATAAACTATTTTTATAGCTCCTTTAAACGGAAATTATAAAAATAGATATGTTCTCTGATACTTATTGTGATAGATATTCTTCAATCTAACAATTTTATTATTTTATTTTATAGTTAAAATAAAATCGACAAAAAGAGAAGAAACAGCTATACGAAATCAGGTACCGTTCTTACAGTAAAATGTAATATTTATAAGGATAAAATGTGAGCTCCACTTGTTCATGTTAAGTATGTTATTATTACAGCAACGCTAAATCCACAGGAGAGTGAAAACAAAAAGGAAAGTGTTGCACCTTCAATGCTGATAGCAATCTATGAGTAGATATTTTGAGACCAAAACTTTTATAAACTGCAAGATCACAGCCTTCCAAACTCGGCTCCATAGGAGAGAAATTTCCCTAATGGAGTTGCAGCAAGGACTCGTAGAAGAGGGAGACAAACCCATTCACGCTTGTGCTCTCTATTAATTTAATACTTAATAGATAATTTCTTGTGAAAAGGTGAAGTAAAAGCATGAAAATATAATAAGATAAAAGAATGTTTTACTTTAAAGATTAAGTCACGATCATTTTTTTTAACTATAACACCTTTTCTTGTCTAAAATTAATACTTTTTTGGTTATACATAAAAATAAAACTTATTTATTTTATTAAAATTGGCATGCTTAATTAAATATTTATCGTATAATTTATAATAATTTAGCTTATTTACACTTGTAGTAATTGCTTTAGATGGCGCGTGCTCGCAATCGCAAGGTGAAGGGGGGTAAAGAGGCCCCACGGTGCAGAGAAGGGCAGTGGTGTGGGGAAGTGGGGACAACCTCTGTAACCTCATTCTCAAGTTTCCACTTTACTCATCGGATCCCGCGTCCCCTTCGTTTATTTCATGTATCGCTTTTCGCCTTTTTCCTTTTGCAATACTAACGATTAAGGATTTCAGGAATTTTTGCAAGATTTATTTTTTATGACGAGTCTATTTAAAAACAGTCATAATACTTATTTCATAAATTAATTATATTTTTAAATTATTTATTACTAAATATTAGTAAAATGTAATTTCTAATTTTTGTATAGATTAAAATCTTCAATCCTTCTATATATAATTCAACCAAAAATTGATATGTAACAATATTTTAATGGATTAAATAAATTAAATAGAGTAAAATAAAAAATTATTTTAAAAAAAGTATATCAAAAAATTGTATAAAGAATTAATATATGTTATGTAATTTCAAAATAAATTAAATATTCAATTAGGTTTTGTTTAAAATTTTAAATTTGTAGTAAATTAATAAAAAAATTTAATAAATAAAAATATCTAATGATACGGGTTAAAAAATAAAAAAAGTTTTTTTTTATTAAAGGTGGATATATTTATTATTTTAAAATTATAAAATATGTAATGTATACTTTTATACTAATTAAAAATATTTAATAAAACGTATTTAATATTTCTTAACATATTTCGTTGAGCGCACATTAAAAATATATGAAAAGTGAATTTATAATATTTTAAAGCTAATTAATAAAAAAATAAATTTAAGTAATGTTCAGCTTATTGAACATTTTTTATATATTTTTTATTTAATCTTTTAAACAAATTGTATTTGTACAAAACAACCTTAACAATTTTTTGGTCATTTGATAGATTCAGCTAATTTTATTATTTCACTTTAATTAGTTAGTTATGAGTTATAAATTATAATTTTTTAGCCAATTTTATTGAATATAACAAAATAAATGTTTTTGAAAAATACGTTCGTGTAACCTCTGCGCCCCCTAAATTTTTTATGGAGGGGCGAAAAACATAGCTACAAAGACGATTCAAGACATTTTAAATGCAGAGAATGTGACAAAAACAAACTTTAGGTGTAATTACATTCCAACTAATTGCTTTAGTGCCTTCGGCTTCGTCTAGGGTCGCATACCCATTGAAAAGCAACTACTCCTTTCTAATTTTGTTATAATTAATAAATTTTCAAAATTAATTTAAAAAACTAACAAGTATAAAATTTAAATTAAACACTGAATATATTTATTTATATAACAATGAATAAATATTTTAATAATATAAAATGTATAATAAATAATAATATTGTATAAAAGATTAATAAAAATAAATAATTTAAAATAATATGAAAAAAAGATGAAGTAAATTAATGACTAAGCACGAGTACAGTAACGGTTTTGGCTTTATAACAGCAGAATGACTTGTTGCATGGGGCAGTGGGGAAGCACTTGCAAAGGCGCCAAGTCATGTGTCATGCAGCTACACACCAAATTTGTGAGCTGTAGAGAGTAGAATGCCAGTGTGAGTGGTCCAACGTCGTAGCAATCGCACTTTGTCTCCAATGCAAGTTAAATACTTATTACTTAAATTAAATAATAATCCCCTAAAGCATTATTATTTATACTTACCAATCCAAAAGAAAAAGAAAAACAATGGCACCACTTTCCTTTTCCAAAATCGGATACAGCTCAGATGCTTGCTTGCTTCTGACACAAACCTTTCTTAGTATCACCAAAGGTCAATTACGTCAAACTACCACTAACCTTTTCATTTTTGCTTTAAAATTTTATTCGTTAATCAAGAATTGTAGAACAAGCATCGATGAGTATTTAATTCGCAGAAAAAAAAATATAAAATAAAAAAATAAAAATGGTTTTTGTATCCCCTCCAACATTCTGCTTTTAAGTTTCAAGAGAACGCACTACCGCACTACTACCTCTGGGCTGCCACCACCACCGCCCCCCCCCCCTCTCTCTCTCTCTTGATAACTACTCTTCACGCTTCGCATTATCTTCGCTTGCATTTTCTTTTTCCTCCTCGGTAAGTTTATTTCTCTCCCTTTTCCTTCTCAATCGTGGTTCTACTCTCTGACTGTTTCCTCTTCCCTGAATCATTCACATTCTTTTGTTCGCTGAATATTTCGGACTTGAAACAGTTAAACTGAAACTGCTTGCTAAAAATATCTGTTTTTATTTTTTAATTTTTTTTTCATTTCAGTCTTCTTTGGATTCCTCGTCATGGAGCACTTTTTCTTTTTCATTTTTTTGTCGGTGACAATAGTTGCTGCTTTTTTAAATTAGAAACCATTCATTCCCTAACATTTTGGAATAATTTTCCCTAGATTAGTTCCGGTGCTCCTAATCATACCAGATTTCCACTCTCTCGTTAATTTGGATCTAATTTTAGCGATAAAGACGGTTAGCAATAATAAATAATCATTACGAAAGCTCACTTTTTATCTTTTTTTTCCTTCTCATTTTCTGAAAAAATAATAAAAAGAAAGAAAGAAGGCACTTACTTGCTTTTGTGTGAAGTTTGAGCAGTGAGTTGAGTGCAGTGGAGAGAAAAGAATATAAAACTTTTTGATAATTTATAGCATGCGTTGCGTTGCTACGCATAAGAGAAGTGCGGTTGTTAGATCTCGGAGATCGCGGTTACATAAATAAAACGTGATATCTTTCACTGGCAGTGCTGCTAGTACTGTACCACACCTGCTTCAATGCATTTCACCAATATAGTAAATTTGGCTGAATCCAGAAGAAAACCCTTGCTTCAACTCAATCTTCATGTTACCGCCAACAGTTACGTTTACCAAAAGACTAGAAGGCATAGCCATTCTCATTTCTAAGTTGTCCAGGAATTTTGTACTCTTATTGTCATTAGAATACAATTGAGGAGGGAATAAAATAGAGTCGTTCATGTGGTAGTAAGAGTTCGATTATTGTATATTTAATTGTACGCGGTTTTTATAGTTTCTGATGGATCGACGCTGGCCTTGGAAGAAAAAATCGTCAGAGAAGACTGTGCTTGAGAAAGCAGCTACTGCATTGGACTCCTCCGATGCTTCCAACCAGGTATATTTGTTGGCATTTTCAGTTGTGCACTAGAAACGTGTGCGAGTTTTTGCGTACTTCGAAAATATGGCCGAGTCTGATTGCTTTACTAATTTTTTAATATCTATAGTTTTTGCCACTTTGCATGTGATCTGCTCATGATTAATATTTTTATTGTTAATTTTGATTCACATCTCCTGCAAGTTTCCCATTCAATATCATTTTATTAATTCAAAATTTGTTCTTTGCATATTGTTAAGCTTGTTTTTACTCTTTCACTAAATTATTTATGCGCTGTAGTTTCTTAGAATAAAAACTGTGGTTCTCCTCCTTTCTATGTGTGGAACTAAAACATGTATTGATAACTTTAAACGACTAGTACTCTCTAATTCTTGGCTTTGTTGATTCAACAACGTGATTATGTTAACAGCTTTTTGTTGGTTCACTTATGGAAACAGGATAACAACAAGAAACGAAACTATATTCAAATCTCTGTGGAATCCTATTCACATTTGTCTGGCTTGGAGGATCAAGTGAAGACATATGAGGAAAAAGTTCAGACACTAGAGGATGAGATCAAGGAAATGAATGAAAAGCTATCTGCAGCAAACTCTGAGATCAATACAAAGGAAAGCATGGTTAAACAACATGCTAAGGTAGCTGAAGAAGCTGTATCAGGTACAATGCTTCATGATTTTACCACCTTAAACATGCTGAAGCCTGCCTTACTATGAATTGCTTCTCACTGTTCTTGGAATTCTTTTGAAACTCTGCAGGTTGGGAAAAGGCTGAAGCTGAAGCTTTGGCATTGAAGAACCATCTAGAATCTGTCACTCTTCTAAAACTCACTGCTGATGATCGTGCAACTCATTTAGATGGTGCTCTTAAAGAGTGTATGCGACAGATACGAAACCTTAAGGAAGAACATGAACAAAAAATACAGGAAGTTGCTCTCTCGAAAACCAAGCAATTGGACAAGATTAAGGGAGAACTTGAGGCAAAGATAGTTAACTTTGAACAGGAACTTCTTAGGTCAACTGCGGAAAGTGGGGCTTTGTCAAGGTCGTTGCAGGAGCGCTCTAACATGCTAATCAAATTGGGCGAAGAAAAAGCTCATGCTGAGGCTGAAATTGAGCTTCTTAAGAGCAACATAGAATCATGTGAAAGGGAAAATAATTCACTTAAATATGAACTTCATGTTGTTTCCAAAGAGCTTGAAATTCGCAATGAAGAAAAAAACATGAGTATGAGATCTGCAGAAGCTGCTAACAAGCAGCATACGGAGGGTGTAAAAAAAATTGCTAAGTTAGAGGCTGAGTGCCAAAGATTACGTGGTCTTGTGAGGAAAAAGTTACCTGGTCCTGCTGCACTTGCACAAATGAAGCTAGAAGTTGAAAACCTTGGTCGAGATTATGGAGAAAGTCGATTAAGGAAGTCTCCTGTGAAGCCTGCTACCCCTAATTTGTCTCCGTTACCTGATTTTACCCTGGAAAATGTGCAGAAATTCCAGAAGGAGAGTGAATTTCTTACAGAACGTTTACTGGCAATGGAAGAAGAAACAAAGATGCTGAAAGAAGCTTTGGCTAAACGCAACAGTGAATTGCAGGCCTCAAGGAGTATGTGTGCTAAAACACTAAGCAAACTTCAAAGTTTGGAAGCACAACTTCAGACAAGTAACCAGCTGAAAGTATCTCCAACGTCCGTTGTCCAGATCACTCATGAAAGCATTTATAGTCAAAATGCAAGCAATGCACCAAGCTTGGTCTCCATGTCTGAAGATGGAAACGATGATGCAGGAAGTTGTGCCGAGTCTTGGTCTACAGCAATGATCTCTGGGCTATCCCAATTTCCTAAAGAAAAGTGCACTGAGGAATCAAGCAAATCTGAAGCGACTAAGAAGTTGGAACTAATGGATGACTTTCTAGAGGTGGAGAAGTTGGCTCATTTGTCAAATGTTTCCAATGTAGAAGCCGCTGTTTTAATTTCTTCTAACAATAAGGCTACTGACATTGTCGCCAATGATGTGTCAGAAGTTAGTGCTGGCAATGAAAAGAACGGTAATTCAGATCCATTCCCAAGTCAAGTGTCTTCTGGTGCATTGATGTTGGCAGCTGATCCCCAAACCAATGTTGGTGGCTTGTTACTAACAGAACTTAGATCAAGAATTTTAATGGTTTTTGAGTCCTTAGCTAAGGATGCTGATATAGGGAAGATTGTGGAGGATATTAAACATGTGCTTGAAGATTCACATGACACTGCCCCCCACCACTCTGTGGATGCCCATTCTTCTGATGCCAAATGTGATAGGCGGGATAATCCTGAAGATGCTGGCTTAAATCTTGAAAATGAAAGAATTTCATCTCATCAACCCAAAGAATACGTGCAGATAACTTCAGATTTAGAAGCTGCAATTTCTCAAATTCATGACTTTGTATTGTTCCTAGGAAAGGAAGCGACAACATTTCATGACATATCTTCTGATGGAAATGAAATGAGGCAAAAGATTGAGGAGTTCTCTGTCACATTTAATAAAGTATTATGCAACAATGCAAGTTTACTACAGTTTGTTCTTGACCTGTCATATGTCCTAGCTAAAGCAAGTGATTTCAGATTTAATGTCCTTGGTTACAAGTGTACAGAAACTGAAACTAACAGTCCTGATTACATAGATAAGATTGCTTTGCCTGAAAACAAGTTAGCTCAAGACAAATCATCTGGAGAAAGATATCAAAATGGTTCTTCCCATATGCTTAATCCATGTTCTAATCTTGAGGTTCCTGACGATGGAAATTTGGTCGCAGGCTATAAAGGGAATGCTGCCTCTCACAAACTGTCAATGGAGGAATTTGAAGAATTGAAATTAGAGAAAGAAAAACTAGTAATTGATTTCTCAAAATGTACCGAAAATCTTGAAATAACAAAGTCTCAATTGCTAGAGACTGAGCAACTTCTAGCAGAAGTTAAATCACAATTGGCCTCTGCTCAAAGATCGAACAGCTTGGCTGAGACACAGCTAAAGTGTATGGCAGAATCCTACAAGACACTTGAAACACGTGCCCAAGAGTTTGAAACTGAGTTGAACCGTCTGCAATGCAAGACAGAAACTCTGGAGAATGAGCTTCAAGATGAAAAGAGGGCTCATGATGCTGCTTTGGCCAAGAGCAGAGAGCTTGAAGAGCAGTTGCAAAGGTTAGGCATCGTCTAATAATATCTGGGTTCTACTTGCTGGATATTGATTACAAATTTTCAGCATTTGTGTTTTGTTTATCAGAAATGGAAAATTTTGTGAAAATTATTGCTTCATATATTTAATCTTATGGAGATCTCTATTGCCGGTTCTAATTCTGATTTGTGTTACTCTGTCTGTTAGGATTGAGAGCTCAGCAGCTGATAATGACCTCAAGACTTCGAATGTAAGGCTGTAATTCCATTGTGAATATAAATTACCATGTTGAATTTTGCATGTCATATTGCTGAATACATATCAAGTTAGGAAAATTTAGGCTCTCTTGATAATTAAAAATATCATAATGTTTATCTCAATCTGGACTTTCTTTTGATGGGTTGAAAATCTAAGATATTTCTATCGTAAATGTAGGAGAGAGATTTGGCAGCAGCTGCTGAAAAGCTGGCTGAATGTCAGGAAACCATATTTCTTCTGGGCAAGCAGTTAAATGCTCTACGTCCTCAAACTGAGCCAATTGAAGCATCTTACAATAAGATAAACCCAAAGGTTGAAGGCTTCACAGAAGATGAACCTACTACTAGTAGCACAAATTTTCAAGAATTAGGTCAGTTGGAGATGGATGGTGCTACTTCTGCTTTTGTGCAAAGATTGAGTTCGGAGTCCCCTTTGCATTTTTCCAACAGTTTATTTAGCCCGTCAGATAATGAGTCCACGCCCCTTCCAGCCAGATCCCCAGTACAGCATCCAAAATCAAAACCAAAACACAGGCCTACCAAGTCAGCCTCTTCTTCAGCTTCTTCTGCCACTACACCTGAGAAACATGCACGGGGATTTAGTAGATTCTTTTCACCAAAAGGAAAACCCACTCATTGAGCTTGCAGCTTGCGGGCTCTATGTTAATTCATGACGAGGAAGCCACATTTTGAAAAGTACTATGGTCCAGACCGTTTTAATGTTTGACAGAAATGAGTTTTGGGAGAGGTTTGTGTAACTAAGGAGGGGGATACCTCGAGTGTCTGGTGATTCTTGTATGTAATGGTTGTACCATATGTTGGTTTTTTATTTTCCCTTTCATTATTTTCCCCCTCTACCAAACGATAAACGTTGACATAGTCTCTTAAGTTTTACGGGATGTGTTGATTATTTTGTACTTCACAAAAATGGCCAAACCTTCAATTTTTTAAGAACAAGAATGAATAGATTGTTCAAGTGGTTGCGACGTCTAATCAACGACGGGTTTCAGCAAGATACAACTACTAATAGGGAACCTACTCGTCTAATCAATGACAAACCTTGATTTTTTCCCCATCCTATATAAATTTAACAGGTCATATGCGTTTGAGTTTTAACCGTTCTCTTTAGATTAAGGTAAATATAATAACTTTTTTCTTTATATTATAGTAAATATAACTCCTTTTGAAGTTCTCACTACGCACACATGTAAAGACATAATGGAAATAGATCCTGTTGAATGTAAGAATTTAAAAATTTAAATTATAAATATACATAAATACTAAAGATTAGAAGTTAATAATCTTATAATTATTTTATAAAGTGTATTTATTTTTTAAATTTTAATTATTTAAATTAAATTTTATAATTTGTATTGATCGTTAGTACTTTACCTATGAAGTTATGTTAACACTCCATTGCTTCAAACTCAAAATAAATAGCGCACGGTAGGTTATAAATAAACATTATGATGCGTTTGATAAGATTTTTCAAAGTTTTTTTAATGATAATTTTATTTAAAATTCTAAAGAGATAATTTAGATTTTAAGAAAAACACTAAAATTACTTCTTTTATATATTCTTTTTAAAAAATTCAATCATAATAATTTGTTAAAATAGTTATTAAATTAAAAATGCAATGTTTCTTTTATAAAACAAGCTTAACCTTACCGGCAATTAGTATCACTACTGCTTCTTTATGAATTGCTCATTTGTATTCACGGGGTAGTGCAATGTCTATGGATTTATTTTACAAATTATAAACAAGAGAAAATTTCAATTTTCGTAAAGAACCGTTCGTGCAGCTGGGGAGCACCGACACAGAACCCCCGCTATGTCAGTGGGCACTCTTTGTTTTGGGCCAAAGCTGTCCTTAGTGGATCTTTTTATAAGTAAATTAAAAAAATGTTGGGAAGGCCTAGTCCACAATGCCCCCAGTATCCAAATTCTTTTATTTTCTATCGTTACAGTTTTTTTAATAATTAAAAAATAAATATTAAATATATTTTATATTTTGTGATAATAAATATATGTATTATTTAAATACACGTTTGAAGAAATATTAAAAAACAACTGTATAACTATCTTATATGGATATATTATTATTTTTAATCAATAATTATAATTATGCATTTTATTATATTTATAAACATAAAAGTATCTGAATCAGCATTTATTATAAAATTTGAATCTACATATAATAGAAATATAGAATTTGGATTTAGCGACGGGATAAAGTAGTAATGATAATAAGGGATCATCTGAGTTTCCATCTATACAGGTCGACCAGGTGGACGGGAACTATAAATTTAAAAAAAGATTATAAAAAATAAAATTATGAAATATTTTGTGATATTGTTTTATTTCAACGAATAACATATTTTTAAAATATAAAAAAGTATTAAACTTTAAATAATATATTTATAAATATTCAAAAAGTCACGTTAAAATTAAATGGTTAATGATACAATTTTAAGAATTAACTTAATTAATGATGTAAATTTCAGAGAATAAATAAATATTTTATTTTATTTAATATAATACAATACAAATTTTTAATCTATGGATTTGTTTGCTTATTTTTTAATGACGCTTGTTAATGTTACTATTCATTATTAAATATTGTCTTCTTTTGGCATGCTATTTTCGGTGTAAGGAAATGAAACATCGGGATCTATTTAATTCTTAAATATTTTTTATTTTTATTTTTATTTTGAAATTTTATAAATGTTGGTTTAAAAAATGAAACTGGAATTGCATATTTTTTTAGGAATAAGATTATTCACAAAATACTTATTTGCTTATATGGTTTTTAAATGACAAAAATGACCCTTTATAATTTATAAAATATTCTCTTGCTTTGATATATTTTTAATTTACTTATTATTTCATTTCTTTACTACAAGCCTACAAAATATTTAAATTGGGAGAAAAAAATAAAAATAAAAGAAAAGTAAAGTAAGCCTACAAGCCTTCTAGTTTAAATTGATGAAAAATGAGTGTGATTTATAACTACTATTTTACCCTTTGAGCAAAACCAATGCATAATCTAAGTTAATTTTCAATATGTTAATATCAACCCGTAAAACGGATATTATTATTCTTCTTTTTTCCTGGGCTTCATGTTCATTTGCATGCCACCTGTGTCGTAGTTCACATTGCTTTTCAATTGAACCATGTGCTCTTGTTTCGTATTAATTAACACTATTTCTCACATATCCATGAACATAGCATAGAATATACACACAAAAATGAAACACGTTTTGTTCGTAAAAAACTGAAACACGTGTTTTGAAAGAAAGTTTTGGGCATTGGAATCAATATTTACAAGTCCCTCTCATCTCATAAGAAAACATGGCTCAAGCGATTGATAGGAGATGGAATTGTTAGGGCAGAAGCGGAAGGAGGGAGGAAGAGGAGAAGAGAAGATGCAAATGCACTCTGTTCTGATATTTCTTTGTTCAAGAGATTCATTATGACTGTATTAAGTTTTTAGAATCACACCTAATATGTTTTAAGGATGGATTTGAATTATATATTCAAGTTGTTTGAATCAAGTTAAATATCTTCTATTTTTTCAAAAATTTATATAATATAATTTGGTCTTAATCAAGTCAAGTTTAGATATATAAAAAAAAAATTGATCAAACTTTTAAATTGGATAAAAAAGATAAACATAAATCCATTTTAACTTATTTCATTTAGACTCTAACTCTTCTTTCATGCAAATATTTTTCAGATTCTCAACTCGGTGTAAATATTGTTTTAGAGGGGGTATTGGGTTAAAAATATGAAAAAAATATTAAATTAAAAGTAAAAAAATTAAATGCATAATAAATCAATAAAATTAGTTATCACTGCCTAAAATATTGAGAACATGGATGATCACAAAATATAAAAATTATCATAGACGCATTAATAGTTTAGATCAACTTTTAATTCATGAAAAAAATTCGATTATCAAATCTTAGGGCGTGTTTGTTACAGTGTTAAAATCTCCGTCGAGTAACGATAGTTCATTTGCTTTATTATACAGATAAACACTTATTGTTAATGATATTTTAAGGATAAACTATTAAACTTTACAAATTTACGGATGTTTGTTTATAAACAAGTTAGATAAAAATTAATTTTAAAAAATAGGGTAACTAAATTGATGTGACGAATTTAATTGAATTATTTTAAAAAAATATTTATTAAGAAAAAAAATGACATTAATTTAATAAATAAAATTTCCTTACTCGTGACTCAACATTCCGTTCAGAGTGGTTTTGGATTTGTACAATTTCAATGAAATTGTGTGACATGTGTTATTCAGACAAGGTCAAGCTATCAAAATTTGAAAAAAAATAAAAAACTATCAAAATAAACTAGAGCGTGTCTGTCATTAGAGAAATATTTATCCAGATAATCATTTAATTTTGGACTTTTTGATAAGTAGATACAATTTAATTATATATTTTTTATAAACATTTAAAAAGTGAAATCTTATTAAATTTTACTAAAAAAGTTATTAACAAAAAGATAAATATAAAATCTTTACACAATAATTTTATGAAGTTTAACATGAAGATAATATTTTCATGTAAAATATTTTTAATAAAATGTTAATGCTTTATACCATTAATTATATAAATCTCAGTCTTTCAAATTTGTGTAAACAGAGCGTGTAAAGCTCAGAGCATATTTAGTAGAAGATATAACTGCAGACACCTAAACTAATCTAACCAATCCGATTAATCAAACTTGTTTCAATTAAAAAAAAATCGAATTTGACTTAATCAATGGGTTATATGGAGTAAAATTATATTAGATCCCATCCAATTAAAGCTATTATTTGAATTTTATGTTTTTATAAATATAATTTAAAAGATTATACATAAATATAAGTTTTATCAAAAGTGGCCGAATCTAATCCAATCTCAATTAAACAAATTAGGAAAATTTTGACACAAATCCAACCCAGCCTGACTCGTGTGCAGCATGCGGTGCACCATCAAATAAAACCCATCAACGGATGAAATTAAAACCTGTCTTGCGCATAAATTCAGCTAAAAAAGATAAAAGAAGGAATGGAATAACACATTTATATATCCTTTGAAATTAGTTCTCCAACAGGGTACATTTGCTAGAACATTCACCTCTGCGGGAAAATGATGCTTAATTTTTTCTAGGACATTTACAATCTAAATCCCCAAGATTCGTTCATGGGTAAAAATATTCCTTGAGGTTAGAGTCTCTCTAAAATAGCAACCTCATACATGAATTTATATATATATATATAAGTGAAAGGAAAGGAGAAAACCAAGTGAGAGAAGCAGTGAAGCAGCTTCATCTTTAGCCGTTTTCTCCTTAAAAAGAGCAAAAAGAAAATGAAAATGGTTCGTACGGATGACACGGCAACCTTTTCATCTGAGGGTGGAAGTGAGAGACTCAAAAACATCTTCTTCACATGGAATTGTGAGACCCCTTTCGTGATCAAAGCCAAACTCTTCTTCTGCTTGATGAAGAAGTGTTTGGAACTCTGGGCGACTTAGAAAAGATATTGGAACAATGTATCTACTTCTATTTTCTCCAACATATACAACAAAGTGACCCTTAGGTACGTCCAAACGAAGGCCTTGATCGTCGTACCCTTGTTTTCTCCCTAAGCTTGAGCATCTCTTTAGGATTTGCTTAATAAGTGCTGTTTGAGGAAGTTTACTTGATTTTCTAAGAGCCATTGTGGATTTAGTGTGACAAGAGGGAGAGAAGAGAAAAAATAAGAGATGGTGGAGTGAAATGGAAAAGGGAACGTGGTGGGTATTTATCATGAGGCTTAGGGAGGATAGTAATGATAGATAGAGGAACAGAGTCATGTGGGGTTGTGGGGACAAATGACAATAGCTTGGGGCTGTTTTGGGGACCTATGGGGGGCTCAAGGTTGCTAACCCCTTTTTGGGTTTCTTCCCTCTGTTGCCCTTTCACAAGACACCTTGGTCCCTCTTCCTCTTCTCTCTCTCACTCTACATTAACATTTTCTTTTTTTCCTTTAATTGCTTATCAATATCATGTAGCCATTGTTTCTTTCAAGGGAAAAAAAAAGTATAAAATTTATTACCACTGGTTTTTTTCTTTTATTTTTCATTTTATCTTTAATCGTATTTAAATATTTTATTAGAACTTACTTTTTTCTCTTCGTCCAAACAGTAATAAAGTACAAAAACAACTCTTACTTGTTACATGAAAAAATAAATCAACTATTACCTACGTTTTATATAATTAATTTTGTCTTCTTTTCTCTTAACATATCTAGTTATGTTCTTGACATATATTATGAGACATGTTATTTGTATAACAAAGTATTACGACATATTTTACAAAAGAAAAAAATATGAAATAAAAAGGGAAACATTAGCTTGTAAAATATGTTATAAAAATTCGTTGTAAATATAAGATTGTATTTTATCAAAAGCTTATAAATTCCTCGCCCCATTGTTTTGCCATTCTTCGTCATCTTTCACGTGATATTTTATCCATTTGTCAATTGGCTCGCTAATCAATACGTACAATTCTTACAAAATAAAAATATTAGCAAGATATTTTTTAAAAGAAAAATGTCGGAAATTTCTAATAATAAAAATTATTTTTCTCTTGACGTATCTTGTTATGTGTTTTTTTTTTTCTTTCAGGTCAATCTTGTTATGTTCTGAACATATTGAGAAATTTCAAATACCCCGTCCCACTGTCCTGGTCACTCTTCAACATTCACATACTATAATTTTAGACAAATTACACTGATAATTCATGAACTCAAGTGATCTTACATTTGATATTTTTGTCTTTTTTGACCCCACATAAATCTCCCCTCATTCAGATAATTACATAAAAATATAAGACTAGTGTAGATTAAAATTGAAAGCGATATGGAGAAATTTTTACTAAAATTTAGGAAATAAGAAAGTTGGTTGTCCCTTATTTGTTCCAGTTGTCAATGTACTGAACAAGTACAATTCTCACACGAAGAAGCATTCCCGCAATTTCCAATGTTTGCTTTTAACTTTTGTTCAAGTCCATTTTTCACAACGGTGAATCAATGTATTGTGTATACGAAACCCAACGGCAGCAATTGAAGTACCCGAGAGTTACCCAACCCATTTTCTGGAGTAAGGCAATAGTGAGTATCCATCCGTACATGCTTCCTTGCCTTTATAGTTGCATGCTCCGTTAGCACTAATGTTCAGTCTGAAAGATACAGATTTTGCCTTGTCCCCTGTTCTTCAGCCATTTGACACACTTTTCCATTTCCTTGTTCAAAGCTTTGGGGTTCGCACCACATCTTACAAAGTTTCATAAAATTTTATCCCAATATATATATTTTTTTACTTTACATAAACCTCCGTTTTATATATAATAACATAATTTACATATTTCTCTCGATTGCAGAATCACTGATTTTTATGTAGATATGTGAAATTAAAGCAATACAAAAAAATATATAATTATATTAAATTTTAAAAAATATAAATATATTGTATTCAATTCTCTTTTTAAATTATATTTAAATATTTAATAATTTATTATTTTACTAATCGTTAAACATAAATGTAACATATATATAATCATAAGATAATACATATATATTTTATGTTTTTCTTCTTATCTATTTTTTTGTTATATAACTTTTTGAACAATTTGTTTTTATATCAATACAAATTTTCTCATAAATACTGCAAGATTTACGACTAAAAGACCTTACTTTTCATTAACTTGATATCGTTTTACAACCTGAAAAACTGAATGATAGGAAGGCTAATTTCTTGGTCTTTCCTCCCACAATTTTTATAATTTATTGACATTGTAAAATTTAACTGCTAAAATTGAACGTTCAGCGAAATAATTTTATCATAAACAAAGCAGAAAGCAACAACATTTAACTATTACAAATATTTTTGTTGTTGCTTTGATAAATATAACTTTTCATAGTAATTATAGTGAGAAATTTAGCCTTGTAACCTTACTATTTTTATCGTCAACATTTTTTTTTCATAGAGATTATAGAAATAAAACATTAATTTTAATTAGAAGTAGATAACAAGAACACTTATACCACTCACTAGTGTTAAGTTGAGGAGTAGGATTATCCTTGATTGGCTATTAAATCCGGTGTCCGTAATAAAGAATAATTGGGTTGAGGCGTACATACACATGCGGGTTGATGGGTTTGAGAATTGTGACAGGTGAATGCAGGATTTCACATGGTTGCATTCAATCTTTCTAGCTACAACTTTTCTTCCCGGTACGGTCTTTCCCCTATCTTCTTCAATATGCGCCGAAATAGAACAACGGTCATACATTAGGGCCAGTAAAGAGAATTCTTTTATATAATAAATAAATAAAAATTATAAATTCAAAATAATTTATTCTTTTAAAATTTTACTTAGCAAAAAATTCTTTATTTTTATATTAAGTTTTTATCATTTTTTAAAAATTTACCTTAAGTTTTTTTTATTGCCTTTTTTCTTTTGCATTGCAGTGTAATGTCTACATGCTCTATGTTGACAAAACATCGCTCAAAATTGTAATTGAATATTAAGTTGAGAATCGTTAAAAATATTCTTTTTAAATATATTTCAATACATTGTTAATTATCAGTTAATTTTTTTAAAAAATTATAAAAATATATGAATTTTGTTATTAATTTAATACTTTTAGTTTTAGTTTTATTGTTATTATTCATATTTTTAATAAATAAAACAGAACGTGTTAGAAAATTGTGCTACTAATGCTTCCTCTATTATTTTGATCTTATAAAAAACATCATTATTTTTATTTTAATTATAAAAAAAATTAATTATTAAATTTTTATAGCTGATAAATAATAAAATAAAAACATTGGCGAGTCAATAATAAATTAAGGATAGATAAATAATCTTAGACTGGACTGAAGTTTAAAATAAATGATAAAAAAATAAAATATGAACAATATGTATAAAAATATAATGACACTGATGAAAGAGAAATACACATGCTACGTAGTTAATATCCAGACGGCTGAGTTTGCAGTTATTATATATATAAAGGAAATTTCTAAGTTGTTATTTTGGGTTATGGATGGGTTTAATTGAATACTAGCTCTACCTTTAACGCCAAAATTAAAAGGATCCATTAAAATTCTGGCGTAATCCCTGTGATGAGAAAAATACAATACCGCATATGATTTATTTATGTTCTTTTATTTATTTAGTCACGTGAGAATAAAAACTTCATTTTCCTCTAATAAACAGGTTAAACAATAACAGAAGCTAGAAGACCTTAAGATCACAACTAGCATATGCTAGACGTCTGTGAGAGTTAGTTACATGGTGATCTGTCATTTAGTTAGTGAGTTATTTTTGTTGTATATGCACGTGTAGCTTCTCCCATACACCTTGTTACATCCTGTTCCATGAAGAAGTACTGGTATCATCTCCAATCCAATCTCATATTATTATTATTATCTTGAACTATCTCAAATCTAATACATTCATCTAAATTCAACGAGTACTCAAAAATATATATATATAATTATGTAACCCATCTTTAATAATTGAAGTTCTATGACGTGTGACCAAAAATCATAGATGATGAAAATTTTATAATTTACCCTGATGACTAACCTTATTTTTGTGTGGAGATAATGAAAGTAATAGTGAACGAGGAAGAGTCACATGCAGGGCTCATCTCAAGAATGCACAAGGGAGGGAGTGGGTATTGGTGTGGTCCTTAAGAAGTGTAAGTGACGCAGGAAATGGTAGAAAATGAGGAATGGAAGGCAAGGTCGCAATCAGACGTAAATTGGTCGAGAAAAATATTAAATGAAAAAGAGTACTGGGCTCTGAAGTTAGCTCTTTGTGCAGAATAACTACTAGGGCTCATCATACCCATGTTCTGAGGCCAATAGTTACAAGTCATGCTTTTTTGTTATCATAACTGATGAGGCCGCGTCCTTTCCATTCCCCCTTCTCTTCCTTCCTGTCATTTACTCTAATCCCCATTTCAACCAGTACCTTCAGTGTACGTACATGTGTGTATCTCTATGAACAGGCATACCATGTGATCATCATACATTGTTTAACCCATTGCTGTACATGACTCGGTCCCCCCCCGTTTTTCTTTTTCCTTTTTACCTAAATTAAGGTCGTTTTTATTTTCAGGTGTGGAGCCCCGTTTATGACATTTTCAATGACCACTTATCAAAACTTAAGTTGACCAAAGCATGCAATATTCTTACTAATCTAAGTTCACTTTTAATGATTTTTTGGTCTTATAATATAAAGGAGTATTTATGGGGAGGGATTGGACAATTGGGGTGTAGGTTTGAATAAATAGATAGCTTTCTTTGACTTTGGCTCTCCATTTTGATATCCATGGCCATGACTAGTTAGTTCATAATTAAGATAGTTGTGGATAACTTTATTGACCATCCTCTCTGAACGGTGAAGTTATGGTTGTGATCAAAGGTAGCTAAAATGAGTATTAAATGCGTGAAACTTGGGGCCTGGGCCATGTTGTTCATGTATCACAGGTTCACAGTCTTGGAAAGAGGCTACCCATGTTCTGTGAATGAGGTTGGTTTGTATTTGTTACGAACAAGGAAAATAACAGATGGGATATATATGTGACCCTACCACGCTCCACAGAAGAGTGTGAGTGACTAGTAATGAAATAGTTTTGCAATTAACAGTGGTAGAAAATGGAACAA